GGCCGTGGTCGGCGAGCCGAAGGCGACGAATACGACCGTTCTTTCATACGAGAATGCACAGGGATTAACGATTCAGAAGTACGTTGACCTCGGTCATAAGCGATCTGTTCATGTGCATTGCAGTCGTGAGAAGTGGTTCCAATTGTGTCCTCTTTTCTGGGATGGACGGGAGAGGCCGTTGGAGAGCTCGGATCGCATGGCTTTTGACGCGAAGCTTTAGGTTTAGACCCATATTGAAATCGAAAAAAGTCATGTATAATTGATGATATGTATATATGCTCTATGGATTTCTTTCTCATGCTACCATGTCTCGTCGGTCTATGCCTTGGTCTATTGCTGTAATATTGAACGGAAACTGTAAGGACTATACTTTTTTACTGAATGCATCGTGACGATACCCAAACAACAGCAAGTACCTATACCGCGGTTCGGCAAAATCAGATAAGGATGAATTAAACACATATTCGGTTAGAAAGTTGAATGCACCCCTCACGAAAATTAGCGGAACAATCCGACGATATCGCAGCCGATACAAGCTAAGTTGGCAGAGTCTTGTCTTGGCCAGGACCTAGTGGATCGATAAGCGAGAGGTCAGAGTTTTCTATATACGAACGTCTAGAGTTCTTCTGTACTCGGCTTTGTTATTCGAAATAGGAATCCAGCTACCAGGGCAAACGCAGTAAATCAATTACTGCTTTGGATAGGGCAACAGTTAACACCACGTGTACCAAACCAACGGGTATCTGTGGGCCAGCTGTCAATCCAGCAACGTTACCGGAGTGCAGTTACCCTGCCTTACCGGTAGGAACTCCGGTGTACGGGCGGAAGCGAACTAACTTCCGGTCCCTTGCGAGAGAGAAAAGGAAAATAACAAAATGACATGAAAAACCTAAAATGCCAAGTTGCAGGTTACACCCGCCAAGGCCACCAATCGGAACATTGTGCAGCCTATCAATCTAATCAGATAATTTTATCAGATAAACTAAGACCAATGGAGCATCGGCCTCCGAATCTACTCCCGAGTTTGAAACAAATGGCCCTTGGCGAGACTCTAGACTGCTCTAGTACAAACATTCGACCCCAAATACCCACCGACTTTCATCCCGGTTTTTATTCCCTCATCGAGAGAATGATTGACGAGCGGGACTTTCCGACCAGAGCTCCGATTTCCCGAATCCTGTTTTGGTTCGGTGTGGTGGGTATTGGGAGCAGAATTTATCTGATCCGTGATTTAGCGGGAGAACTTGTTGTGGACCGGTTTTTACTGTTGTGACTGGAGTTGCTACATGTTATGGTGGGTTAGCTTGATCTGATAAAATCGCTCACCTGACCATTAGGTAACAAGTCTTGGGTGCCAGAGTAGAGACCATGGTAGGGGATATTACTTAGCCCTGGGCATGGAAGGAATTGTGAATATGGGACTAGTGATGTTTTGCCAAGTTGCGGGTGAAATTCAAAAAATACCAATCTTACATCGTTGATACTATACGTATGGTACGGTAAAATATATTATCACCACATCGTTTTTTTACTTCGACCCACTTTGACAAGGTCAGACCAGCTTTTTGAACTGAACACAGAGTCCGAGGTTGAGAAGCCCAAGAATCGGCAGTGGCTACTGCAAGCTTTGGTTACATTCTTGGCTCGCTTGTCTTGTGCTACAATTGGAGGAATTCAGTTTCATGAAATCTTCACACGTCCCTCGTTTATGTTACCGCTTCGCTTAAATAAGGCTACGATATATTTGCAGGTTTGAGTTTTTCATGTGGCACTAGGCCAGAGGGAATGGGTCTTCATGCACGGTCCCTATGTTGAATGCCATGTGCAGACGACTGGTGGCAGAATGCACCGTGACTTGAAGCCGCTTGGTGGGGGGTACTCCAGATATATCGCCACATTAATTTCTAGTATATTGAGTGCCCAACGAGCTCAGTGAGTGACTAAGACTCTTGGAACATGCAACACCATTCCAGGTCATATATCTACGTTTAAGATGGAACTGTACTTTGGCAGCCCGGCGATTTTTCGTCCCATGTTTCTGAGGGGTAATTCATGCACGATGTGAATATATGCGTCATCCGCTCCAGTTTCATTAGCATGTCGGGATATGCCGCTGATAAGATATGCGAAGGTGGGATCTATGCTCCTATCGTAAACTGGTATGCATCCAGGCTGCATATACGAAGGACTGAGCGCATGTTGAAGCACCCATGGCATTATTTCCGACTATGTGATCGACTGGTCCTAGCAGCAGGCGTCGTAGTGGTGTGTTAGTCCTCAACAAAAAGAGAAACCACTCTTCGAAGTATTGGATTCACTATTAATTCCCTCACGACCAGCAGCGTCGCAAAAGGTGAGCTCATCGTTGCTAACCTTGGGTCTACAGCCCGAATTGGGACTCCGGCCGAAGGGCAATCTAATCTGATTCCAACTCCCACCAGAATATCTAATCTGATCTAATTTGTTAGCGTACCAGTATTCGGATGGTCTACCCCTAATTGGCTTCACAGCCTGTTAGCTTGTGTTTGGCGGAATCTTATGCCCCACTTGACCGTTACCAGGACATAATGCTCACCCAAATACATCGTACACGGCGTAATACCAAAGATACGTCCTTGGTTCTGAGCAATGTGCCAAGAATACTTGTTTTTCTCATTCACGCCCTGCAGCTCGTGTCCGGACTCTGCTATTCTGGGTCCATCGGTCGCTTCGGTTCCGATAATTATCATCGCAGCCCGAACCGGTGTGGGTCTTTCGTTTGGAGTCGAACCATCTCATGAAGATATCCACAGCATCCCAACGCCGACAAGAAGCGCAAACAGAAGCACATAGATCCGATCTCGGAAATTCCACCTTCCTGCAGAAAACGAACCGTTGCAACGAACTTCTTAACTCAATCCTAGTTCACGAAAGCTACACACGAAGGACGACCTACTAGCTTGGCAAGAGTTCGATCAACTAAGCAAAACAAGTGACATCAGGATCCCGCATCAGCTTATCTAGTCACCATGTACTCCAAATTCTGGCCAAAGGGCGGTCTCCCCGGAATCCTGCATCATTATGTGAGTTCCCCTTCACCAGATACACACATTGAATCTAGCTGACTTGGTGAATGCCATGCCAGACTGAAACCCTCGTCACATTCGAATACACAACCTCCACCGTCAGAAAACCACACAGTCTCCTCTTCGTCGGCGGTCTAGGCGATGGCCTCGCAACAACATCCTACATGGCGGACCTCGCGCACGCCCTCCAGCCAACAGAATGGTCCCTCTTCACCCTGAATCTCACATCCTCATACCAATCATGGGGTCTCGGTCATCTAGACCGCGACACGAATGAAATCGCCCAATGCCTGAACTACATTAAAGAATACAAGACCGAGAAATTCGGCAACGGAAAGGTCGTCCTCATGGGCCATTCGACGGGTAGCCAGTGCGTGGTGCACTATCTTTCCCGGCCAAACCCACATACCACTACCCCCTCGTTCGACCCAACGCTGGAGCACATTAAGCGCATGGCCCTTGACGGCGCGATTATGCAGGCCCCTGTCTCGGATCGGGAGGCGATCAAGTGGGTGCTCAAATGGGGTATTGGGGGCAAGTCGCCCAGCGAAGTCCGCGAGATTTATGACAAGGTTGTGGCTCTTGCCAGAGAGGGCGTCGCTAAAGATAAGGATAGCGGATTTGATACATTGCTGCCAATTCATTTGACCGGGACTATGGGCTATCCTCCCAATACACCCCTCAGCTGTCGCAGACTTTTGAGTCTTGTTAGCCCTGATAGCCCTGATTCCCCTGGGGAGGATGATATGTTTAGTTCGGATTTGAGTGAGGAGCAGCTTTCCAAGACCTTTGGGTTGATTAAGCAGGGAGGTCTGCTGAAGCATAAGCTCATGGTTTTGTTTTCTGGGGCAGATCAGTCGGTGCCCGACTGGGTTGATAAGGAGCAGTTGTTGGAGAAGTGGAGGAAGGTGACGGATCGGGATGGGGAGGCTCCCATCTGGGATCAGGAGCATAGTGCGGTCATTCCGAATGCTTCGCATGCTTTGAGTAATGATGATCAAGCGGAGCCGAGGAAGTTCCTAGTTGAGAAGGTTATGGGGTACTTGCGCGGTGCTGAGAAGGCGTGAAAGATACCGCTATGCAAATAAGTACTAGAATGTATATATGTGACACTATCTTAAGAACAAAATGGATAATGATATACTACGTTAGGATACCTAATACTGTTTAGAGAACGTCACAGAAGTATTAAAACTATGTTATTAGCTTTTTCGGACCAGAATAGTGGTCTCCGAACGTCTGAAAGAACGTTCAGCTCGGGTTGGTATTCTATTCATCTGTATTGGCATATATGACACTCCTCAAGTTGTGCCTCACATCTGTATATCTGGGTGTGGAAGACCATATATATACTGGCATCCAAACTGACGAGTCGCTGCGCAATGGTTTCTAGAAAGCCTGAGATTAGGATTCATTGACTCAACTAGACATAATTCTTAACTTGTAAAGATACTAAGAAGATATATAGGAGTCATTTATATCATATTACAGGTCTAGACTAGACAAATATAAGACTTATTGCCTGTGATTTCCCCTGGATCTGGAGAAATAGTAACGCCGAGTCCCCGGCTTCTCTATCACGTGAGTGGAGAGAGATCTCAGGGGGTCATGCCAACACAAAAACATTTAGGATGAACCTCTCGCTCTCGATGGCATCAAACAGTCTTCTAGTTTCTATTTCGTTGTCGCTATTCTGTGGAAAAGAGATCAATAACCGAATACATTATTATACCGAGAGCTATTCCAAAGGGTAAACATTTCTGTCTTGTAACTACTGCTCAGCCTTTCTGCATATCACAAAATGGTGCCTTGGCTCAATTACGGCTGTAAATTATTCTCATAGTATATCCCCATACTCGCTTAACATCAATAAAACAGGACAGTTACCCAGCTGCAGACAATTGAGATATCCTCGTATGAGGCGCACATCTTTCCTCATTGCGTGTGGACATCTAGGTCACAATGCTCATTTATCAAGGCACTGACGCGTCCGACCATCGCAGGTTCGAAAATCTCATCATGCAAGCATTCCAGATGCTGGACCTCAATGTGCGGACACTGATTCTGCCACCAATCTACATTGCCTTCCTCAACACTCAGCGGAGTGGATATGTAGAGTGAACGGCCGAGGTAGATGTCCGGGTAGGTGGAATTCTCCCATATGCGAGCTTGCTTTGCCATGTGTTCCTCAATCATCCCTATTTGGTCGGAGCCAAAGAGGCGAACAGCATAATCAACAATTAGCTTTCTCCGTTCCTCATCCTGGAAGACCGGCTCATTTGGGTTATAGCGACACGCGTCAACAAGGATTGTGGAGAATGGTGATCCCTGCCCTGTTATCTGCAATAATCGAGCCATTTCCAATGCCAGCACCCCGCCAAAAGAGTACCCAACCAAAACTACAGGTCGGTCCTGTTTCAGCTGGACGTGAAGCGCTTCCAAATAATGTGCGGCCCAGTCGCGCAGATGTCCAGGGCCGTCGGGCTTTCCGAAGAAAGGATCAGAGACTTGCACAATATCGTACTGCTTGCTCAGAGCCGGCAGCACATGGCCAAACACACTATACTGACCAAAGAAGGGATGGATCAAAACCATCGTCGCCCGACTGGTGCTGCGCGTGGTCAACTCCATATAGGCAGGGAGCCGTTGCGGTTGCACGTCAGAGAGGATTCTGGATGCTTGGGATCGAATGGTCGAAAAGGAACCCAAATCCGTCAAACTGAGCTGGATGTTATCACGTCGTAGTGTTGCGAGTAGATTGATGGCGCGCACGGAATCTCCCCCTAAGTGAGAGAAAGGTGTTTCCAAACTAATGACCCCCTGGTCGACACCTAGAGCAGCAGCCCAATACGACGCGAGCGTTGCCTCCAGAGTTCCTGGGGATGGGCGAAGATCGGTCTGTGGTACCTGGCTGTTGCAGAAGCACAGCAAATCTCCGTCATCCACCAACCTTTGCGCTAAAACATAGATTGCCTTTCGGTCCAACTTATCGGTGGCGGTGCGGGGAAGAGGTGTGTCGAGGAGTTGAACGTGCGCAGGGACCATATAGGCCGGGACATATTGTGCGATATGTTGCTGGATGGTGACGGGGGTAATGTGTGCTTTCTGAGAGTTTGATACCTCGACGAAGGCAAGCAAGGTTTCCTTGTCTTCCAAGTCCAGCTTGACAACGGCGCACGATTGGACACCATTGAGCTGCCTGGTTGCGGACTCAATCTCGCCCAATTCAATACGTAGGCCTCGCAGTTTGATCTGAGAATCCATCCGCCCAATCCACTCAATCATCCCATCTCCGTGGATCTTGGCAATGTCGCGAGACCGGTACATCATCTGCCCGGCCCAGAAGGGGTCTGGGACAAATGAGCTTTCAGAAGCACCGCCGCCACCCCGGTATCCCATCGTCACCTGTGGTCCACTGATGCATAATTCGCCCGGTACTCCAATTGGGACTCGGTTTGGCGTACCTGGCTGTAGGATGTAAATGCGACAGCCATGAAGAGGAAGTCCAATCGGGGTAATTTGGGAATGGGGAACAGGTTGGTTGTATGTGGGTCCTCGAAGCATACATCCAGTTACAACAACAGTCGTTTCAGTTGGACCGTACTGTACCCAGAATATCATCTCTCGTGGTGCTTTATTAAGAATATCTGTCTTCACGGCTTCACCTGCCACAATCACATCACGCAACTGTGATAACTCAAGCCCGTTGGATGATGCACTGGACAGTATCATATCTGTTACCATGGGTGTCGTCATAAGTTGATTTACCGCAAAGGCGTCCACCCACCCAGCGAGATCACCCCAGAGGGACTGTTGTCGGGCCAGTGAGATGCGCCCCCCTGCGGCGAGCACAGGGAAGATGTCGCTGATTGACATATCGAATGTATATGACGCAATCTGAAGTCTATTCACGGTCCAGGACATGGAAATCTCACTTGTTGCCGATTTCATGAAGGATACCAAATTTGCGTGATTGACCATTACTCCTTTAGGCACGCCCGTGGAGCCAGAAGTATAGATAATATAAGCTAGACACGATGGAGTTGGCTTTCTCTCGGATCGGGGGGTGCTTCTCCAGCCGTCTGCTGCGCCATGAAGTTCGTTCAGGGTCGAGACGGTGGCGCCTGAAGAGTGCCGAATGGCATGCAGCTTGTCCAATCCTCTTTGACCGTCCCATAAGATAAGCTTGGCCTGCGCGGATTGGCAGATCGCTTTTAAACGTTGCTCTGAATGAGAAACATCGAGTGGAATATAAGCAGCTCCAGCTTTTAGAACTGCCAGCATTGTCACTACCATGTCAAGCCCCTTGTCGAAGAAAATCGGGATTAATGGTTGTTCATGACACTCTGAGCCCGAAAGATCATTGAAAAATGCGTGGATCGCGATTGATAGCTTAGTGCTCTCCCTGTCGAGCTCTCTGTACGTCATGAACTTGGAGGTTTCATACTGCACAGCTATCTTGCAAGGGTTCTCTATGGCCTGTCGCGATATCAGATCATGGGCGCAGAGAGGCTCGGTATCAGTACTCAGCGGTAACTCGGAGGGTTGGTCTCTCTTGCAGGCGAGCTTTGTTAGTGCTGCCTCTTCAGCGTTACCAATAGTTAGCCTGGCATCGAGCTGAGAGGGGCTGTCAGCTACGGCGCTCAAAACTTGTGATATGTGTTGGAGGAACCACTCAATATCCTCTGGAATAAGAATTGTTGCATCAAACATGCACTGGAGGGACAGGTGGCCTGTAATTGGATGACATGATGCTTGCAGCACAACAGGAAATTCAAACCGACCAAGCTGCCCCCCTTGGATCTTGAAGCTATGTGGAGTTTCTGCCTGGGAGTGTGTTTCAAAATCAAACGCTTGCTGGTACACAAACAGCACCTGAAACGGCAGAAGATCCGGGGCATCTGACTGCCGTCGGATACTGGGCAAACCCAGCTGGTGGTAAGGCACCGTCTCCAGATAGGAATTCATCGAGTGTTTGACCAACTGGTCAAATGGCAGTCTCTGACGACTGTTCCCTAATTCTTCCCTTTGTTGCAGGCGTATCCTGATGGGGTGTGTTGATATACAAGGTCCGGCTACGAACCCAGCAACGGCATCAGTGATGGAGCGTCCACTAGACACTTCACCAAGAACAATGTCTTCAACACCACTATGCTCTGCTACGACTAGAGCCACTGCGGCCCTAGATATCGCGGCAGGAGTGACGTCTCTTGCTCCAGCTAAATCGTGCATGTTTCGCTCCCACGTCAAGGATCGGCTCGAGAACTCGTCTATTTTTGTTACTCGCCCACTCTCCAATCCTCTCGCAACCGGCCAGCACGCTGCAGGGGCCCCTTTTAGGTAACCCTTCCAGAATGAGGTTGAATTCTCTTTTGGCATTGTTTGCAGCTGAGAAACAAATAAGCTAAAGGGAATCCTATTGAACGATGTGTCAGCAGCCCCTTGGGGAACGTGGTCCTTCTCGAGTCGAGCTTTATGATACTCCCGGGAAAGTTCCTGAATGATCCATCGGAAATATGCCTCATCATATAAAGCGTGATGTATGGCGAATTCAAGTTGCGTTGAGCCACTCTCCCTTTCTTTGCACACGGTTGCTATGTCTACCAATGCCAACGAGACCGGGATATGACCAAAACCTAGAATAGAGGGGCCCAGTTCGCCATTTCGCCACTCAATAGAAAAAAGTCGCTGAACCTCGCGGGAGTTGACTTTGAAGATGCATTGGCAAAACGTGCTGGAGGTGAGGCATGCTGAGGAGAGGTCCTTAGCAACCGGAATGAATGCGGTGCGGAGTGTCTCTTCGCGCTCAACCACTTTCTGCCATGCGAGACGTATTGCTTTCACATCAAGTTGCGACTCCAGTCCTAGCCGTACGACACTCAGATACCCAGAGCCTCCTGGTGCTGCTAGAGAGCTGGACAGAACACCCTCTTGGAATGGAGTGCAAGGCATTAAGTGACCGACATCACCTGACTGTACATCCCAGTCTTGAAGAACATTCTGATACTCGACCTTGTCCAACGCATACTGTTTTGCTTTCTCATCAATAGTAGGGTTGGCTTCCACGCTACCATCCGATTGGTTCGATAGTAACTGGGTGGCCAATCTCGCAGGCGTCGGGCAGTCGAAGAGGTCTCTAATAGCAACAGCACAATCCAGGCGTTTTGATAGTCGAGATACTAGGCGGGGGGCCAACAGAGAATGGCCCCCCAAGCTGAAGAAGCTGCTTTCCCTGTCAACCGATTTCAAACCTAGCACCTGAGCAAAAACATCGCAAATGATTCGCTCCGTTTCACTGCCACACTCCACCATTGCTCTGCCTCCACTCGACTGCGATTCGTTAGCCAGCGGTTCTTGCTCTATGACTCGCTGGCGAAGGGCCTGGCGGTCGACTTTGCCACGGTCTGTCAGTGGGAGCTCATCGAGGATTGTAATGGTTCGTGGAATCATGTATGTTGGCAGCTGGGCTCGCAACGACTGCTCGAGTTCATATATGCACTGTTGAGCTTGTTGACCTTGGACTGGATGATTTGTCAAGGAGCGTACGTCCCGACACTGATGATCGACAGGGAAATTAAACAATACCCTCTGTTGTCCACAATTCGCGTCCAGTCGATGAAAGATTGCATCGAATGCTCCACGCTGTGAGCTTTGTCGAGCCCAGCTAACTTCTACCCGTATTCCTGCCTTGTCTGCTATGGCGATCAGATCTCCTGGCAACATGGCTGAGCTTTGTGCTGCTCGGTTGCGGTGACGGACCTGCCAGTGACTATCATTGTCCATAGAGCCAGGAGGAACTCCTTCTTTGAGGAAATCCACTATGTAATTTTCGAGAATCGTCCTGCGATTTGGGATATTCTCCACTGCTATTATGTTGTTGTTATGCAAACTTCTAAGATGCTCTAACAAGCTTCGGGGGTTGAGAGACTGAGCTGTATAATCAATCCAGTCGCTCTGTTCAACCTGATGAGTGATGCGCGGCGATACCGCATCATGTTTTAGGTGGACGACGGCAGAGTAGCGGTAGCAGCTGAGTTCGTTTGTGGCATTCATCAGCTTAGGGAGAATCTCAACGTGCTCTACCTGGCCCGGGAATTGACTGGTCAAGGCAGTGAAGAATGCAGGATCCACAAGCAACTCGGTCTCGGCTGCTTTAGATTCCTCTATACACTTTCGGACCTGGTCCTGTGTTGCTTTCGCGCCGGCGTTGTGCAATGCCTTCGAGACCAGGAACTCGTCGTAGAGAGCGTATGACCGGATGTCGCCAAAGAACAATGTCTTCACGCCTTGCAACCGAAGAAGCTTTTGGATAATCTGTGAGAGATATCCGGCGCTTGGAAAGTATTGTGCAACGGAATTAAAAACGATCAGGTCGGGGATGAACCCAGGGATGAAATCCTCGATATGGTCAGCCACGCCTGGATATACCTTCACTCTCCCTGCCAATCGTTCGTGAGAGTTGGCCACTTGCTCCACCATATGAGCGAGCTTTGGCACCAGCTCGATGCCAACGTACTCTTCCAGCCCTTCGGTAATATTGAAGAGGATCATTCCAGAGCCTGTGCCAATTTCCAAGACCCTTCCGGGGTCTTGTCCGTTCAACAAGGTGTGAAGGGTGTCGTCCAGCCAGTCGTTCATGTCTGTAAGGTCAATATTGCATCCATCGTACATAGAGAGCCATCCAACAAAATCTCGTCCCAGCCTGTTGGGTTGCTGTGTGAAGCTGTCATACATCTCCGTATCAAATATATTCTTCCATGCATCCACGCGCTCCGTCTCCGCCTCATCGTCGTGAATCGGATGTAGTGTTACAAATGCTGCCAAGTCAGCCTCCCCTTCAATGCCGTTCATGACCACAGCAGCGCTGCGTACTGCGCTCTGGGCGATGAGAGTATGTTCAATCTCCCCCATTTCTACCCGATGGCCGCGGATCTTGACTTGGTCGTCTCGACGGCCAAAGTACTCCAACTGCCCATCAATCGGTCTCCATCGAGCGTAATCCCCAGTACGATATGCCCGGACTGTATCCTGACCAATGACCACGTCTACAAAGCGACCTTCATTCTTTTCGGGATCCGTGTATCCTCTTGATAGCCCATCCCCTGTTACAACAAGCTCCCCAACGACCCCTTTGGGAACGACGTTGAGTGAAGCATCCATAACATATGCCCCAGAGTTACTTATTGGCTTTCCAATAGGCACGCCATTTACGCATGCCTCCTCATCTGGAATTTGGTAAACAGTACTTGCCCCTGTGTTCTCAGTGGGTCCGTACCCGTTTAAGATGATACCCTTCGTCAGTTTCTTTACCTGGAATACATCCTTAGGATCGAGGCGATCTCCGCCTAGAATAAGTAGATCCAAGTTCTTGACAATGGAAGGGGCATCACTCAAGCACTGTTTGAATAGCGCAGGGGTGAACATCGCCGCTCGCACATGGTTATGGGCATATACATCGCTCAGGGCCTTATAGTCCAGTACTGTCATCGCATCCACACAAACAACCACCCCACCACTAAGGAGAGGCATAAAGACTTCCCAGGTAGACACATCGAAGGACAGACTAGCCATATGAGCTAGAGGTTTGCCTACAGCTTTGCTGAAGTTCGAGTCTTTGACCAGTCGTACAATTGCACGGTGCTCGGTCATGACTCCCTTGGGCCTCCCAGTCGATCCTGAAGTGAAGAGGACACACGCTAAACTAGTAGCGGATATTGCCGATTGAGCTTGAAACTCCTGGTCATCTGTCGTAGTATGTAGCTGGTCATCCAAAATGCTGGAGAGGGTAACAAACTCAACGTGAGCCATACTGGCATTCGGAACAGCCTCCCGAGCCGCATCCGTTACAATGACTGTTATCTTTCCACTTATACATGACAAGACACTGCAAACCCGACTCTGTGGAGTGGAAGCATCCAAGGGTAGGTAGGCAAGATCTGCCTTCATGATGCCTAAAAAGACGGCGATGGCCTCGGCAGATCGCGCAGCGAGCACCCCGACGATCGTCTCCGGATCGAGATGGAGGCTGCGTAGCCACCGTTCAATCTTATCCGACTGCTGATCAAGGTACTCATATGTCTCCCCCTTGCCTTCATGGACGACAGCAATGCTGTCCGGATGCGATCGTGCCTCCTGCCGAAATAGATCAACTACAGTGGCATCCCGTGGATAGTCCGTCTGGCGTATACATAGCAGATTGTGCATGTCATGCAGAGAGTTGTCATCGAGCAATGTCATCGAAGCAATGCTTGTGCTTGGTTGGTTTAATCCACATTCCAGAACCTTGTAAAACACCGAAACCATTGCTCTCACGGTTTCAGGGAAGAAAATATCCTTGGCATATATGACTGATCCGCTTAAGCTATCTTCTCCCTGGAACAGGTGAAACTCGAGATCAAATCGAGTGTGGTGTGAGAGAAGAATCCGCTCTGTAGCAAGCCCCTCCAACTCCTCCTTACCTTCTGTTTGCGGATGGACGGCAAACACTGTCTGGACTAAGGGGTTCTGAGTTGTTTCTCTGTCGGGTTGCAGGGCAGACACGATCCGATCGAAAGGAATATCTTGGTGGGCAAAGGCCTCAGCAGTGGCTGACTCCACCTGGTTGACTAGCTCCTCAAACGTGGTGTGATCATCATCGACCTTTAGCCGGATGCACTGGGTGTTGACGAACAATCCGATTATCTCATGGAGCTCTTCGCGTTTCCGGTTGGCAATCGGGGTACCGATGGTCGCATCAGCTTCCCTTGTAAGGCGATAATGGGTCGCTCTGAAAACAGCCAACAGGACGATAAAAGGCGTTAGTTGATTTTGCTTACAGTATTCGCATAGTCGGTCGTAAATCACACCATCGATACGAACTTGCTCGAAGTTTGCTTGCGTAGATGGCGTTTGAGGCCTTCGCTTGTCCTCGATGAACTTAGCCGGGTTATTCCCAGTGAGCCTTTCAGTCCAGTACTTCAGCTGGCGATCATGTTCTACTCTTTGTTGCTCTTGAATCTCCCAGGCCGAGAAGTCGCGGTATTGTATAGGTAGCGGTGGCAGCTGAGCATTGATAGGCCTACCGTGGAGCGCGGCGGAATAGAATGTACTCAGTTCTTTTAGAAGTACTCCGAAAGACCAGCCATCACCAACGATGTGATGGACAACGATCGATAGAATATGTGACCTCTTATTCTGGCGAAGAACCAGCGGTCTCCACCCTGGGTGTACTTGGAGATCAAATGGGGTGGACTGCTCCTTCTTTAGGGTGCGAAGGAGATTTTCTTCGTCTGGAACTTCGACAACCCTCAGCTCACGAGGTGCAAATGGATGCACAACTTGGATATTTTGCCCATCACGATGTTCGAAGGTTGTCCGTAGTGTTTCGTGCCTCTCCTCGATTGCAGACAATGCGGCTTTCAAAGCATCTAGATGGAGCTCTCCCCGTATGCGAAGGCCAAACGATATCAGATACCAAGCCGACCCAGGGAGCAATTGATCCAGAAACCAGAGTCGGCCCTGAGCGAATGACTGCCTGACTATTGTTCTATCCTGAGGGAGCCTGGGAATTGGAACGTATCCCTTGTGGTTCGTGGTCGTTGACTCGAGTCGTCGTGCTAAATCGCGTGTGGTGGCAAAGCCAAACACCTCTTTAAAGGAAAGGTTTGCATGGAGGCGACGATTGATCTTGGAGACTGCGCGAATGGCGAGGATTGAGTGGCCACCGAGGTGGAGGAAGTTGTCCAACACACCTACACGCCGGTCCAGCGCCTCCTCGAAGATCTCGCAGATTACCTTCTCTATCTCCGTTGTAGGTGCGACATAGGTATCATGATGGTGGCTAGATAGCACGGAGTCTGCCAAGAGATCTGTGGCTCTCTGAGCTAAGAGTTTCCGATCCAATTTTCCACTTGGGACGAGAGGAAGCTTCCCTTCTGACGGGAAGAGGTAAGAAGGTACCATGTGAGCAGGTAACCTGTTAGCAACCCACGCTTTGATTTCAAGGGCAGTATTAGTATCCCACGGATTGCCGTGGGTTCGGTCAGAAGTCATCACACACCATCCAACCAGGGCATCCCCGGTGGGGGTGTTCACAGCCACGACCGCACAACAGTCAACCAGATTATGCTCTGCTATCACCTTCTCAATCTCTGCAAGCTCGGTTCGCTGTCCTCTAATCTTTACTTGGTTATCTCTCCTCCCCAGGTACTCGATCACACCACCGTCCATAAACCGCCCAAGATCCCCACTCCGGTATAGCCGTCCACCGAGGCGGATATCACTAACAAAAGACCGAGATGTCAGCTCTGGCCGACCGTGGTAGCCTCTTGTGACTTGAGGTCCTCCTATGCAAATCTCTCCTATCACACCGACGGGGACCTGTTCTAAGGTCTCTGGGTTGAGAATGTATAACTGACACTCCCCAAAGGGAGAGCCAATTGGGATGTTGCGACGACATTCATCTACTTTGCAAATTTTATAATACGTTGCACATATTGTAGTCTCTGCTGGACCATACCCGTTATACACATCGCAGCCAGGGGGCAGGTGTGTTAGTATGCTGGCGTCAAAGGCCTCTCCGACAACGTGAATGTTACGGAGGTACGGTATATCAATACCCGTCAAGAAGCTTGCCGCCACGCGAGGCGTGATCACGAGGTGGGTTATATTGGTTCTTTCTAGCCAGTCCGGCAGATTGGCCAGTACTTCCTGGGTCTGCCCGAGGACCAGTCGCCCACCACATCCTAGCGTGCCAAAGATTTCCACTGTTGCTGCATCAAATGTGGCTGTTGCCAGCTGCAGCCGCACCGATGTCGAAGTTCCTAACAGCGGTTCATTCGTTTGCATGAAGGCCGCTAGATTGCCATGCTCGATCATCACCCCTTTTGGCTTTCCGGTCGACCCAGATGTGAACATCACTTGGGCCAGAGATGCCGGCGTAGGCCTGAACGAGGGTTTCCTCAGCGTCTGTCCCCCATGCAAAGTTAGAAGACTTTCGATACTAGCAAGTGCATGTTTCCCCTGTTGGCTGACAGCCTGTAAACTTTCCACTGTTCCCGCATCACCATCGCCTAGTATCACCCTTGCCCCCGACAGGGCGAGGATTTGCTGGATGCGGCCCTGCGGATGACTTGGGTCTATTGGTAGGTATGCTGCACCTGCCTTTAGTACAGCAATCATAGAAATGATCATGTCCACGGCATTCTTGAAGCACAAGGGGACAATATGTTGATCTCCTGATTGCTCAAGCCCCAGGCAGTCTAACCAATGCACTAGGGCGTTGGACAGCTCGTTACATCGTGTATTCAACTCATTGTATGTGATGAACTCGGACTGATCCACTTGAAGGGCGATCTTGTGCGGAGTGATATTCGCCTGCATTTCAAAAAGCTCATGGGCACAGACATTGTCTCTTGTAGGCGTAGAGCGGAACGGAGTCTGTTTTGTGGACCATTCCTTTAGAGTTTGTCTCATATCGTCGTCCATGATATCTGTCAGACTTGCTGGATCTGAGAGTCCATCTCCTGTGGCTGAGAACATGTCTAGCGTGCGACATATGGACCCTAGAAACCATTTGACGTCATCTTCGCTAAGGTATCGCCGGTCAAACGTGCATTCTAGAGCAAGCTCACCCGTCTCTTGATCGCATCTTGACTCCAGTACAAGGGGAAATCCGACATTTTGCAACCTAACCGACTCCACATGGAAACGACTAGCAATGGTGTCCTCCAAAAATGCCTCCTGGTGGACAAACAGAACTTGGAAGGCCATCAATTCTGAATCTGAAATCTGCCGGTGGATATTGCCTAGCCCAAAATGTTGATATGGTGTGGTAGCTAAATATGATTCCAGAGCCTGGGCGACAAGCTTGAGCATCCACGACGAGCATTGGCGGTCAATTGGGATGCGGACAGGATGCGTGGCGATACAAGGCCCGAGGGTAAAACTATCATGATCAAATCGGCCCCTGGACACTTCGCCAAACACCACGTCATCCATCTGAGAGTAGAGTGCCAGTACTAGAGCCAATGCAGCTCGTACAATCGAGGCAGGGGTTGCTTGAAGACTCTGGCCCAGAGCCATGGCGTTCCCCGTCCATGTTTTGGACATGCTCGTCTCTACGGGTTGGTCGTTTTCTTCTCGCATTCTTCGAACTCCATTTGGGACTGGCCAAGTAGGAGGGGCCATCTCATGCATGTAGTCCTTCCAGAATCCCTTCGACCCCTCTAGGTCATCATTGTAGACTGACTCCACAAAAGCGGAAAACGGCCGACTGGGCGGCAGAGCAACCTGTGGATTTCCCATTTCCAGTGCTTCGTAGATGATAGAAAGATCCGCTGCAATTCTGGAGACGAATGCTTCATCATATAAGGCATGATGGATCTTGAGATTTAACTTCAAAGGTTCATTGGCAGGCCCCTGGCTGATTCCCGCTGACAGAGGGATTATTCCGACTTGGAATGTAATATCCCGGTTATCCAGGCTGGCCACTCGTCTCACGTCCTCGGTAGACTGATTCAGAACAACCTGAAGAATGTTGGACGCACTGGCTAGCGGATGTTGTACTTCCGAGGATAATACAAAGGCAGTCCTCAAGATGTCACAACCAAATACCAATTTTCTCCAGGCCGCGTAGAATGTGTTTAGGTCTGTCGTATTACCTAGATGGATGCTAATAGTGGCAAAGTAAGCGGACGTATCTCCAATAAGGTTATTCTGGATAAGACCTTCTTGCTGTGGAGTGCATGGATAAATTGTCTGAACCATATCAACGGCAATGCTGGAATCAGCAACAATTTGTTCCCATCTATCCTCATGGTAATTCACGTTTGTGATCTGTCTTTCCTGGCTACTGGGTGGACACATAGCCTTTGCTACATCACCAAGAGTCATAGGGCTAAGCAGGTCCCGTAAAGAACAAATCATCCCCTCTTGTCGCAATGTGGCCAAAAGACGCATTGCCAAGAGAGAATTACCACCAAGAGATATAAACGTGGAGTCAACGGATATATTATGGAGTGTCAAGCCTAGCATGTTCGCGCAGGTTGCTACTATGAGTCTTTCCGCCGGGCTTATAGGAAGCCGCTTTACTATTTCTTGTGTTTTCCATGGCGCCTCTAGTACATGGAAACCTTCAAGGGTACCGCCGGTTGCAATACTTTTCATCCACGCAGATAGAGTGCCCCTGTTCAGCTTGCCGCTAATTGTAAGGGGAAGATATGGAAGTATGATCCACACTTCTGGAATCATGTATGGTACCAACCGCCGTTGGCAAGAAGGTAGTATCTCTTCCTTGTATGCAAGTTCGATGTCTTGCACACTTCTGCTGTCTTGTGGAACGAGCCAGGCAATGAGAGCCTCGCGATCGTAACCTTCCAGGTGGTCGACACTAACAGATATCTGTGCGATGATAGAAGAGGACTGCCGGATTGTCACCTCGACTTCACCGGTTTCCACTCGCAGTCCGCGCAGCTTGACCTGGCCATCGGCTCGGCCGAGATGTTCCAACATACCTCTGTGATTGAGGCGTCCTAAATCACCAGTGCGATACATCCTTTGCGATGGACGAAATGGGTCCGTGACAAACACATGGTTAGTCAGATCAGGCTGCCCTAGATAGCCGCGTGAAACCTGAGGGCCAGCGACACATATTTCTCCGATCGCATTCGGAGGAACCGCTGTATCGCTACTTCCGTACTGTAATATATAGATTTGGCACCGGCCGAAGGGTCGACCAATGGGCGCATTTGTCTCCCCCTTCTGCAGTACGCAGCAGGCAACATCCACAACAGTTTCAGTAGGACCACAGGTATTCCAGATTCTTGCTTCGGCTGGGGCCTGGTCCAGAAAGCTCTTGTGGAAAGGCTCACCACCAAACATAAGCGTCTGCAAGCGGGCAGGTACATGTGAAATGATAAGATCACCAATTGTTGGAGTCAATGCAAGATGAGTAACTAACAGCTCCTCCAGCCAGTGATTCAAATTTGAAAGCATTCTGTTGCGCTGGACCAGGGCTAGACGGCCGCCGCGGTATAGATTGGCGAAGATATCTCCAATGGATGCGTCAAAACTGTACGCGGCCAGCTGCAGTCGAGTCGATGTCCATGTCCCATCTGCATTTCCCTCTCCAGCTTTCATGAATGCAACTAGGTTTCCGTGTTCCACCATGACTCCTTTTGGGGTACCCGTAGACCCGGATGTGAACAGTACATATGCCAGAGACGATGGAGACAGATGCTCCGTCCCAGGTAATTCAAAGGTGGCATTATCCTGCTCGGAAAGGCTCTCAACAGACGTTACCAGGATTCCCAGCTCACTGCATGTTAAATGCAGAATATCCTGGAGATCCGTCTGGCCTGCAATGACCACAGTGGCATGGCAGGCGCTTAGTATACTTGCAAGCCGCTCCCTGGGCTGGGAAGGGTCTAATGGTACATACGCACCGCCCGCCTTGAGGACTGCCAGAATAGCAACCACCATGTCTACACTTTTGTCAAAACAGATGGGGACAAGTGGTTGGTTTGCCGAGTTAAGGGGAAAGCAGTTCCGCAGGCCTTTGGCTACTCTACTACTCGCGTTAGAAAGTTCAGCGTATGTAATAAACTGACTATGCTCCGCTTCCAAGGCGATCTTGTTGGGCCACTTGCTGGCGGCTTGTTCAATCAGGTCGTGCGCTCTAACAGGGTCATCCATGAAGGTTCCGGGACTCAACGCCAGGTAATGTCGTCTGTAATCCCCCTCACGACATATTTCCGATACAGCCGCGGCAAATGTCTGGTGGTCAATGCCATCACCGGAGGCTTGCATCCATGTTAAGGTTTGGCAAAGGAACTCAAGAAAGGAGGAGGCAAATTGCTTTTCGAATCGGTGCTGGTGGTATCGTATCTTGACAAGGAATCCTCCTTCCCTTGGGGGTAAAATCTCTACAATAAAGGGGAGGTCGTTCCGCGCTTTCCCCCCAGTCCACTCCCAGTTACCGACACCATTCGAAGGATATGATTGATTCGTTTGGCAGACTAGACAGACGTCAAGGTCCCTGCTGCTCTCGGGTAGAAAGGACTTCAGCTGACTAACACTGAACTTATGTTGTGGGTCGTGGGATGACCGCAAGAGCTGCGCACATTCTCCAAGCTTCGTGTCTTCCTTCAAGTGAGTATTTCGCACCTGGGGGGCCAATACCGGTCCCATTACTCCCTGGTCCGAAGGGGAGAGTCGGCTTCGAGCGGAAGTGATTTCCAGAAACAAGGCGTCATCACTATTCCTAAAAACACACATCGTCATGGCAAGAGCAAGACGAACCAGCCGTGTAGGAAAAGCTGGTCGATCCGGTAGAATTATATCTGAGGTCATAGAGACTTCACGGGTCACCTCCCCCACCCGTAGGTCACCGCTCCAAACTGGCCCAGGGCTGAGTATAGGTGATGTCTCAATCTGACCCAGTCGCTCGCGGAGTAATGTCTCATCATGTTGCCAATCGTGCTCCAGCGGCTGTCGTGCTAAAGAGAAAAAGTCAGACCCCTTTAAAGCAGCTCCTGGGATCTGCATCTCCTCCTGAAGCAGCTGTAGAAGAGCCCTCGCTGACCAACCATCAAGTAGTGCATGATGATACCTGAAGGTGATATAAGACTCTCCTTCTCGCTGACTGTCTGTCAGCGTGAGCTTCCACGGCATAGCTCCATCCCACCCATCTGTTCCTATAGCTTCAAGTTGAAGAATACAGAAATGATTCCCCTCATTTATCGGCTCCAGGGTTAGTAGCCTCGCTCGTTGGAGGGCATATGCCTCATCCAGCACCGCAATTTGCAGATTTGTTGACGATTGGCTTCCATGAACAAAGACAGACCTGAGCACCGCATGCTTCCTTGCTACTGTGTGAATTGCTCGATTCAGCTGGTCTGGGCTCAAGATCGCGGGGGTGCGGAAATGGTAGATTTCAAAATAGGATTCGTGGGAAGGATCAGCAAGTGTAGATAATATCATCTCCTCCTGCATGACCGAGGGAGTATGTATTGATTGCACACATTCTGGTAATAGGCATTGTTCGTTTCCGATGGAGCCCATGCTGCAAGTTACGGTGAAATTTCTAGTGGGAGAAAGAGAAAACGGTAGCTGGCAGTTGCGACAAAGATTGAACAAGTATCGTTCCTCTGATGGTATACCTACTTATATTGCAGGTTTAGCAAGAATAGAGACAGCCTTGCGAATAGCTTACAAACACAAGAATGTCAGCTTGACCGCTATGTCAATGTGATATGTACTGCTATAAAATGCAACATTTCGGGAATGTGAGCGCGATCCCAACCAGATGCAAGGAGTGTTGATGTTTCGACTGCTTCTGCCCGAGTTGGGAAATAGTTCATGACGTGACAGCCTGTTGCAGGAATAGGTCAATACTGAGTCCTTTGAAATCTTTATTGGAGGACACATATATATTACAGGCAAGACCAGAAGCCCTGCTACCGTCTTCAAATGACCCCTAATATTCCATACAACTCCATATATCCTCGCCGTCCATTTTGAACCACTTGCCATGCCGACGCTTTCCGGGATTTACACGTCGCTGACAGGCCAAACCTTGGCCATAGACGAGCAGGGTCGTCTCAGTGTCATCCACGACGATAAGCAGAAGATTAAACTACGTGCAGATGCAGAGTTCTGGCTTTGTGAGGATGATGGGGTCAGTACTCTCCCTATAACCCGCAACTGTTACTGGAGAACCCCGTACTAAATCCTGCCCTCCGTCAGAAAATCGGCAAATTCGGATCTCCCAAGAAGGTAATAGATCTCCCAGGAAATCTCTTCCACGTTCAGACTTGCGCAACAGTGGAACTAGTCATTGCTTACTTGTTTCCACAGGTTTTCCTGCACTTCCAGGGTAAGGATTACCATATCTGGGTGGAACCGCGCGGCTTTAGTGATGGTTCATACGAGGTATGCAAAGCGAAGTTAATCTGAATACTTCCCTTTCCCAAATTGTTTTTTCCTCCTCGTGCATAGCTGACCGAGGGTGATCCATGGGAACAGTACGGACTAATTCCGATCGAACCCAATGCCCAGTATAGCAACCGATTTCTCGGCCTCAATGAAGAGGGCAATCAACTAGAGATTCTGCAGTCCTGGTCCGATGCAGCAAAATTTCGATGCATAGAGTGATTACGGTGAAGATCGTGCAATTGCATTCTGAGTCGGTCGATCTCATCCATGGCATGCTAGGGCTAGCTGGCATCTGCATGATTGCCTTTTCTGGTTGAATTTCAGATTGGACTTGACTCACGTCTATTTAAAGTAACAGCTAGACCTCCCATGTCTTTTTCTTTATTCACCCAACTCTCGATGGTATCATCTCTAGTTCACTGTCGTAATCTACCATTCCTACGAAAGTATGTCCTCAAGAAAGATGAGTGTTTCTCTTGTAAGATGTAAGCTAGGGGATAGACTATAATCTACTCTTATTCCACTTTCAATAGTGCTAGCCTTGCAAAATTTAAGTACAAATTATGAATTAGTCGGGTTCTTTTAGACGTGTTTGTCAAATATCGGTACTTAAAAGTGAGGCTGCAAGAGGGCGCCAAGACCTGTCTGTCCGTAAGATGTATCATGTAGCCCAGGGCTCCGCGATTATAAACGTCGAGAATGACTCGTTTCAAACTGCGGAGGATCTCGGGACTGCTAAAAAACTCGGTTTCTTCCTGCAGTTACGATTGGTTAAGCATGGTTTATGCATACGCATGCATGTCTCAGCCTGATTCTAGTCTAGCTCTTCACACATCCATTCGGGTGATCGACATGATCAGTCCCACGAGCCTCCACTGTCTCCTGGGTATCATTCACTGAACATCAGGTTTGGCTAATCAGAGCGAAGGACAGTGGGTGGTGGTAATTGACAAGCAGACCCATATCTCTGTCGATCATATTGTCCAATACTCAGACAATATTAGATAGAAAGGGAACTGCGAAGTGCAGAACATGGACGACACAGTGAGGGAATTTCTTGCCATCTTCTCTAAGCTGGAATTCGATCCCTGATCTCATTGATCTACGAAAATACTAAACCAAATGGGGTGGCCGAGCTATCTAGCTTTCAATCTAGCTTCAATAAACTTCTTTTCGCCATCCACTATCTGCAGTCGATAGGTCGGAAAGCCCTTGGCATGGTGCCAATAATCACTCACTGAATTCCCCTTTGGCTCATCCTTACTGTGTCTCATGGTCACGCCAGGGTTGTTGAAGCCGGGTGTGATTTCCGTTCCATTTGGACTGGATGGACCTCAGTCGGCCGGCCAGCAACATTCCCAACAGCTTGCAGTCTGCAGCATCATCACACTCAACTCCCCTCGTCTCACATCGCACTGCGCTCTCTGGGTATAGATCTACATATAAGTGGTAAAGTACGGAGGCGTGCACCAAAAGTCCTGGCGTCAACGCTAGTAACTTTGGCCTCAGGCAACGTAATAGCCTTACTTTACACAAATAAGTGGATTTATATCACGTGGTCCTCATCCAATAGAGAGCATTTTTCTATTTCTAAGCAGCACATAATTGGTCATCAATCACATGGTAGTCATGTGATTATTCTCGAAATTCTCAGTACAGTAAGGGTGTTATTGTTGCCTTAGGCCAACATTACTAGCGTTGACGCCTGGACTTTTGGTGCACGCCTCCGTATCTCTGATATCCCTGAGACTGAGTACCTTTCATTAGATTCAGAGTACGCCACGTTCGGGGCCAGTAAGCGGAAGGGGCAATACACTCTCAATAATAAAAGTCCTCCCCGATCTTCCTCATCCAAATGGGATAGAATTAAGGAGGACTCCGTGCACTATCAGTGGCTCGTTTCCTGCACCGGCATGCATGAGGTACATCATGAGTTCAGCCGGATGTGCCCTCAGAGGCCTATTTGAAGCGCAAGAATTGGGACATCTCCGGAGACTAGACCAAATAACATCTTCCATCGACCTTATTGCACGATCTTTGTGGATAGGTTATGCGTACGTGCCGCAGGTCACAGACGAGGAATGTGCGGTCCCAGAGCCAAAGTACCTATACGTGTATGCAAGTTCCTTGCCTCGGCATTCATGGTCTCACCGGTATGTAGAACACAAAGCTAATGGTTTTTCCAGTCTGACAAGACGTAGCCGATACTCCAAGAAACGATAATCACGTATTGGGTGAAATTTTATTTAGCTTCCTCTCTACAGTCTACGTGCGCCTCCTCCTACCAGCTCTGTTAACTCGGCTTTGGGAAGCACTAGCACCCTGAATCATAACCATGGGATCACTGGGAGAATTAGAGTCCTCGGATCGCAGGGGAGGTCTCTGTCGTGAAGACCCTGTCATGAATTTGACCAGTACACTGGCCAGTTATGTTCAGCATCTCGAAAGAGAACATGCCCAATCCTCATCGCTGAAGACGCAGACTTGCAATGATGTCGCACAAAAGTCGAACATTGTCGCGCTCTGCAATAAGGTCATCGCCATGACCATGGACCCGGAGATGTATCTCTTCACCACATCCTTACAGGTAGGACGGCTGGCCATGGTGCTATAAGACAAGCTTACTTAGCTCTCTAAACGCTAGTTTCACTTCTGTTCCTGCCTGAAAACCGCAGTGGATCTCAAAGTACACGAACATATTCCCCGGCATGGAGCAATCGGTATTCAGCAACTCGCCGGGGCTGTGGATGCCGACGAAAAGTTATTGAGTAAGTGCAGTATAGCGGAGGGCTACAAAGTCTGAGACTAATCTATCACACAAATGAACAGGGCGAATCATGAGGATGCTGGTCAACAAGAGCGTATTTGCCGAACCGGAACCCGGATCCTATGCCCACACCCCGGCCTCCTTGGTTATCTGCGCGCCGAACATGACGGATCTTCTCAGCCATAGGTTTGTCCTGCAACCAAGCTCGCTTGTACCAAACGATAAAGGCTAACTCCTGGAACGCTGAGCAGGCTGGAGGATGGGTTCCGAGCTGCCAGCCGACACGCAGAGGCACTGGCGAAGTTAAAATATCGGGATCCTACTGCGGAGGATGTTCTCGGCTTTCAGCTAGCCTTTTCAACTACCAAGAATTATTGGGACTATGTGGAGGAGGATGACCCTGAGTGCGGACAGCGGTTCTCCAAGGCGATGCGGGCAGTGACAGTCAACAAACTGGGCGATGTTCCCAAGCTGTATCCATTTGACAGGCTTGTCGACGATGGCGGAGTGATTGTTGATGTTGGTGGCGGAATGGGGCAGGTTGCGCAGAGCATCCTCTCTCACTGGCCTGGACTCGGGCTGAAATGTATTGTTCAAGACAAGTTTGCATGCAAGAGTCGTAGCACGCATCCCGACTTGGAGATGCAGAGTTACGACTTTTTCAGCTCACAACCGGTCAAAGGTATGCCAATCCCCCCATCCCCGCACTGTACTTAATGATTGTGACGGAGAAGCCCCACAATATATGTCTCTAAACTCACCGGTATTAGGAGCCGCGGCGTATCTCTTCCGTCATATATTCCACGATTGGCCGGATGATGCCTGCATAAAGATCCTGAAGAACACCGTGGAGGCACTTGATTCTCATCGGAGTCGAATACTCATCTGCGATCAGATTATGGAGGAAAAGAATCCGTCCACGGCGGCCGTGCTTTACGACATCGATATGATGTGTTTGTACGGCGGCAAAGAAAGGACCTTGTCAGAATGGGAGGCATTGTTGAAGGCTGCGGACCAGAGACTGGAAATCAAGAACGTATTCAGGAGCCCTAATCAAGTCTCGGGTATTCTTGACGTGCAGGTTTGCTGCGATTAGTCGGCGTGTGTTTAATGGTTGGTAGTTAAAGATATCATGAGCAAACAGAACGAGTCTCGGGCATGTTGTCTATTCATAGGAAACCAACTATATCTATTACTGTAGTATTTATCGTCGTCAGTTATTTTTAGCCATGATGCGTAACAAAAAAATGAAGTCAACTTAACGTCTTCGTTGATTGAGGATTTTTACGGGCTTTAGCCAGTGTATTTTTGTTGGCTAGTGCCTCAGGCATTGAGCCTTGCCCTAAAGGTGTAGCTCTGTTCATAGCAACGCGATCTTGGGTCAAGTATCCTGGATAGAAGCCCTTCTATGCCTAAATCGGTTAGACCTTCCTAATGTGGTATGATGTACGATGAACTTGGAATTGACAGGCTAGACTCTTCATCTCAATTGCGTCTCCCAAGCAAACAGATAGAGTGATGACAGGGTACACTAGTAAAAGAAAACTCGATCTTGCTACTTCAAAATTAGCAATATCTACGGCTTCGTGTAACCTTGTACTTTAAAGCTATACTAGATGTGTTCGAAGAAGCGCAATTTGAAAAGTTGCTGGGTACTTTCAAAAATGGACCCCGAAAAATATATATATACATTCTGGACCTCGACTTTCAACTTGCCTCTCTTCTTTTGGAGCTCAAAGCTATGGTTCAACCCGAATCAAGTTTCCCTGTCCATCCTTTCAAGATTGATCTTGAGTAATCCTTTGGTCTGTCACAGTAATGTAGTGAGGTTGAAGTTGGTGGAACACTTGAAACTGTAGTTGTTTCGGATCCGAGCCGGACCCGAGACCCCGAACCTAAGATACCAGCATATCTGTTATGTCCGGGGTGGAATTCGCGCGACGCTGCACGTTCGGGGTACCGATTCTGCTGCTCTCCTGAAGACACAGAATTCTGGTGTATACTTGGTTACGTTCATATCTACGGAGTATTGTTGACAGCGTTAATAAAGTTCTTTCATATGGAGGATAAATCTCGATTAAATAATCTAACCAGCCTACCCAACACTGCACATTTCTTCGATTTGCTCCAAGAGTAAGGGTCAACCGTGTTTTGGCCTTCCCCTTGCATAAAACATTCCTCCGACCACACACACGCGAATTGAACTTGGGTATCTCAGGTCTCAAGGGTATTCGCTTCTTGTTTTTTCCCTTCCTCTAAACGAAATTGCTTAAAACCCGCTAAGTTGTTGAAGACAAGATATCCGAACTGCTGCTTGCATATCGGTCCTTATGGCTAAGCTCAGGCCTCCGGCGAGCTAGTAGATGGATATAGTGCTTAGTAGAATGGCTCAGATTGGTAGGTCTACCCTTTCTCGGGAGCAACTGCAGGGCGTTGCTGCGTAGAAGGCGTGTATTGGTTGCATAAATTGTATTGCGACTGACGCCGAGTCTCTTAGCTTATTTGAGTCGGGGATTCCTGGTTTTCTAGAGCAGACAAAATAGCCGCCCGAGTCTCGGTAGACAGCTCAGTATTCGGCTTTCGATTGCCACTAATTTCGGTTTTGGAAGCTGTCATTTTGATCCAATGGTCAGTAGTTGAAAAAGCTGGGACACTTTGACGCGTCGGGAAAACGCGCTAGTGTGTTTACACTTTGACCTACCTTGGATTCAATGATGCTTGGCTTGGTGTGACGAGGTAGCGAACAATTCTACATTACTTTATGGGAATGATGATACTAAAGTAATCTGAGACTCTAGATTTTGTACATGTGCATGCCTCATTTCTTGGTCAACCAAGAATTGTACCGACCACATCTTTGCCTACACCCTCAACGGTGGGCACTATTACACCCAGGCTGCCTGGCTCGGAGAGCGGCAACAGCTCATCAGTATGCGAACAATCTGACTGTATAGCCTCGCCATTCATCCTCTCCTCTAGCCAAGCAAAGGCTTCCAGAAATCCATCGACTTGCAGAAGTATATGCTCGTGCGTCAAAACATTCTTATATTTGACCGCTGTGCCTCCCGCACAATACCGCGACGCAACGATCTCTGCCGTGCTGGCGGGACTGATCTCATCGAGAGCCCCCTTGTACACGAAGATCGGTATCTTAGGCGGATTCTGTCCGAGGTTGTTATCCTTCAAGGCCTGCTGCATCTGAGGATAACTTAGGATGCTAGGATCCTTGAAATAGGAGAAGATATCCTGGAAGGGGTATTCGATGACATTTGCCACGAAACAGTTATGGTTCGCATCGTAGAACTTCGCCTTTTTGCTCTCGATAAGCTGCTCCTTGTATAACGCCGCGATGTCGGGATATTCATGCGCTATGCCGTTGAAGCCCCCAAAGTCAAGCCCCACAAACGGGCCCTTGTTAACGGTATATGTGACGACCTCGATATCGCCGATAAGCCCTCCCAGCGCGGCGCCAACGATCATATCCAGATCGGGGGCGTAGGTTGGCTGGAGTTCAGCGGCGAATCCGCTTGCTAGACTTCCTCCCGAATAACCCCACATCGCGACGGATGCATTTGGGGAGACAGTAGTAAAGTCCGAAGAGCGAAGGACGGCTCTAATCCCATCCAGAACAGCATGGCCGGCGCGACGATTTGCCAAAAAGGCGGCCTTGGGACCCTCGTGATCCGGTATACTCACAATCCAGCCCTTTTCCAGCGCCGCTCGAAATAGGACTGTGTGACTTTGGATTCCTACTTTGGAAAGGAGGTCGTTGTCTTCTATGCCGGTTTGGAGGACGTATGATGGTGCACAGTTAACGGCAGATGAGTCCTCTGGAATCTGGTAGGACAGCAGTCTCGAGGTATTGGCATTTTCTGGGACGAGAACTGTGGTGACTGTTGCCGTGGCGTTGTCCCAGTTGTCCGTGGATCGGTACAAGATTTGGTATGCCGCTTCCAGTTTGATCTTTATGGGGTCGATTAGGGCGATCGGGTGTGGTACGTTTCTGTATCGCAGGATAGTACCTGGGTCTTCGTTTTCGTATCCTGCCGGGGGTTCGTAGAAGGGGTCTGTACTGGGAGGGGTGACTGTGGCCCTACTCGCCAGGCCACCGGGGTAGGCAAGACATGTCGCGAAGACAAAGAAGAATGACAGTAAGGATCCTAGCCCCAGCATTCTGATGATGTGTAGGACCGCACCGGTGGATGCCCCCAGTCGAAATATGTGTATAGCTGCACAAGAGGGAAGACCTCAAATAAATAACACCTGCTGACAGAAACCACCATAAGGTTGACTGCCCTGTCTATGTTCCCGTGTTATACATTCCGATCCATGTATATAAACAATGATACTAGCAATTTTATAAGGATCTGCGTTTTCCTCAATGGTATACTATAAGATCTGAATTCATCCATTCCTTTTGCCGACTGGTCTTCCAATCGCTAGCTAGATATTGGAATCTCTTCGTGATTTTCTGGTTGTGATTACTCTCCAGGAAGTCGTTATGCAGTAAATTATTGAGAGGACAGCACATGGAAATGATCAACATACCTTCTTATCCCTTGGCTTCCGAGGCCAGACATTGGGAGCGTTGTCCTACTGATGAGCATCGACAGAAAAGATCTATAAACTAACCAAGAGAGGTAAGCGGGTTGTGAATCGCATCTTCTCCTGATCGGCCGGGTATTATGTTTATACTAACAAATATGCCGTCCGTTGGAGATCTCGTAGCCGGGATGGACTGTGATACCGCAAAGATCGACATCAATACCCCAACCATATCTAGAATGCTAGGTTAGGGTTCCGTATTCAAGTAAGGGGCAGGGCAAAAGCATCTCCTCGGGTAAACTCAGCCTGCCAAGACTGGACTTCCCACCAATAATGGACTAGATCGCCTGATACGGTTATTGAGACTTTAGACCGATCGTCACTCATCCCTTCGATTGAGGAGTTGGATTACCGTTGCCCAGAACGTCACTTCCGCATCAGGATTGTAGGCCCAGGTAGCATAAAGTGAGACGTAACCATTCGTTGTTAGCTCTGCAATGGTACAGTCAATTAGATATCTAGCCCCTTTTTCCTTCTGATGCCTCACGATATCAGCCCAAACAGTTGTCGCTGCCCTTGCCCCGGACTGTTCCTATAGCTCAGCAACTCCTTGTCCTGGGCCCGCGTGTTTCTCTGTTCTTCTGGCGCACACCCTAGTAAGCAATGTGGGTGGACTGGTCAGCTTTTCCCCACCGTAATTAAGCAATCAACTAAAGATCAATAGAATATGCCTTAAACAACCTTGCCAATGCTCTTTAGGACGAATACGACAACGATCTAGGAATGGAGGCCATCGGTATGCGGCGGCAACGACGTCTCGATCCCGGGCCGATCCACTTCCTAAGGATGCTTTTCCCAACTACGGAGTAAGCGTTGAATTTCTTTAGTACTAAACGTGGTCTGGTAACTTATTTTGACTGTTTCTTACCATTTTGTCGTATTTTATTCTACGCTGTCCTATTTTTATTTTTATTTTTGGTACCGCCTGGGTATGATTTGCTCGAGGCCTATTTAAATCGGCATATCCACTTGTTTTGTTCTGGGACAATAGCGATCATCTATCGGGCGTATAAATTAGGCATAGACCTAGATAAAACGGCAAGTCCATGCCGGGTTGTACTCCGCAAAAATGCTCATAAGAGACGATCGTCACTTTGACTTGGCGACAATCGAGGGGTCGAAAGGTGGAGCTACATACCAGGGTCATAGACGCTACTGCGCAGTACCACAGTAATAAGCATACTAAGAACCAGTCTATGTCTACATCGGGGTAGATTCCCAATCCGGTAGTATTGGCTAGCTGTGCACTCGTTATCGTCGGGAGTTGTCCCAGGGCCACCATATAGAGTGATGGCAGTATACGCTAGTAAAGAAGTCTCTCACTATGCGGCAATCAATATTATGTCTGGTTTTATGGAATCCTGTCCAAGGCTATATAGATGTGTACGTACAGGTACTATATAAGTCCGAGCCTTGAACGAGGACATGTAAAATAAGATATCTTCGATATCTTGAGTGTCTTTTCTACCTCTATATCCTAGGGCCATGATTTCAAATTCTGCCAAGCTTCTCTATCCTTCCCTCTATTAATCGATCTTAGAAAATCTAATTCTCTATTCCAGTAATATAGTAAGGTTAAGGATAGTGGAACAGTGCAAATGTCCGAACTGTAGTTGTTATGGATCCGAGATGCCGTGGTATCTATTTTTCAGAGACTTCTAAAGCTCTTTCGTATAGAACATAAATCGCCTTTTAATAAACTACCTAGCCTACTCAGTACTGCACATGATTTCATCAGCTCTAACTACGAGTGAGTATAGGCTGTGTTTTGGACTTTCTCTGCACCGAAGATTCGGCCGAAAGTATGATATGCTTCCTGTCATGAGAACTCTACCACGGACGCACGAATAGAAGGCTCTGTTATTGTATTTTATTTTTTATTTTTTTTTTACTTTGCCAAGAGGACGCAATATGTACTCTCGGCAGTGCAAGACGTCATAGTCATAGTACAACGATGATCGCCATTAGTTATGTTCTTCGTAATTGGTAAAGCATCAACCCACAGAAGCCCCATCGCCGAGGGCAGCTAATCAGCGGCCAAAGTTCAAGTGCGTTATTTTCTGATAGAGTATCTTTGATGTAATTGATTCAGTTCGAGAAAATACATGAAGAAACAACCCGTTACCGGACCTTCTGGGTTATCCGCGAGGCCCGAAGCATACAATTCATCTATGCATTCCATGACGTAGAAAGGTTATATAAGTAGAGCCAATGTTCGCTTCCAAGACTTTGTATAATGCCAGCAACAAGTTATGAGAACTCGGAGGTGAATCTACTACAAGAGATCGTTGCAAGAACCCGTCATAATGGCACAGCGTATTGATGTGCATCATCACTATATCCCCCTTCCCTATTTGCAAGGTCTGTTTTATCTTTCATCCATTGAGAGATACCTTTGAGACTAATAATCTAATTCTTAAGCCCTTGAAAAAACTGGTGGTGATCCCTCCGGATAGCCTACGCCCGCTTGATCCTTGACATGGACCAAAAGATTTGCAAAGATTGTGATATTGAAACAGCAACTTTATCCATGACTGCTCCTGGTACAGGGTTTCTCAAGGGAGCTGAGTCTGCCCATATTGCCAGAGAATGCAATGAGTTTGGGAAGTCCCTGAGAGACAAACATCCTAAGAATCACGGGTTCTTTGCTACGCTGCCGGATATTCTTGATACTGAGGCTACTTTGAAGGAAATTCAATGTGCCTTTGATAATCTCCAAGCTGATGGTTTTACCCTCTTTACCAGGTATGGCAACGGGAATTATTATTTAGGACATCCTGCGATTCAGCCTATATGGCAAGAACTGAACCGACGTGCTGCGGTGGTATTTAATCACCCGACTCTTCCAGTGGATACCAATCTTGTCAACAAAATGCCTCCCCACCCTATGATTGATTATCCACATGAAACAACTGGCACAGCTGTTGATCTTATAACAACTGATACTCTGAGAAAGTATAGCAATTGCAAGATTATCTTGTCTCATGGTGGTGGAAGTCTGCCTTGGCTGGCCAGACGTCCAGCAATCATGCTAAAAGATCTCAATCTGTCTACCATGACACCTGAACATTTTATAGAGAATGCGCGAATATTCTACCATGATTTGGCCCTGACAGACTCCTTATTTGCGTTACCTCTCCTGCAGAGGTTTGCTGCTTCTGATCATATTCTTTTTGGAAGTGATTTCCCGTATGCCCCTTAGGCTACGGTTAGGCGGTTTAGCGAGGAGCTGACTGAGGCCAATCTCTAGAAGTAAGATGCAGAGAAGATTAGCCGTGACAATGCCCTCAAGTTATTCCCTCGCCTTTCCTCCCAGTGAAGAATCTTTGGCGGCTTGTGTCATGAATGCACACAAACCCAAAATGGAAAACGAGGGGGAAGTAGGAGCGGGCTAAAGATTTTCTCCCTGGACTTGTTTCTGTTCCCTTGTTTTCTTCTTTCTAATGTGCCTCTGAGCCCCTAGGGTCTTATAAAGAAACCGAGAAATAAATATGTAATAAACTCGTATAGTTCTCTAATCAACATATTTAATTTATAGTCTTCAGAGAGAGAAAAATGTATATCTTTATAGCTTTGCCATAGCATATGCTATGTTCCTATACTCTAATTAAAATTACCCTCAGTATTTACACTTTACTTGACCTTTGGAGAGACATTAGGTAACATAAATAGGCGGTGCAGTGGTGAGGGCTCCAGACCTCCTCGTACTCGGCCATAACCATGGATCGAGTTTCATTTAAGTTCAGCCAATGACCGCTATATATAACCTACCATCTCCAGCGATTTAAATATCAAGCATTGTAGCACGTGTTCGAGATCAACTTCCACCTAGCTGTGCCTAGCTGTGTTAATCCGCAGCGGTAGGCAAGTAACAGCATCACAGAACTACCATGATAGGGTTTCATCCATGTCGAAGCGCAAGAAACCAATCAGGCAAAAAGAGAGAATCTCACAATGCCGTTGAGCTCTCCGACCCCTCAACCAGCGTGCCTAGTCGCTGGTGGCGTAGTGCAACACCATTTCCTGTTTTGGCAGTAATTGTCATCTTCATCTCTATCTCGCCTGCAGCCATTTAACAGATATATAGGGAACGCTATGTGCGATGGCGATCATGTTCAATATCTGTACTGTCTCCCAAGGATGGCAGGAAATGGAAAATGTTGATGGGAGCATAAACATATTATCTCAACCAAGTTGGTGAGTATCATTCTACTCCTGTCTTTTCTCCCAGGGTTTAACGACCAGTAAATGTTTCAGGATGGTCGCACTTAAAGCGGTATCCTTAGCTCTGGCTGCCATCTCGTACATCGTGCTAATATTGACAATGATGTGCAAACGAAACCCGCAGATAGGATTCATTGTGACAATATTGGGTTGGTTAACCGCAGGGGTATTATTATTCATCCTCATAGGTGTCACTCTCCGGCGACATCCAACAGTGCAACCACGAGAGTCATTGAAGTATACACAGGGCTACTTCTACGGTATTATAGCTGCAAGTTTGTATATTTTCATTGCAGTTTTACTATCAGCTTATACTGCCACTTTGCGCTTGGTTTCCTTAAGCCGTCAGGACAGGCGAACGGTCGAATATACTAGCATCATCCTGCGAACTATCACTTTTATAGCCGTTCTTACAGGTGGTGCAGGTGTGTACAGCGCTATTGAGGGTTGGTCTTTTATGGACGCATTGTACTTTACCGACTACACCGTTCTCACTATTGGAATCGGGAATATTGTCCCCAAGACACATCTCGGAAGAAGTCTGCTATTCCCGTACGCTACTGTCGGGATTATAACGTTGGGTCTCGTTGTGAACTCTATAAGATCATTCGGGAAGAGTATCAGACGTATGAAACTAAGACTGGAGCTCCAAGAAGCGCGCAGCGAGCTTCTGAAAGGAAAGAACTCAACAAGGCCGGTTCATGACGAAAACAGGGACAGTATAACATTATCCAGCATACTATCCACGGCCACGCTGCCTCAAACGAGTGACGTGGCGGAGCTTCAGCGCATCCGATCTGATTTCAACCGAAGAGTCCAAGTGCAGGCCCTTCTCTTTTTCATCTTGGCATGGTTTGTCCTGTGGCTTCTCAGTGCCGCGGTATTTCGTCGATCGGAACGAAGCGAGGGCTGGACGTACTTCATAGCTCTTTACTTTACATACACTTCATTAACAACCATTGGCTATGGAGACTTCTACCCTACCAGCAACTTTGGCAAGGTTTTCTTCGTCTTCTGGTCGCTGCTTGCTATCCCCGTTCTGACCAATCTCGTCACTGCCATGGGCGACATAGGTGTGCGAACGGCTGTTTACTTTGCTGGGTATATCTTGACGTTAGGCAAATCAAGAATCAAGAGGCGTAGTGAAAAGAGTGGGTCAGATCCGGAATCGCGAAGCAATTGTAGGGATATCGAAAAACATGCTGAATTGTCGTCAAAGTTGAGCAAGCGGTCGATGGACCTGAGTACAATACCAACAACGACCACTTTTGCGGCTAACGACCTTCAATTGTCCCAGTCGGTGAATGAACCTGGACAGTACGTGCTTCTACTAGCTGAAGAAATCAGCAAGCTCGTAACAGCGCTTATGGATGGTGCCAGTGAGCAGGACCCTCGTCGCGATTGGCCGTGGGTCCTCTCCCTACTCAATTCACACAATGGCGAGGCGAGTGGTTCAGTCGTACCCGTTTATCCTGGGATTATGAATCATAGCACACTGCACGCCAGTGACGGCTTGATCAGCGAGGAAAAAGCTGCGATGGAAAGGAACAATGAAACTTTGTTGATGATCAAGTTGTTGACAGAGAAGCTCTGTGCGGACTTGAGGAAGACTGAAGCGAATGCACCTTAGGAAAGAAATATATACGAAGTGGAAATGGGGAATATCATATTGAATATAATCTGCACAACTATGCAAATAAAGCAGTGATAAGAGGTAGCCGAATTAAACTTCTGGTACTCCAGAACAATAAATTGGGAAGTAATCACACCACCAAAGCCATCAAGAAGCCATCATGGTTCTTTGCACCCAGAGTCTGTACAAGCACTGCTTCTACTCGCGTATCCTGCCCAACCTTTTCCACCAGGGATATCGCCCCTTCTTTACGTTTCTCCGGGCCCACGATTCCGTCTTCCAGCATACTCTGAACCGCATTGTCGACCAATATGACAGCCCCGGGGCCCTTGGCTAGTTTAACACCATAGTCGAAATAATGCCACTGATTATCCCAGTCCGCATCGATAAACACAAAATCGAACTTCGATCGCTTCCCTTGCTGAATTTCCTCCTCTAACCGGGGCAACACCTCCAGACCAGGCCCGAGCAACACCTCAGCCTCGTCCGGAACTTTCACCCCAGCGTTGCGCAGATTCTGGATAGCAAGCTCTCGTCTGTCTTCAAGAATTTCGATGCTAGTCACCTTCCCCTTATTGCCATTGGCATTGAGGGCCCGGGCGAACCAGATGCTGGAGTATCCACCCAAGGTGCCGATTTCCAGTACGTTGTGGGCGCCTGACATCTTGGTCAGCAGGGAAAGGAATTTGCCCTGGGCTGGGGAGACGGCAATTGGTGGTATTCCATTTTTGGCGCAGTTGGAGATAGTGTCGGTTAGGGCTTGGTCAGTTGGGACCAGATGGGAAACGGCGTAGGAATCCACTTCCTTTTGGAGCGTGGTGGTCGGGGACATGTTGATGTTTTAATTAAATAGGTTGCGGTGGCGTCTGCTATGGTAGGGTCGAGGCAATTGGTTGTTGGGAGTTGTGAAGAATGTGAGGGTTAAATTCTATCGATGAGATGGATGAGCTTGATATAAATGCTGTTCGCTCCTCGGAGCTTCACGTAGGCAGAGGAACACTATCTCCGAGATGGCCAACATGAGTCAGGCTTGGCAATTCTTCATGACTGGGGCGATTTAATGATTATCCGTACTCTTTGATCAGCATTTTACTGCAGTTTGAAGTCGCAATTTCGCGAAGATTCATGAAAATTGAGTACTTTGAAATCCAATAGGCATTTGTTGCAACTCGAGAGGCAAGGCCATTCTGGTGATATGTATAGCTTGACGTTAATCATTACACTTGGTTATATCGCAAAGACTACCCTATAGCTGTACTAGATGGTTATATCAATTGAGCAAAGGTATATCTAAGCCTCTCTGCCAGGTATGTCATAGTCTGTCGAGAGCATGCTCGTTATCTGATCATGATCTTGCTTGATAATCGTTCTTATCGCCGAACCGTTATCGCCGAGGCACACATGTTTTCTCCGACGCTGACCAACGTCACGACTTATATCTCCGCGACCCCCTCGGACCTCCCGTTCATCACTTCATCATCTGATAAGATTCTACTCCGATCAGATAACAGGAAGCCTGTTCTTCTGCTCGAGGGGTACAATGCTGCCCAATAATTCTCAGCGGATGTCCGAGCCGACAGCGCCAAGACGACCAATCGCGCGGAGAAAGCGGAGACCCTTGTCTTGCTCTCTCTGCCGACGACGAAAACTTGCCTGCGACCGTGAATATCCGTCCTGCAGTAGGTGTCGGAAAACCGGGAACTCTGATTCCTGCTCATACGAGGATGCTCCTGCGCCGTCGCGTAACAGTCAACGAAGATCAGGTGTGCCGGGGGAAACCAGACCCGTGCTTACTGCTACCCCGGTCCTTGGGAACACTACCTCGTCTGCTTCGTTAGATGGCTATAGGACCAATGATAATACTAGGCCAATTGTCCAGGACCTCACAGAACACGCAGGCACTTGGCAGCTGATAGGTGGTGGTGTCGATGGAGCTACGACCGTTAAAGACCGACCGGCCATTAAAGCCGACGTCACTGAACTGACATATCCCCCCGAACCAATGTCAACCGAGGCTGTGATCTTCCGAGGGAAGAATTACAAGACACAGTATTATGGGAGTACAAACCCCACTAGTTTGATCGGTCATGTAAGCGCTGTTATCAGATTGTCTTTCGACTGCAAGGCTTATTTATAATTCAGTTCCCCGAGCTTCGGTCTTACATGAAGGAGACGATCAAGCACCATGCGTCCCTACCCGGTGTCCAGAAAGAACTGAAAGCATTGGACACGAAATGGAAGTATGAGAAACCCAATAACCTTGCGGTCAAGACTGCGGACCTGTTGCTGTTACTCCCAGACCAGAAACAGATGGACGCAGCCATTCGGCTATATTTCGAAACATTCGAAACGATGTACAGAATTGTGCACAGGCCGACTTTCATGGAGGAGTATGACCAGTTGCAGAAGGATCGATCAGCTGCAAAACCAGGATTTATTGTCCTCATTCTATTGATCATGGCCACCGTCAGCTGCACAACGACAACTGACCGAACTTACGTGGGTAGCAGTAGTCTCGGTCGAGAACGGGGATCGCTGTGGATTGAAACGGCGGAAGCGTGGCTTGCAAAGCAGAGCAAGAAGAATATCTACCTGGTCATATGGCAGATTCGCTGTCTACTCGTGCTTGCAAAACAAATGTGCCGCTACAAGAAGAAGCGCATGTGGTCGGTGGCGGGTGACCTGGTGAGAGAGGGAATGGCGGCCGGCTTTCATCGCGACCCAAGCCGTCTGGGGGGCAAGATATCTTTTTTCGACCAGGAGATTCGCCGGCGACTGTGGGCGACAATGACTGAGTTGGAGCTACAGGCTTCGGTCGAGCGAGGACTGCCATCAGCCTTAGCTGCGATTCAAATGGATTGTGCCCCTCCGGTTGATATCGACGATGAAGGTTTGAGACCCGAATCCTGTTCTACAGAGATACAAGGATCGCCTGGGCATCGTACATCGACTTTGTTCTTGCGGTTATGTAGGAACAGCTTGGACTTGCGTGTATCCTTAAATTCTCGGATGAATGATCTGACCTCGGATTTGCCATATGAGGATATCCTCAGATACGAAGACATGATCATGAGTGAACTTAAGAAGCTTCCCTCTTCAAGCGACAACAGCGATGATACTAATGACAAAGGCCTATCTCAGATGGCAAGGGTAGTCCTAGATCTGCAACTGCGGCAGTTCCTTGTCTTACTCCACGCCCCCTTTGCTAGAAAGGCAGAAAATAATACACGATACACAGTATCAAGGATGGTTTGTTTCAACGCCGCTGCTAGCATGATTGACCAGCATTGGCGGCTGGTACAGGCTGGGAATTCCATGCTATTGCTTTTAAGACATGACTACTTCCGCGGAGCATTAAACCTTTCTCACTACGCATTTATATCCTCAGGAATCAAGGGTAAGTTATTTCCACTGAGGTACTGGTGTTCTTCTACATAAGATTTTATATGTTAAACTCTAGTACAGCCGATATATGTGTCCCAATCGACCAGAATGCAATATTGCAATATATCCAGAATGCGTTGTCCATGTTGGAGGACAGCATCACTTATCTTGGAACCGGATTCACATACCACTGGTACATTTCTGCAGCGATTTCCTTTTTGCGATCACAGTCACAACCGGTAAAGTCCAGCACACTCAAGCAGGAAGCGATTAACCAAGTCGTCAAACAATATTACCGAGTACTTGCAACGCAAGAACAGTTCCCTGGCGCCAAGGAGAAGATCTATTCCTCACAATTCAGACAGGTAGCTCAGCTCAAATACTTTCCTGGACGTTTGGATAATGAAGCACATATGCTAAGTAGTCTTCCATAGGGTGAACCCTGCGAAGCTGAGTGCCAGTTCACCAGTGATAATGCGCTGGACCCAACGGAGATGTCCTTGGATGATGTGGGCTTTTCTCAGGTTCGTCATGAAAGCTCCCTCCACGCTTCTCCCGGTTCCTGGTAATTACATATATGCATATTAATATGTTATAGTTTGATCCAACTGTTCAATCGATGGAGCAATATTTCTTCGGCGATCCTGCCGCTTGGACATTCGACGATCTGTGGGAGGTAGCATAGACTAATCAACAGCCAAAGTTATACGGCATACAGAAAATTGCACCGAACTAATCAGTACAGCTATGATGGGTGCGTAAATATGAGAAGGTCAATCATCATTGGTGTCTTCATTATTATTCATTATGTAGATCATGTCATAGGACTAGTGCATTGAAACATTCAGATAGTCATCAAGCCTGTGTTAACTCCGACAATATACCAGTCAAATCCAAAGGCTTCAAATCATCGAATATCTGCATCACCTTGGGGAATAGCTGGTTGATATTAGTATTATACACAGCATTCGCTTATAGGACAGACTTACATCGATGACACCATCAATCAGAACGGTAATTGTATTGGTACGATTAGGGTATAGGAGAGTATGTGCACGTTCAGTAAAGTTTTAACTTGAGCGACGACCGTTGGGTCAATCACTGGCGAGACCTTATTGACCAACTCCAGTATCTGATCCGTGCCATCTTTGGTGAGTAGCTTGCCTGCATTTTCCAGGAGACTGGCTACTTGTTTAAGGAGTTCTGGTGCTATCACCGGCGCGATCGCGTCGACTAAAGTGCCCGTTGTATTGACGAACTCAGCTGTGAGAAGGGTCTGTGCAACGGTCAGTAGACTGTCAACTTCGCGGAGGGTCTGCTGGGTAAGGAAGCGTGGGAGACTGTCAACCAAACTGCCTATTTGTGCTGCTGAATCAGATGTCAGGAGACCGTTTCCATTCTGGATCAATGCCGTGATTTCATTTAATGTTTCGTCAGTCAAGAACTTCATCGCAATGGGAATCAATGCTTCCGCTTTGTTGAGTACTGTCTCGTCAGAAAGGAATTGGCTACCCGTGGAGATGAGTGCCTCCGTGCTGTTGACCATTTGAGCCGTCAAGAGGCTGTTGCCATTGCTGATGAGATCGTTGATCTTCTGAACGTTGCTTGTTATAAGCAAGGGTGTAACTTGGTCAAGGATATTGTTGATCTCCTTGATAAGGTCGCTTGCAAGAAGATCACCAGCATTGGCGAGAGTGACCCTCAGCTTGTCAACAAGATCCGTCGACAGGGCTGGCGCGGTGGCGTTTACAATTGATCTAATCTTGTTGACGACGTCGGTGGATAGTAAGTCGATCGTGGTGTTTAGAAGAGGCTGAATGGTATTAACGTTGGACGAAAGGAAGCTGTTAGCCTCTTTGATAAGACTAGCGATTTCCTTTGCCAAATCTTCGGTAAGGAGGTCATTGGCATTAGTGACCAAGTTGCCAATATCGTCCGCATGCGGCGTGATATACTGATTGACAGAGGCGAGTAATTGCGGGATATCAATAGCAGAGGATGTTGAGGCTAAATCGGAGAGCAGCGAGTCAACATCGGCGATGAGTGATTTGGTTTCCTTGACAAATGAAGACGTCAGGAGGTTGCTTGTGTTGTTAAGAAGGTTGTTTATCTCATTGAAGAACTCCTCTGTGAGAAGAGGGGATGATTCCTCAAGTAGGTTGTTGATCGATTCGACGTTGTCTGCTGTAAGGAGGACGTTTGCATTATCCAGTAGGCCTGTCACCGTAATGATTGTCCCATTGGTGAGCTCGTCAGTTCCTATCTGGATGACTGATTTTGTCTGCACTGAAGTTTGGTTGTCGAAAAGGTCTGCCAAATGGGTGATAGATGATACGACATTCTTCACGAGAGTAGGTGAGAACAGGCCTAACAAGCCATCAACGGCATTCCCAGCATTTTCCGACGTTCTATTTGTTGGTCTTTCTGGTATAAGACTACCAAAGATATCTTCAAAGATACTACCCAGATCGAGACTAGCCCTAGGCACCGGGTTGGAGCTGTCTTCTGTTGGATTAGATCCATATACCTGAAAGGCAAAGAGAAAGAGAGTCACATATTGGATGATGGGATACATTCTGACCATGGAGATGGCCACCACGAGGTCCCATAGTGAACTATACCCTTCCATCGTGCTTAGACTCCCATTGCTATAGCATATATCTATGTGTAAGTATGCAGTGTGTTTTCCGCATAGATCGCTGGAATGCAGGGAATTATGCGGGGGAGGATATAATGACCGCATAAAACGGAACCGGAACCTAATTGAATAGCGGATTTCGGCAGATTCTAGGCATAAGGGTAGGGCACAGCCTGAAAGACGCCCCATGGAACTCGCTCGATAGGACGTGAGTTGTGCTACAGGTATCCATGTCGCTAAAGGGGGTAATGCAGTTTTTCCTCATGTCACCTTGCGTAGATCTTTGTTACCCCCTCCACTTGTGGCGAATCCTACAGAGTCGTATGGATACAGTTAATGGTGTAATACTAGAGCTCCATCTGATGGATGCAGTCGAGATCAAGCAACATACATGTAGAAAATAGTGACGGGTTTAGAATGATTACCATTTTACTAGGGCTAACAGATTCGAGTGCTATGCCGGGCACTTTATTGTAACATGAGGCACCCCGCAAGGAACACGCTACTCTCTGGATATTATGACTAACGTCTGCATTTTGGATCGACATTAAGTAGATCGTACTTGGATATAAGCGGGGAACATGCCCTCTCTTTCCCTAGCATGCGCGAAGAGGCAATGGATCACCATGTAGCTATTAGATGGAAACCCTGACGTATCAAAAAGTCAAATAGCCAGCATTGTTACTTGTCATAATTAAGTGCTGCTGGTCTGGAAGACTCAGATAGGATTGAATAAAACTATAGATAAGAAACGATATTATACGAATTATCAAACCACAGAGTCTCGCAGCAAGGAAGTGTATATAGACTGAAATCCCGTAGGACCAAAACCACCATCATCAGATTGATCTTTCCCGGAGAGAGATGCACCCGTCCCTAGATGTCCAGAGGGGTCCCCGCTCAGTGCATGCATCTCCATTATATCGCCCGACTGCGGACTACCAAACTCGAAGAAATTCAGGTTGATAGCAGCCTCTCCAACATTGGTCTCTTCCGGGCTGCAACTGGCTTCCACCTGATAGGCGGTTTCCCTGATGGACTCTCCAATGGCTGTGATGAATTTGAATACATCATTATGTCGGCTCTCGGAGCTGTCGTCTTCTGGACTATCGGTAGCCTGCTCCTCTGGCAAACTGTCTATCTGGGATATGGAACCGACATCCTCGGTCAGCCTACCATTTGGAGCAATCTCCGGACATTGTGAAGTGTCGTATGTGTCCAGCCCAATGGTCCACGGCAGCCTTTGTTGCTTCTTGGCCCAGGGCGTCTGACGCACAAGCAGGGGTAGTGCATTGTCATACGGCAGACGGCCAGTTGCAAGGCTATAGTCAAGGGTTATAGATATCCGCAGATATGCCCGAGGACTACTAAGGAAGGCGTCATACCAGTTCGTCACTCTTTTAGCAGTAGTATCAAGTGACATGCCGACTGATGGCGGTTCTATCACCATCTGTGAGGAGCCGATGGCGTTTGTTCCGCATCGTAGAAAAGCTTCTTGTGTAGTAATGTACGCCAACTGCAGAATATGGTTGGTCCCAGCAGCTACATAATCAGCCACGTCATAAAGCATTCTCGAATGTCGAACAATCTCCCCCAGACGATCGAGACGACGCTTTCGGATCGTCATTTCTGCCTGCGAGGGAGACAGCTTCACATCGATGGCAGCAAGAACGAGGGGCACGGCGGTATAGGCCAGACTGCATTTGTCAGTGTGAGTGCCTATTGCCAATCAACAGTAAGAGGAAGCTTACACGCTCAGAGGCATCCGCTCTGCACGTCCCTGGCCACAGAAAAACTCTATGGCACTTGTTAAACCAGTCATGGCTTTGCGGAGGTCCGCGCCAGTTTCTAGCAATTGGCCCCTATAGTTAGTTCCGGTGAAGCTCAAATGCTTCTCGATAATCAACGCCTCATATTGGGCTAGATCAACACGGGCGGCACTAAAACAATCAGAAACCGGTATAGGCAAGGCGCGGGGTTAACCTACTAGTAATACATCCAAGTCAGATGAGTAAAGAAGGTAACGGTCTCATGGCTGGTAGACGGTGGAACAATCGAAACAGCCTCCCATTTCGTCAGATACCGCTTGATCCGGCGGATGGCAGCGAGAACGGCCTGGAATTCGGTTAAAGAGAGCGACGGGGACGATACCCCCTGCGAGGAAAACACCAGCGCGACCATATCGGTGAGAAGAACCGCTAATTTGCATTGTTCCTGCAGGACCTGAAAAAGTTCAATCTTGAGTTCCGGATCATATACTCGAGAATTTACTATTTCATCCGCGAAATCCTCTTCTGTAAGCCAGTTTGCCCCCATGTTGAATTCTACCGATGTAATTTGAGGACGACGGCGGAGCCCGATAGATAGAACCCGATCGCGCAGCACCATAGACCACCACAGCCGTTTCATCATGGATAAATTGATCTGACTATCACCAGGGCCTGGCCCGCAACCCACAATCATAGCGTTTTGGATGGCGCGCATCAACCATATATTGCTAGCTTGGGGGTCTTGAGCGGACGTGTGGTGGGCGAGAAGAGCAGAGCCTTGGGCTTTGGCGAATGCATCATCTTCTGCTTGGAGATCAAACAGTAGCTGATGCAATTAGTGACCATCGAACAGGGACGAAATATACTGGGGGCTAGGTACCTTAGCACGATCGTAAAATATGATTCTGGCCTTGCGTCTATCACTGAATCCACATTTTTGGAGCGTTTGTAAGGAAACATACTGATGCTGTTAGTAAGATTATATGCCAAAAGGCAAGAGTGTGTACGCACAGGACAACTGGAAAATAGAAGAGCTTGTAAAACAAATAATGATATTGTGTGTGAAGCGGAGTTAGCAGAGATACGCCAAAACTCTGCCTCATCCAGTGCTGGAAGACAAGGATGAATGTTGAGAAAATACTGCCTTGCGAATTCATTGATCGTGGGCCAGTCCGGAACACTCAAGGACCCCTTTGAAGCCAAGTATGCCACATCTTCCTGAGGTAGGACTGCCAGGCCGTTGAGTGTGAGGAAAGGGCAAAAGAAGAATGATATGCTGCTAGGGGCCGTGGGATTGACGGATGTTTCTATTGCAGCCGCATTTCCATGGTCACTATAGAACCCCTCGATGGGCTCTTCTGGGCGTATAATTTGTTTCGCGGTACTGTTGATGGGTGCGTCTCTTTGAGGGGCATCTTGGTCCGTAATTACAGACCTTGCAGCACTATGAAAGAATTAGCTATGTGATGAAGTCAGGAAGCAGATGTCGGCACATACTGCCTGCCAGATCTGGACCCGAGTGTGCAGTCATGTCGACCATCCTGGCGACATCTCGTACAAGGACAGCCATGGATAGATGCGTCGCATCGGACCTTGCGATGTCGACACCAATAACAGGCTCGGGGGGCCCGCTTAGTTCGTTGCCACATGGGTCAATGAAGTGACAATCTCGATGGACGGCGATCGTGAATGTGAAAGTGAGATGTGTTGGAGCATGGATCCGGGGAGAGGAGACTTCCCCGCCCTTCGGCACTTCAAATATCCCCCAGATGAAGCTAGACGTTGTCGATCCTCCCGGTGGAGTGAGGTTGAATATTTCCGAGTACAATCCGCCAATCGAGGCGCACATGACCCAGAGATCAGCGTGGTAGCATGCGTGCTAACGCCAGTTCCTTAGGATTACCCCTCTTTACGTGCTCAAACCTAGACCTGAGAGTTATAACGTATCTATTTCTTAATTAAAAATCTATTCCTGGCGCCGATACCCCACAGATAATCCCGCGGCATATTCGGATCTCGGCCCCACTCGCCATGTGAAGGCTAAAAACAAAACAACTCCACAGTAAACAGTACGCTAAACACATCTACCGATGTTGGGCCTTCTTCATTCTCTTCCGCATATCCTTTAGGTAGTACCGCATAGGGTAGGTCCGAATGAAGCTAGGTGTAGCAGGGTACACAACCTTCGTCATCCCCCGAACTACCTTCTGCATTCCTCTTCGCGTCCGACTGGTCTTAAGCCCATACCCCTCGCGGATGCCCTCTGGCAGCAAGTCTGCGGTCATCAGCCGCACCAGTGGCATGGAAACGCGGATTATGAACGGAACTTGTTTGTTAAACAGTAGATCCTTGGCAACGTTCTTTGCCTGTGGGGTTATCCGATGCTGTATCTTGTTGATCTGTTCGTCCCAATAGACCCAGAACGCCTCGCGAGTTGGGGGCCACATCTCTGGCTTGACACGGAGGGAAACCGCAAGAACGGCATATTCACGATAGGTTGCTTCGGCGGTGGCCTCATCCATACGCCCAAAGACTTGCTCGTACAAATCAATCCCGACAGCGTAGAGAGTCGCCGCCACCCAGACCTGCAGGTGTGGATCGTCGGCCGAGTAGTCGGGGCCTTTGACAACGGAATGTGCTTTGTGGACCATCTCAATGATGATCTTCTTTTCCTCTGGAGTGCCAAACGCCATGCAGTAGACGTATGTCATAGTCGTGCGGAGTCGATCCAGTGGACGATAGGAGAAGTTACTGTGTTCATCAACGCCTTTGCCAACGCCCGGCATGGCAACTTGAAGGAGAATAGCCGCTCCGCCACCAGCGAGCAGGATGCCTTCGCGAACTATTTTCTTGATTTTCTGAGGGTTCTCCAGCTCCCTGAGGAGCTGTTCGTCGGTGTCATTTGCTTTTTCATTCTTCGTCGTGATGTCGCTCTTTTCATCCATTCTGAAGGATATTGGAATAGTATTGTCTTAATTAGATTAGTTTCACTGTTCAATCTGCCCACGTCCGAATATTTATATATCAACACTGACATTTCGCATACACTCGAACAACACATGCTGTACTGGTATTCGGATGCTTAAGCATACTCGATACCGCGGACCGGACGGACCGCCGACAGCGCCACTCGAGTTCGATAGAACATCATCCGCGGATCCTTTCGAGTGGTGTAATAGCGGGGTAGCTCGATGGCGATCTTTCAGGGTCCCCGTTCGCTAGAGTAAGACGATCAATTTTGCGAAATGTCCAAGCGTAAGTTAGCTCCATGCGGGGTGTTACAATCCTTCGTGTCGTCCAGTTCGCCCCGTTATATACGAGGTATAGATATATGGATCTTCAACTATTGGCCGTAAATCAAGCTGAAGATAAAGAACCAAGCTTTTCCCCGCATACCCCAGAAATTCCCTCGGCGGACTTAGGATGATATATAAATTAGCAGGACAATAGACTTGGTACATGTAGACCACTGGCACAATGGGGGAGAAATACCTTGAAAAGGATCCTCGAGCAACAAAGCTATCCAGCCTCGACGCACAAATTGAGCATGTGGAAAACGCAGGCTCAGAAGTGCCCGGCCAGCGCAAAAAGGCCGTCAAGCTAAAAGTTCAGCGTCACTTCCGCCGTTTCTGGTTTTGTTATCTACTCGGCGGAGTGATCTTTCTGGCTATCTTCCTTCCACTTCTGTATGGTTTAGGAAACATACTTATCATGATGCATGCTGATCGCCTATAGATTTGTCTATATTATTCCTGCCATTGCGCAGAAGATTCTCAACGATGCCGATCTTCCGATCTATGCAGCGCGTATCCTCGACCCGACGCCAGACACCGTCAGCTTTTCCATTGATACTTCCTTGAAGATCCCCGCTGGGCTCTCTGTGCGAATCGATCCATTCTCCCTGTCTCTATTCAACCGCGAAGCGAAGCCGATGGTGCCAGTCCTTGATTTATCAGTAGACTCGTACAAACTCAAGGGAACTACGAATATCAGCATCATTACCAACAACACAGCAGTTCTCGACCGGGCGCAGTTCATCCAAACATTAACCAAGGCCGTATATTCGAAACGGTTTACCTTGTCCGCAAAGGGTTCGACAACAGGACATTTGGGGGCTCTCAAGGCAGGCGTGACCCTGGATAAAGATGTGGAACTCGACGGTCAGTTTCTTTGGGTTCTTTATTAGAATACCTCTGATAATGAATATAGGGCTCGACAAACTCAGTGGTTTTTCTATCGACGCAGCCCGTCTTATCCTACCTGCCGAAGAAGATGGGACGAATCTGAGAGGAACCGCCACATTGCCCAACCATTCTGTTGTCACATTTGCTTTGGTGAGTCAGTTCATAGATGATATCTCCTGGTGTATACTAATTCGATAGGGCAACGTCACTCTCAACCTCAAAACAGCGGGTATTGTAGTCGGGCAAGGCTACCTTGAGAATGTCGTTCTGTCACCGGGCAATAACACGATGCCTTTACGAGCAACACTCGATATCAGAAAAGTATTGGCGAACCTGATAGACATCCTGGGAGCCCAAGTGTCAGCCTTGATGGATGGCAAATTGGAAATATCGGCGTCGGGAAATTCCACCGTTTACGATGGGAAGCATATTCCATATTTTGAAGAAGTGCTGAATAACCTGACAATTACCACGCGAATCCCAATCATGACAATCCTGAGTGATACGCTAGCTGGATGGAGGGAATCTGGTTTCTTGGACGGGTTAAATGGGACCATAGGCAATCTAGGGGGCTTGCTCGGCAACGTTGAAAATGTGTCAGGTATACTTGGAGACTAATTATGCATTTTTTATACTTAACCAAAATACCGTGATGATCTGCATCCCGTAGTTCATGTGTAGACCGAGGTCAGGAAACCTTAACACAGCCCCGCTCACTAATATATACACGACGTGGAAGCACAGTGTAGTTGTTATTGTCTATCAATCAGCAACAATGACTCAATCATCGGGATTCACCAACGCAAGCCAGCTGTTTACCCCAGAAGACGTCTCAAAACACAATTCCTCCGATAATCTATGGACCATCATTAATAATGAGATATACGACTTGACCGACTTTCAGAAAGAGCATCCAGGCGGAGCAAGAAGTATGTCCAGTATTTTTATGCGATGGTTTCGCAGTTCTAACAATGCCAGTTCTTCAAGCCGTCGCAGGAAAAGATGGGACAAAAAAGTTCCGCAAATATCATCGAGAGGCGTTGTTGGTGAAATATAGAGAAACATTACGAGTAGGAGACCTCGTGAGACAGCCAAAAGGTCGGAAATGGCTTTTCTTTAAAACTTCAACCAAATAGGTGTTTCCGGCTGCCGGAGATGCATGTAACTTGTCTTGGATTGTATATAAACTTCTATTTGAATTAGTTCAGCTGGTGCAACAACCCATAGGCTTCGTATGGAGCCCAGTTATCTTCTCATGCAATATCTTGATATTTTTTTCCCACCCCCCATTGCATCGTTGCATTTACTATTTCCTTATCCATCTCTATCGACTTCACCCAGTAGCTTCTGTGTCGCCTGTACATCTATATTCTGCCTTTCTCCAGGAGCATATTGTAGCATTCAGTGCAGCTTGAGGAACGAGTACCAAGCTCAATATTGATACGGCCTTCCCTTGCCTCATAGTATCGTGTTGAGTGACACATAGAGAGGGGAGGGCCATCATTAATGTATCATTTCTTCTCGCGCTTGTTGTGACCAAAGATTTACCCGTAACAACATTTCCACCGATTATTGCGGTATTCTCACTACTGCTCTACCGCTAATAGCATCATTCCTCAAACCATCCACAAGACGCGGCGTATCCGCAAAGTCAAACACTTCTATCGCAGGCGTAATCTCTCCCCTCGCTGCCTGCTGCAGAAGCTCATCCATCTGCTCTTCCGTACCGACCGAAGAGCCAACAATAGAAAGACCTATCCACATCAGCCTTAGACCTCGAGCAGTGCAATTATAACTCACCTCTAGCCGCGGACACGGTTGCAGAAATAGGCCACTCCATGTCATTTGGTGGTAATCCCACACCGACAATCAACCCCATATTCCTCACAACCTGCGGCGCCATCTCGAAGGCCTCCCTCGTCCCAGGCACTACAATCGTTGCATGGGCCCCTTCTCCCCCGGTCACCTCGCGGATCCTCGCCGCAACATCTTCCGTCCGGTAATCGACAAACACCTCGGCACCAGACTCCATGCTTATCTTTCTCTTTTCTTCCCCGCTATCAACCCCGATGACCCGGAATCCCTTTTTCCGAGCCGCAATCTGAACCCCCAAATGCCCCAATCCGCCCCCTGATCCCGAAATCACCACCCAATCACCGGAACTCAGATGACAGTCATCTAGTCTAGCCACCGCACCAGCCATAGTGAGACCAGCACAGAGTAAGGGCGCAGCAACTTCATCTGGCACTGTCTCCGGGATGCGCGTGATGAACCGGGCGTCTGCGATGACGTACTGCTGTAATGTACCAGGCACGTGGCGACTTGTATTCTTCTGCTGTGCGCAGTAGTGACTAAACCCACGTTGACAGGCAGAGCACGTAGTACAGGCGTTATACAGCCACTTCACCCCGACGCGTTGGTTCAGGAGTGAGGGGGAAACGTTGGGGCCGGCCTGGATTACGGTTCCAACGCCTTCGTGGCCGATGATAGGGTTGTAGGCGCCCCAGGCTAGCACGGCGCGGATTTCAGAATGACTGTGTTATTGTTCAATATGTGTGGACTTCCAATTTCAATGATCAATGGATGATAAGGGTAGTCTCACCAGAGACCGGTACATGCCAACTTGACTAGGATCTCATCTGGACCGGGTTTGTTGATGGGGATGTCGTCGCGGATGATCATTTCATAATTATTTCCAGGGCTCTGCACGACAACCGCGCACTGGTAGTTGGCTGTGGCATCCATCGCGTTTGCTGGTCTACTATGATCGTTTTGTGGGATTCGTTGTAGTGTACGAAGTGTCGGTTACCCCTAGGGGTTTTTGTTCCTGAGGTCATTGTACGGGTACAGCCGAAGATACCCAGACGGCAATTCGGTCGGCATGCATCTATATTCCAACGAAACAGCCCTCGATGGCCGCACGTGATCTGCACAATGCTTCTTTGGGCTCTGTATCTACGCATCTTAGTTATTGGGTGTACTTTTGTTATTGTAATGTGAGTATCGCACTCAAAGGCTCTGCTATCCACAATTCATAGCATGTAAAGATATTACAAGCCAGCTCGGCATGTTCTCTAAGGTACCCCTTGATTCAACTTCCCGAGATGAGTGCATGTCAACCCTACGACGACTATGCCTGGGCAATAAGCTCCCAGATCTGGGAGGACTGGCCCAAACTTCTTTGCACTGACGGGGACATTTATAATGACATTGCAGTCAACCTTTCTGAAAGGTTTAGTCCCCTTGAATTTGCAGAGTTTGAATACCTTAGCACCGGCGGCTTCAACACCTGCTTTAAGATGACATTTAGCAACGATTTGAGCGCTATTATACGGTTCCCTATACCCGGTAATATCATGTATCCCGAAGAGAAAACCCGCAATGAGGTCTCTATCATGCGATTTCTCTCGGAGGTAACTGCAGATAGAACCCCAATCCCGGTGCCTTTTGTCTTTCACTGGACAGTGACAAAAGAGAGCCCCTCGGAACTCGGTCCTTTCATCATTATGAAGTATATTCCTCATGAAGGAAGTATGGGTAGTCTTCTTGAAACACCAGGGCGCCAAGCAGGGGAACGGCCTATACTCAATCCGGATCTCGAGTCCGTTCGGCTAGAGGCTCTCTCTATGGAAACCTCGCCAACATAGTCCTGTCGCTATCGACAATTCATTTCAATCGGATAGGCTCTCCTGACAAGAACGACAATTCTATGTGGGAAGTGATACGTCGCCCTTTGTCTTACTCTATGAACGAAATTGTCCAACTAGGGACACTTCCACGATCAAAACTACCGACTGGCACGTACGACAAAGCATCGTCCTACTTCGATGCAATAGCAGCCCTACATATCTCACACACCTCCGACACCAAAAGAACGAGGCTGATATCCCGGAGGATGTCCCGGCGGATGCTTTCGCGGATGACTGCCGACGCAAATGTCTGGCTAGAATCCTGTTCCAAAAGATTGTTAGAAACCAGGAGCACAGAAAACAATGGATATCGCACGAGAAAGGCCCATTTCCAGGTTGGTGTGACGACTTTCAACCAGAAAATGTTCTACTTGATGAAGCCGAAAGCGTCGTCGGAGTGGTGGATTGGGAGTTTACATATACCGCCCCAGCCGAATTCACCTATGCGCCGCCTTGGTGGCTCCTTCTCATCAAGCCGGAAGATTGGCCCAATGGCCTTGATGACTGGTGTACGGAGTGTGAAAAAGCGCTTCGGGTCTTTCTTGTCGCAATGTGGAAAGTCGAAGACGATGCGATCCAGAACAAACGGTTACTAGAAGGCCAACGGCTATCTAGTCGGATGCGAGATAGTTGGCAGAGCGGAGACTTTTGGATTATGTATGCCGCAAGGAACAATTTTGCCTTCGATGCGATATACTGGAAAAAGATCGACCGGCGATTTTTTGAAAGCATCTCAGATGAACAGGACAACGTCCGCGATATATGGCGCGAGAGATTAGATCTCTTAGAACCAGAAGAGACAAAGCTGATGGAGGAATATGTGGATCTGAAACTCTAAGAGCTGAACACACTCGTTTTCGCTTGGGACCAGGACGAGTACACTTTGAAATGGATTCAGAAGATGAAGGCGATAAGGAAGATTAAGGAGGCACAGGAGAAGATGGTAAGCTTGGTGTTGGGGTGGGATGATGACCTAGAGAAGACGATGGAGATGGAAAGGAAAGGGGAAACCGAGAGAGTCGAGGGTTGTTAGCATGATAAACGAGATAAGGGAGGAGATGGAGAGAATGGCGATACAGTGTAAGGTCGACATAAAGGATATCAAGGGAATGGAAATGAAGAAGGAGATACTGGACATGAAGAAGATCAAGACAAGGAAAGCGAGTGGGACAAGGAGATAAAGAGGATGGAAATGGAGAGCAAGGCTGAAACCGATTTTCTCTACGCTGTTGTTAGATTTGGAGCTTCCTTTCTTCTTCTACTTCTTTAATCATCGTGGGAACTGCAAATACTCTTTCGGTCAACCAAGTTTCCCTCGCGACATGGTACGCTTCCGCCGTTGATATGACAAAGAATAGACTCGTAACGGCTTGGAACGCTGGGCAAGGAGAGAATTAAATATATCTATATCAGTGGTTGCCTTTTTTCTATATGGTTTCCTTTCTCGAATACATGTGTGATCTTAGTATTTATAGACATTTTACTATTCTATATCTCCTCTATATATTATCCTTATGTATCTTACTGTTTCTTGGACTTTTGACGCAAAACCCCCGCGCCAGACAATTAACGGGCTCGGGTCGAGTATATATGTACTTTCTTAATCTAATCCTATCTAAGCGAGGGCTCATTAAAAAATTCATTCTTCAGTCTAATAGACATGTTAATTGCTGGGTAAGCCCACTCTAGCCACTATGTGGTACATAGCAAATATCATTAACGCCATGGATTGAATTAAAGAATTCTATTAGTCACCTTTAGCAGCATCAAAGGCTTGCTTAAATACCTTCCTCATCCCTACCATATCCGTCATCGCGCTCATCATCTGGAATCCTTTGCTGGCGTATTCCCTCGCTTGCTCGCCGGTGTCACAGTAAATCCCAGTAGCCTTTCCAGCGGCCTGGGCAGCATCATGAATTTCCTGAATAGCCTCAACAAGCTCAGGATCCATTCGCTCGGGGTTGGTAATGGGGCGACCAATGTTGACGCTCAGGTCAAAAGGGCCAATAAACAGAACATCAACACCAGGCACGGCAGCAATTTCCCTGACATTTGAAAGGGCAGCTTTTGTTTCGATCTGCACCGCGATGACGAGCGAGCTGTTGGCTTGCTGCAAGTATTCCATACCCGTCAACTCTTTCACCTCACTACCGTGGGGATCTTGCTCCACGAACTTCTCCACCGCGAGGAGACTCTCAAAGCCGCGATTTCCAACCGGGGGGAACTTCGAGTATCGCACCACATTTCTCGCATCCTCCGCTGTATCGATGACTGGAACAAGAATCCCGTGGGCACCACAGTCCAGGGCGCGTTTTATCATCCAAGGCTGGCTTTCTGCGACACGGACGATGGGCGAGACTCCACATGCTGCTGAAGCCGCCACAATCTCATGCATTGAGTCGTCGGAGATATTACCGTGTTCGAGGTCAATGAGAAGCCATTCAAGGTTTCTGGCTGACCTGCATATGGTTCTGGTCAGGTTGGTTCCGGGGAGCATTTGCCAGCCTCCGAAGGAGGGCTCGCCCTTTGTGAGTGATTTTTGAAGGCGATTAGCTGCTTGCATTATGTTGATATTGATGTTACTGGCAAATGAGAGTAGTGGTGAAGAGAGGATGGGGCTAAATAAGGAAGAACACTGCAATCGACGAGACCCTTAATACTACGATAACGAACAGCGCTCTCATTTAGTTTCATACATCAAGTATATATTGTCGGCATAGTACACCGACCCAATGGCAAAGGCAGATTAGACCCTCTATTTTCCCTAACAAGTGTAGATATGTAGATGTTCGGCATCGTCGGCTTTCTAGGTGGATCAATGTATGCTAGTAGCCGTCCCGTCGATCCCGAGTCTCCGCGTCGACCATCCAAAGCCGCTCGGGAATTTCGGGTTCCCCGTGGGGAGGAGTTATCCTATACATTATATGCCCCACTGTTCCCTATCGACCAGTTATGTACAGGATCCATTGTATCGCTAGAATGACCCCGAGGAATCTGAGATAGCGTCCCAATCCGATCAAGCCGAGATATAACATTCATGGTTGAGTGCCATCAGATAATCTCCTTTCTCTGCGATATTACAGACTAATCGGGAGTATGATCCGAGCTGGTTGTTAGGACCAAGGTCACATGGATGTTCTCAGTATCGCATCTCCAACTGGCCGTCAAGATCATATCAGGTTATATAAACGACCTCATTACCACACCACCGTCCACAGGTTCCTCGCAAGCATACATCACCCTCAAGATCTTCAGAGTCAAGTACCTACCCCCACAAGAAACATGTCCACCACAGCAGTTGCACCCATGATCGCCCACACAGTGGGTGGCCCAGTGAGACTAACAGGAGCACGTCCAACCAACAAATTACCTCAATTTCTCATCGATGAGGCACAGATTGAGGAAAAGCAATCCTTCGATGCCAACCGACACATGAACTATCAGCCTCCTTCGAAGATTTATACCATGAAGGAGATTGGCCTTGAAGGCCAGGGAATCTCCCCAAACGCAGTCACGGCGCCATTCCAACTTTTCACTGAGGAAGCGATTAAGCAGATGAGGGCTGAGATATTTAGCAAGGCGGTATTGGATGAATGCCAGTACACGTCGGCCTTTGTGAAAAACACTATTCGGGGGATGGGACCAGCGTGAGTTGGGATACAATCAGAACGGAGTCCTGACGTATGCTGAATACCGATAACAGACGCGCACCATTTATCTGTGATGCCTGGCGCTCCCCCGAAGTTCTTGCGAAGATTTCAGAGGTCGCTGGCATTGAACTTATCCCTTCCATGAACTATGAGATTGCCGCTATCAACATTTCCGTAAACGATCAGACTACGACAGTCATGAAAGCAGAGGATGATGATTTGCCTGCCTTCGCATGGCACCGAGACAGTTACCCATTCGTCTGTGTTACGATGCTCTCTGATTGCACCGGTATGGTTGGAGGAGAGACTGCACTCAAGACGGCGAGCGGCGAAATCATGAAAGTTCGCGGGCCTGCGATGGTGAGCTACATAGATACCTCCAGAAAAGGGCGTGTGTACTAACTATTATTTAGGGAACCGCTGTTGTCATGCAAGGTAGATATATTGAGCATCAGGCACTGAAGGCATTCGGAGGACGTGAGCGGATTAGCATGATTACCTCGTTCCGCGCAAAGTCTCCGCATGTCCGAGACGAGACTGTCCTTACTGGAGTTCGGCCTATCAGTAACGTGTTAGAGCTGTACAGGGAATGGTCCGAATACAGACTGAAGGTCCTCGAGGAGCGGATTCGGGCTGAATTGGAGAACGAACGGCAACAGCAACTGGGCCAGCGCCCCTTCAACGTTTCGGACATGAAGACGTTTTTGATCCAACAGAGGGAGTTCTTGGATGCTACGATTGCAGAATTGATCGAGTAGGCTTCCACTATTAGGATCACGTTACTCGTTTATTAATATGATTTGTTTCTGTATTGTGAGCTAATGTATCGTCTTTTCTAGCTAGAACAGCATCCAATATATACATTTACAAGCCTCTTAAGAACACAAGAATAATTTGTACACCAATTTATGGATTGAAATAGGGAACGAAGTAATAAGACAGGCTTTCATATTCCATCTTGATATATTATAAGTACGGTGGTACATGGCAACATATCCAGACATATGGACATCCATAAGAATAACGAAGCCGAAAAAGCCGAGAGATTTACCGCGCCATCGGATGAGCCTCCCGAGGAGGTGCGGGGGACGAATAAGAATGGAAGATAAACGATATAGTGGGACTTGGAAGCTTGCCTTTCATGGTGAAACTATCCTGCAAGAGGCAAAAAACACGAGAGCCAGTGAAATACTGTAAAGGAGAAGTTGGGATAGGGCTATCTCCCCACATGGAACTGGCCTCATGATCCACCAGAGATAGCAACTCATTTCGAAGTGCGGGGTACCTATAAGGCATATATGAAAATCCTGATCCTCAGAGTTATATTGTTTTACCCTCATCCCATATCGAGGTTTTGGAAAAGATGGAAAACAGTTCGAGCTATGGGCCGCGGAAGACAAGACGAACTGCTAATGCGTAAGTATACGCCTGACAAGTTACGTATTGAATTGGATAGAGACTTACCTGGTTCGCAGATGCATTGCCTGCCGTCATAGTAAAATAAAATGTACTGGCGAGGCGCCATGCGCCAATTGCCAGCGGCGTTCACTGAGGTGTGAGTTTGTGGAGGGGGTCAATCGGGTGGTGGTCTCTGAGAGGTCCGTTTGTCGTGGATCTCGTAGGAATTCGACTGATGACACAAATAGGACAGATATCTTCGACAGTTAGAGAAAGAGGTTGAAGAACACCGCCAACTCGCTGGAGTCAGAAGCCCTCCGGAGTCGCCATTGGAGTCGCAGACCAGGCTGAAAGACACAAGCATAGCGGATTCCACAGGGATGCTTTCGGATTCTGCGGACGAGCCATTGCAACTACAAGGCTTCGGTTATGCGCAGAGCATCTGGACTAGTCCCTTTACCCTACCTTCAACGACCATCCGGAATAATCAGCAAAATAAACGCACTTGGAGTAAGCGTGCAAGCTAGGTCTGTCCCATGCAACACTAACAATAGAAATAGTTTGGCTGGCTCCGTCCTCAATGTGGTCATTCACGACTCGTCTAACCATCATGATGACAGAGAAACTGCAGCTCCGAAACACACATCCTTCCCCTACATCAGAAAAGGAGAGCTATCCTATCCGATGGGAGGCCTGTTCAGCGGGTGAACTTCCCGACATAAGTGGCCTACCATCCCTCGATCATGCGCTCTATCTATCCGAGACAGTCAGATTCCACCTAGGGCAAAGTTACCGCTTGTACAATGAAGATGAATTTATCCACAACGTGCGAGAATTTTACTATGGGGACGCTGCAAAAATGGCGACTGAGCATAGACTATGGTTTATACAATTTCTGTTGGTTTTGGCATTTGGGACTGCCTTTCTCCACCGGTCGAAGAGGGCAAAGGAACCCCCTGGTTCCAAGTTCTTCACCCGTGCGATGTCCCTGATGCCAGACCACGCCCCACTATGGAAGGGAAGTCTACTCGCCATTGAAGTCTTAGCTATGGCTGGACTGTATCTATACTCGATCGACCAACGAGAGTCGGCACATATATATGTAAGGCTTACTATTGTTTTACCGGAGTACGTTCTCGCTCATGCTTCTTGTACATAGGTTCGCCAGGCGATCCAAATCGCACAGTTCGAAGGTCTACACACCCACCTCCCAGAGGAGCAGCTCGGCGCCGAGACTGTGTCCCGATGTCGTGACCTGTGGTGGACTTTGTACATCCTGGACCGCCATTTCTCATACTCCGTCGGGCTCCCTATGATGACACAGGATAGCGACATCAGTACGCCAATCGATCCGCCAAGCACATGTTCTCACCGAGACATTGTGATGAGCCTACAGGCCAAACTGGCACACTTGCTTTCAAACATCCTAAACAGTATGTTGGTTGTAACCTCCAGATTGCATCTCTCTCTAACAATATCCTATCCTAGCCGTCTACAAAACCGAGAAAACCCAAGTCGGATCATTCCTGGAGATGACTAGGTCTACATTACAGACGTTAGCAGGACACGCCCAAGAAGTGGAGAAAATTATCCATGTCCGGTTCTCGAATTCCGTCGATACAATGCCCAAAGGGACGCGACACATCACATTGCTGTACCACCAGGTATGGCCGGAACAGATGGCTGCCAAGTTCCATGAATTCAATGTCTTAACTGACCGTGCATAGTGCGTAATCGTCGCCACCAGGCCACTCCTCCTTTCGGCCCTCATCGAGCGATTAGAAAATCTCGATCACGAGAGAGAATACTGGCGATCTTTTCTCGCTCTTACGAAAACCCTGATATCCATCGGGATCAAGTCTGCCGTTAAGATGCTGCAAATACTATCTAATGACGATAACCTTCTCGGTAAGTCGCCTAGAGTATTACATTCCTACATCACCAAACCAATCAAACCAAACTAACCATATGCTGCAGAAATATTCCTCCCCTACGACCTTGAATTCACCTACGCGGCAGCCCTGCACCTCGCAATGGCAAACGCAGTCTTCCCACAAGCCCTAGACGGACAAGCTTACCTCGAGGAAGCGCACAGGATCCTCGACGAAATGATCTCCAACGGAAACAAAGTAGCCGAGGTACGGAAGGCAGAGCTCGTGCATCTCGAAATGCTGTTTGAGGAGCTTGCCACGAGGGTCAAGGCTCAAGGACTCCAGCCTCTCACGCTCGTGAGTCCAGCAGGTGCAGAGGCGGTGCCTCAAGCCCAGGGAGTAGAAGAGGATGGAGATGGAGAGACGGTCACAGATATTGGGGTTTGGGATCTCCCTATCCCCGGCGACTCGCTTACTTCACATCCGGCTGATATGCAGATGTCGAGTGTGGAGTTGCTTAATAACATTGGCATTTCGTCGTCCGACTTTCTGTATATTGTGGATCAGATTGGGAACCCGGATGTTTCGTATAGTATATTGGATCTTGGGCGGGGTGGAGACATGGATTAATTAATAGCGGAGTGTTGCTTTCACTAATTGATGATAAAGGAAACTAGCTCTTAGATTGCGTGGACGGACTTGGTTTCGATACCTGGCTCTTGCTCAAATTCTAACAGATTGTTTGTTTGGTGTGTGGGATGCCTGTTTGATCAAAGGCGGGGGAGAGGATATCATGGCTTACACTTAGATTAGACTACTAGAAATCGCAGAGGCGTTCTGTTCAGACTTAGAGCTGCATATTCCATGGCACAATAAAGGAGACAGACGCCTGGCTCAACACACCTGGGAAGGACGAGCAGGCCTCGGTGCAACCCAACACTTTTTCAGGGAATGTCAACTCCTCCCAACAACCACTTGACGAGGCCGAGGTCTCGATGAAAGGCATGGGATGGATGGCTGCAGCACCAGCTCATCCATCAAGACAAGCAAAATCAAACCGACTGAAATGACCCGACCAGAGTCTCCCCCACGGCCTATGCGTCGTGGAAGCGCTCCCTTACATTATTAACTAAATCCATATCCCTGTAGCGATGCCCACAGCTGAAACAGAACTTCCTCTCTACCCCTGTCACTAACATCAATCCTCGTACTTCGCAACATTCCAAATTTCGATCAAGGTATCAAAAACGGGCCGCGCCTCGTTGTTTGAATTGGCCACTGGTTTCAATGATTTAGGAGTAGACCACCTAATACTAGTGGTATTCTCTGTTCGAAAGCTCCCATTCTCATCTCCATATCTGCTGGCTAACAAGGGGGAGACGATAGCAGGGAGAGTAGACGGTTTACGCAATGCCAGGTAGGTAATTTGTGAGCTCACAAGGACCTGAAGCGTCTTCCGACTGCCGGCCAATTTGCAAGCCTGGCGCATTGCCACGGGTACATCTATAGGGGTCACTGGGATTACGTTCGGGGCTAATCAATGTTAGATATACATCTCCACTGGAAAGTGGACAATAGCCTGCTACTCACATCCCACATGCCACCACCGACGTCGGTATTTCTTGGCTAAATAAGCACAGACTTCTTCTTTGGCAACAGCAATGATGATTAAGTCACTCTTGCGGTCATCTTTAATGGCATCTCGCATGCATTCGCGTTCTACTTCCACTTCTGTTCTCTTCTTTGTCGCCTTAGTGGCTTTCGTGTTGGTTTTTGCTGCAGGCATGATATGTAGTTAGCCGTGTTAAAACGGCACAGGTGGAGTGGGGAATAAATATCGCGAGCACAGAAGGAAACAAAGAGATTGAAACTGAAGTTCAGAACGGCCTTGGGACCCTAAAGAGACAAGACTTTAGAGTCTGTAGATAGGCCATCCAAAGAACAAAAAAGAACTCAAGGCCCTATTCAAGTCGGCGTTTAGATAGCGTTTGATATGCGGGAATGACTTCCGGGCTCAACAAATAATTACCTAAACGAGGGGTATGCACATACGTCTAGACTCGGTCATGGAAGGGGTTGTTGCATGCACACCATCCTACCGCCGATACCACATCCTCGTAACCCTAGTGTGCCTCATCTTCTTCTGCAGCTGGAAAATACCATACAAAAACGCCTCCGGCGTTGGCGGACAACCCGGAATATAAACATCGACTGGAACAATCCGATCCACGCCCCTTACAACACTATAACTGTAATGGTAATATCCACCCCCATTAGCGCAACTGCCCATACTGATCACCCACTTTGGGTCTGGCATCTGATCATAGCATTGTCTTAGAGCCGGGGCCATCTTATTGGTGACCGTGCCAGCCACGATCATGACGTCGGATTGTCGCGGCGAGGCCCGGAAGATGATTCCCAGACGATCTTGGTCGTAGCGGGGCATCGAAACTTGCATCATCTCTACGGCACAGCAGGCCAGGCCGAAACTTAGTGGCCAGAGAGAGCTTTGGCGGGCCCAGTTTACGAGCTGGTCGATGGTTGTCCTGTGCGGTTGTGTGTTAGGGACCTCCTCTGAGTGCTGGGTGTTGGTCGGCGATCTTACAGAACGTGTTCGGCTTTGTTAGAGGGGGCTTCTTTGGTCCTCATGATTGACTTGGATTTAGGGAAGGCTTTGGTGAGGGCAGCATGCGCTTCCGTGACTTTCGCTTGGGTTGAGGTGTTGTGTCGACGTATGCAGTAAACTGTCGGGGTAACCGAGGATAGTAGTGATGATGGTCTTTGCATAGTGCAGAAGGCACCTTTTACAAGTCAGTCTCTAGCAACGGTGATGGGAAGGAGAGTATGGATTGCATATCTCTGTCCTACTTACTCCGAGTGAGCTGTACAGTGTTCATGTTTGTAAACTGCATATAGGGCTTATCTCGGACTCTTGGGCGGAAAGCAAAGAGAGTGAACAGGACAGTCGGAATTAGAAATTCAGAAAGAATACCCCGAAACAAATTGGAAATAGACACAATGAAAAGCATATCGTTTCAAGGGGTATGTTATTTTCCTGCGCAGTGGGTTTTCCCCTACTATGTGGGATTTTCCCGACTAATCACTGCGACAGCGAAAACTGGGCCTTGCATGACCCATACTGCGCACTCTGTGGATTCCACAGCCCCTGAACCATGCTCAAGAACTTAATTTGCGCTATAAAGTAAATTCCACAAACATATATATCACAAGTGAAGGGATAGTATGGTCGCAATCTTTACCCAATACGGTCAATGGGTCTCGGGACTGATGACAAAGCGCACATCTCATTTGCCCGATAATTTTAGATGGCGTTGTTCACCTGCAACAAATACCATATTCAAATGGAATAATTCGAGGACCAAGTCTGGACACCACGAATGGAAGACGGTACATTAGAAGGTATCCAAGAGAATAAGATAAAAAGAAAATTGACCGAAGCTGGCAACCGCACATCACGAATGATGCCGGTTTCTCGCCAGCGTTATGAATGCGGCATTTGCCACCAGGCATACTCGACGAGCAGTCACCTGCGAAGACACCAAGCAAAGCGTAAGGCTCAATTGCGAGCATGTATAATCATATATATCTAACAAGCTCTTTAGATGCATCGAGAGAGCATTTCATCTGCCAGTTTTGCGAAGAAAGTTATATGCGACGGTATGTGTGCCGATATCGTAATACCTCACGACAAAGGTCTGATTACAGCACCCACAGGGACGTTCTTCGTCGTCACTATCAGTCCTGTAAGGATAAGGGCAGCAAGCCAACTCCATCTGAAGGGAAGCGCGGTAGAAAGCGGAAAGCTTGCGATGCATGTGTCGAGAGCCGTACCCAGTGCGATGGAGAGCTTCCATGCGAGACATGCCTTCATAGGGGATTCAACTGCTCACTTAGCCACATAGGAGAGCAGGATTGGAAACCTAGAGGTAACCGAGACGCACATAAAAAAGCAGAGGATACGAGCATCAACAAAATCCCAGTTGAGTTCCTTCTAAATTATACAGATCCAGCAAGCAAGACATTATATGACGTTCAACGGATACTCGCGGGGGGCGATAAAAGCCTAGGAGAGCACGCATTCTCTGAGGAATATCAAACGCCAAATTCCGATGGATCAACAGAGCAGTGGATGGGGCTATTTCAACTCTTTATTAACACATCCGTGTTTGATAAGTCCGACCACGATCAGTGCCTTATGTATGGGCTGGACGACACCAAAGAGCTGGGCGCCACAGCCTCGAGAATTATAGGGCTGCTGAAGCACAGTCCTGAATCGCAGTTCAACAGCAAACGGCACCCTATCATCGAAGAAGCTGGGTGCTTCTTCTCACCAAATAATCTCACTGCTTTTGTCAATGCATTCTTTGAACATTCATACAAAAGCACACGTTTCATTCATAAAGCATCATTCAATGTTCATACTAGCTCACCCCAGCTGCTACTGGCTATTGCTTTGATGGGTGCGACATGTATCTCACCGCAGGATGCATCTTCCGCAGCAGTGTACTCTAATGTAGCTGAGTATCTCATTTTCGAAGGACATGATTTCGGACAGGTTTTGAATACGGACAACCCATCTCTAACCAAGACGAATATGGAAATTCTCCAGGCAGCAATGCTGGTAACCGTCATCCAGGGGTGGAAAGACGATATATACATCAAAAGGCGGATTCGAACTCAGCGGTTTCCGGCTCTGGTTTGCGCTACACGGGCACTACGACTGACGCAAGCTACTAATGACGCTGTCAGCGACACAAAGCCCCTTGAGTGGGACAAGTATTTTCAGAGAGAGAGCCTGGTGAGGTTAGTCCAGCAGGAATACGCCAGGCTAGATCTAGAACTAAATTTCTTCGCAGGGCCATGGCTTGGCTTTACCTTATGGACTCACATTTGGTAGTCTACTATCGCAACCCGCCACAATTTAAAATTGCTGAAGCTTCTTTTGGCTTGCCACAAGATGAGGAACTTTACGATTCAATGGAACCATCTGCATGGGTGAAATTGGTGCGAAATGCGACCAATCACGGGCTCACCCTGACCTTGAAGTCCGTTATCCAACGGTTGATGAAGACAGACAATGGGCAATTTGAGGAACTGCTTTCCCAGCCATGCACATTATTTGGTCTGTTTTTAGTTCTAGGGAGTACGTTGCCGGATTGTAACCTTACTCGCTTAGGTGTCACTGACTCTTCATTGGCATAGGTCTCCATTGTGTACTGTTCGAGTTGCAGGCATTGAGCACCTGTGTTGAACTATCCGGACCCTTTGCCTCTCTTGATGTTGCTCTAGATCGATGGAAGCAAATGTGGGACCTAGCATATACGACAGTCAAACCTGATGACATTAGTCAGTCGGGGTTCATGGTACACGCTCTGGAGCTCTGGTGGCTTGCAAAGAAACTTATCCACAAGCCAACTGGGATATGTCCAGAGAGTGAGTTTGCCGCGGACTCCATGAGCACGTTTCACCAGATGATCAAGAACTTAAAGGGCTTTCATTCCGTACAATGAGAAGCTTCATATCGATCATTGGTCCCCGTTTACCATTAATAAACTCTTTGCTTCCCGTTAACGATACCAAGAACCCACAAATAATGGAACAGCAAGAACAACAAAGAGGATGGCATATCCCTTGACGGGCGACGCCGACTTTTGAATGCTCTGTATAACAATAGTCTATTTAAATACATCCCAAGTTTGGACCCTCTGTGCATGGCCTTCATGCAAACAACTATCCGGGTTATGAATTCATCCATCCATACCAACGTTCACACCGTTCACACCGTCCCAAGGAGAAAATCTCATTCACGGTGGGCTCTCCATTCCCTCTTTTATCGAATAACCCAAACGGCAACGATCACGCACGATGTCTTGGTATCAGAACGGAATCGAAGGCACAATAACAGATTCGTCGAGAACCACCGAATCTCAGAGCGAGAATGACACTCACCAAGTCGCCCTGACGGCATACAAAGTACGAGATCTCGCCGCATGTCTCAAATGCATGACCCGTGCGCAACTAACCGAGGTTCTCCAAAGCGCTGGAGATAATTATATCGAAGTGCATAAGCTAGTGGAGTCCAAGGTATCCGAAAGGATGGACGACAAGGCTCGGATGTACCGCTGCGAGATGAGCGATGTCGTTTGCTTCAGGGGCTGTCTGGAAGCAGCCCGAAAGGCAATGGCGGAGGCAGAGAGTCGCGTTGAAGTACTGCGTACATGGAACAGCTTGCCAGACAGTGGCAATGATGACTTCACGAAAATGGTTCAACTAATCGCCGATCATTGTGGGCCATTCGCGCACCCCAGGACTCGGGCTAACGGGCTCACAGTCCTCTGTGAACTGTGCTACGTCCTCATGGATGTGGCTAGGGGTGACTTTTATGAACAAGATCGGAGTAGGTACGGTTGGGATGTGAGTCTGGAAAATGCAATGCTCGAGGTAGTCAGCGCAATGACCCCAGCTGAGAGACAGTCTGTTGTCGACGATGCTGACTTTTGGTCTGCTTTGCTTTATGTATATGAGGAATCCGATGACAGACTGTTTCATGCGTTTAAAGATGTAATAGATGAGTTCCCTAAGGTGGATAGTGGCCCTGAAGATGGAGAGGACATCGATGAGTTACGGTCTCTATTCGAAGAGTCTGATCAGGATACAGGACAGAGCGAGAACGACGTGTCGGAGGTTGAATAAATATACATCTTCATTTTCTGGGCTTCTGCAATTTTCCACGGACCAAATGGTAGATATCTGAATTATAAAATTCCTTTCTACGCTCATTACATTGCTTCATTATCCGTTCAGGCCTATGCCCTATACACTGTATGTCCCATAATAGTTTCACAGCTGTGCAGAAGGTTTATTGCTCCCAGTACCCTAGTATACCTATGCTGTGATGATCCCTGAAACGGGAGAATAACCACCAAGTAGGAGGAACCGACTTCCGATCATCCTTAGTATCCTTTGTGGGCACCTAAAGGGTTAACCTAGTAAAATGTGCGGCTTCAGAGGTCGGGTGCCCAGCTGCGGCCATTATGACAAGACTCTTAAGAAGGCATGTGGTCCTGCAAAGCGCAGAAAGTCAGTGTGCCAGACAGGAGCTACTGAGGATGCCTCCACCAGCGGCAATCACAGTTGTGGATATACCGGATGTGACGGACACCCAAACTTGGAGCGACATCAACGGCGGATTTGATGAAGATGATTATAGCTTGGACCACTACTAGGGGTGGGAAATATCACACAGAATTCCCTTGGCAGTCATATAACCACCGGTTGGCAAGAGTGCCGGCCTCAGGCTCAGTTTAAATTTCCACATCCACTCAACTGTGAAATAGCCTCTGGCAAGGTCATTCGGCTCCAAGGATTCTCTTCCATGAGACGCCCTGCAATGCATAGTAAGGTTTCTGCCAATGTGCACTTCCCTACGCGAGTGGCAATCTCCGATAGAACCTTTCCTTAGGCCCAAACATCGTGCAACAAGCGAGCTTCAAAAGGAAGGTCAAAAGGTGATCTTTCATGACTGATCTCCGGAGCTCGCCACGAATATGTTATTCCGCCAGAGCCGCTGATGTCGATCAGCACCACATTTCCCTGGGCGTCAAGGACAACATTGGCAGGTTTATTATCCATATGGGTTTGTCCAGCCCTATGAAAGTGGCTCAGGGCTGTCCCAATTTGGATAGGCCAACGCGTCCAGTTATATTCCTTCACACGGTCTTCTTTGAGGATTCGCTGCAAGGACCCGCCGCTGTAGAACTCCAACAAGATACCACTGATCACAGGTGGTTGATCACTCGTTCTCGCGGTCATATACGGATTGGAAGATACCGCAATAGCGACTGGCTGTACGATACCGGGGACACCCTTAAAACGTTCGAGGTTTTCTAGCTCCTTCCGTATGACGTTCGTGTCGTGAGGATGATAAAGGGGCCTATTAACTACCTTCAGAACGTAGGGCACCCGGGCGGTCTTAGGGCACACACGATGAACCCCGTCCGCGATCTCATCTTCCTCCTCCAATTCTGCCCAATCAATACACCGGAAGGAAGGAAACTCACAGCACGAAGGGTAAGTCACTCGAAACGGCTCCTCTTGGATTCGGTATGATAGGCTTTTCGCGATTTTGACAAGTGGATTGGCACTGTCTCTAGCTTCAACGTTGAGGTCGATGTGGTTGGTCATTCCCGGCGAGTTTTCCAAAACCAGTTCAGACACTGTGTCGTCGAGGAGAGGGAGAGTTCGATAGTTGATCCGATTGACAAACTCCTGGTACTCTCGGCGTCGTTCGCGTTTTGGGATCTTTTGAGCTGCCTCAGTCTCACTCGATTGATAAAGAGTGCCGAGGAAAGTCACCTTGATCCACCATTTATGGTCTTTGAAGCGGTAGATCAGGGCTTGCGAACGAGAACTAGGCTCGGGGGTTCCCCGCACGAGATGGTCGTGACTCTCGAAGTATTGTTTCAGTTCGAGTGACTGTGTGACATTGGGTGGAGCTGGCATCTTGGGCTGTGGAGTGAGGGGTAGATGCTCAAGAAGAACAATCTAGGGCAGAGCAAGAAGGCCTGCATGTTGTTGATGTTTTATGTTCCTGATCCTGGAGCGGGTGTCACATGATTGACATCAGTCTTCGGAATATATATCGAGCAACCCTCAACGCAAAGCTGTACAATTACCAGCAATGCTAGTATAGACTGAAACTTGTCATGCGACAAACTTAAAAGAGCACTTTATCATCATGTCTCCAGGGCACCCAGACAAACCCACTTGTGGATCAAGATAACCAAACCACGGAGACGACGATCACGAACCACGAAGCTGATGACCGCCGCCGGAAAAGCGCGCCCCACACAAGCTCTCTTGACTGGACATCAACCAAACGGCAAATGCAACCCAATGCAACGTTTCTATGCTGTTCTTACTGCATTAGACTAATCTGTATATACAATCTAACAGTGATAACCCGATAGCAGGACACAGGAGTAACAGCTGCAGGCAATGCCGGCAAAATGACCGCCCGAAGCGCGCGGTGGATCGCAGTAGGGCGATTACTTAAGCGCGGCACCGCACAGCCAGAAACCAAGACATACAGCCAACATCACTCCAGCCCCGAACATCTCCCCCGGCATCCAATGTCCCAGTCTCCAACCATGCCCCCGGATACACTAAAGCTGGTACAATCTGACGATGGCGAGGCGCCGGCGCCACGCCCCGACTCCCAAATCGACCAAGCCATCGCCGTCAAATACTGGAGCGACAAACCCGCAACAGTGAACGGCATGCTTGGCGGCTACGCCCAGGTCTCGCGGACCGATCTGCGCGGGTCCAAGGACTTTCTCGCCAAGGCTCGCCGATTAGTGCCGGGGTGTCCAGCCATGGGGAAGCTCAAGCGCGGCGTAGACTGCGGGGCTGGGATTGGACGCGTGATTAATGATTTTCTGGGCCAGGAGTGCGAAGTCGTTGATGCCGTTGAGCCGGTGGAGAAGTTTTCCCGGGTTCTAAGTGAGCGGCGGCTGACGAGGAATTGTGCGCTGGGCGAGGTGCTTACTATCGGCATTGAGGATTGGGTCCCTGGGGCCAAGGTGTACGATCTTATCTGGGCGCAGTGGAGTGTCCCCTATCTGACGGATGCGCAATTGGTTGAGTATTTGGTGCGGTGTCGCGGCGCTCTGACAGATGTCGGGATTATGATTATCAAAGAAAATATTTCCGAGGAGCCGGAGGGGGATATCTACGACGAGTCAGAGAGCAGCGTGACAAGGACAGATGCCAAATTACGAAAATTATTCAAAGACGCCGGAATGCATCTGATTCTATCGGAGGTGCAATCAGGGTTTCCTCGACAATTGAGGCTTTTACCTGTTAGATCTTATGCGTTACGGCCAAGGAGCTAGGTACTTTGCAGTTCAATTGTCCATATTTTTGAGACTGGTGACAGTATTGCGTGTAATCGTCACAGTGGAAGTTTTATCTTGGTTTTTTCTGAATTGGTCATATATTAATAATGACAGCCATCGACATCGACGACAAAAGTAAAAAAGAACCATGTCTGCTGATATGCACGCATATAAACCAACCAACACCAACCCAAGTAGACATGTACAGCTATGCAAAGAAAGAAGAGATAGAGAAATATGCCAGCATGTTCCCATTCGGCCACGGATGCAACGATAATCATACTTGGTCAGTCGCGTCGAATATATGCAATTTGAACAGCAGCCTCGACCCTGGTGCGCATCACTATAGCCCACCGTTCGTCACCTTCCCATCATCAGAAACGCCCACCTATCTCAGTCAGCCCACATAAAGCGCGAGATACGAGGTACTCTAGTTGCCTAGGCAAAGGCTTCGAGTACCGCTCGACCTCTTTCCCATCCTTATATAAGATGAGAGTAGGACGCTCTACTTTCGCATAATCGGAAATAAGCTTGTCATCGCCCACGTCGACTTCATAGAATGCCACCGTGTCACTATACGCATAAGAGGCGAGGTCATCATAGGCGACATCGGTGTCAGACAAACGACGCCGATAGTCACGGAAATTGAAGACGGCGTAGTTCTCTCCGCTGACTACGTTATGATATGTGTTCAAGCTAGTCCATAGTCAGTTACCGGGTATTCCAAAGTATCCACCAACCAAATATAGCTTACTCAGTAATCTTGATCGATCCCATTGTGCCTGCAATTATAGTGAGCGTGGATTCGAATTGAGTGTTGGGTTGTTGTTTTGGGTAGATGGGCTAGCCGTGGAGTATGGTAGAGTCATACTCGGGGCTGGGATGCTCTTAAATAGTTTATTTTTTCTTGGAGCAAAAGCGCCACGTCGGTAGAGACGCAGGTTTTATGGTATGATCATGAAGTGTGGGTATAATAAGCTTAATTTGTGCTACTAGCGTAGACAGAGCGCGCTGGGGTAGGCTACTAATATTGGTTCTGGCCTTGACGTGATTGTGTTGATTCATGATAACGGCTAGCTGGATACTATGGCATTATAGAATCCGACACACAAGTCAGAACAAATACTCATCCCTCCCCGATCCCACAAGTTAACTATCACAGTATGCAGTGAGTGAACACTTCGACCTGTACGGAGCCTGAATCAAGAGTTACCTTCCTCCCCGGGTTCATACGATGTACCCGCTTTTCCCCGTATATGACTGGGCAATAACGCCTGGAAATAAACTCCACTGGAGTCTGGAACACGTCCCTACTAAGTGGTGTTATCTCATACTGACGAAAAACCTTGACCACCGGTTGATGTCTCGTTACATTCGATGACGAACACACTTGCTGAATTTGTTAAGTAACAATGGGTTATGCCACCGTTTCGCAGAAAGATTACAGCACATTCGGTTGTCCGTACCGACATGGTCTCTTGGACATTCTTGGCTGAGGCATCAATTGGCGGGTCCATAGCCGGCCATATTGGGTTGCCTCCGTGGCCTCACCCAGGCCTATTAAAAGCACGCAGTGGACGTCGGGTGCTTTTCCCTGAGTCGGCAGGACGATATTGGAAATTTGCCTCTAGGTCAAGTCATGTCGATGGAATATTTTGGGGCCTACACAGCAGTGGCATGCTTGGCCTGGACTCTTTGTCACTTTCATTTAATGGTTGACGTAAAGACGTGCCGAACTCTGCAGTGTATTACGTCAGATCTTGATTATAGCCTTTTCTATTATAATAGAACCATTCTTGCCTCAATTCGGCTTTGGGGAAAATAGTCTAGAACCCCGCCAAGACGTGTAAATCGCATTCCTCTTGAGTAATGTTACTGGATTCTAAAGAATCGAAGTCGCCGAATTTACGAACCACGAACAATCCACCCTACAGCGTGCCGCAAAGCGGATGAACCCAGGTCAACGAGGTTCTTTTAAATATACAAGCAGTTGAAACTCAACCGCTCCAAACAATTTAGCACTTGATCTAACTAGTTCAAGTTCTGTAAAATATTACAGCCATAATATGTCACTTCGTTCGGTGGCTTGAGTAGATCGAAAAGACTTGGTAATACGGTATACCCTGTGCTCAGTCTTCCAATACAAAACTTGACACTGATGATTTACATCCAAAAACAAGTTAAACCCTCAAATTAATTGTTGAGCTTACTTCGTCGCTTTAAATTACTTGAATCAGTTGACGTCACGGTCCAGGCATCAAATAGAGGTGGTTCAGCGGCTTTCGGTGCAACGAAAGAAGAACCTGATTACCTTGAGATCTGATATGGTCTTGAGTAGGAGAAATGCAGCCTGAATGTAGGACTGCCTAATTTACTAGCCTCGTCTTCAGAAATAACTCTGTACCAGGGAGGGGCCAATCATCAGGTGTACAAGATCTTGCTCTGACGATCAAAACGAACAAGAATCAGTCTTGGTTTTAAATTCTGCTATTATTGGTATCCTTGGTGGGTATTTCCTAACTCCCGAGTTGCCAGGGTACCCTATCTGGTTGGCAAGCCTTTTACTCTGAATACTAGACCCTCCGATATACTTCTATTGGTTAAACTACGGAAGAGCAAATTAAAAAGATCGTCTGTTAAGAACAGTGCTGGGGAGAGAGTAAATTTCTGAATACATATAGAATACATAATGCGTATATGGGATCCCTTGCGAAATCCCCAAGGGTCAAGCTCTCCTGTAATATGGTAGATATTACTGTAAGCTTTGTATTAGAAAACTGAACCCAGGATATTACTAGGTAGAATCATGCAATTCTGTTCACTTCTTGAGGCTACCTATGGGGAGCGATGTACCACGACTTGCTGAGGTAGTAGTAAGAACCGTGATTATAAATTCTTCATAAGGTTTTCATTTTATTCGTAGCAAAAGTAGAAAAATGCAAACATAGTGAGTATGGTAGACATCATCAATCTTTGAACAATTCAACTTTTCACTGCCACTGATTTGCGAATAAAACTGACCATACTAACTACAGGAACCATAAAACTAACCTGAATGGTTATTTCGTCTCCTTCTACCCTTCATTAACACTGCTAACTGAGCAATCAACACAATCCAAACGAGGTGCCACCACAATTTCACTGTTTTACAGACTGATGCCGAAGCCTCCACATGTCACAAGGTGGACTATCCTTCAGACAATCTTGGAGTATATCCCCCGTGGGGTATGGGATACCCGTAACATGTAGTCTGACGCAATGGGGTTACTTGGGTTTCTATTCCTTGTGCTCTATGAACGCTCTTCAATTTAGTTTGCGAAAGGTGATCCGTTGCTGCTGAGGAATCGACCAAGGCGGGCTGCTGTCTGTTGGGCCACTTCTGCCATGATAGCAGGAATTAGGTTAGAGAAACGTGCAAATTGTATATGCGGCCTACATTTGCGTACGATGTATCCCAAGGTTGTTGTTATCAGTAATCGGTATATCTATTGGATGGTTTCATGAGTTCATATTCGTATGATAGCCCTCAGGGTAAGGTGTAACCTCCATCTACGACAAGATCGGCCCCGGTCGTATAACTTGAAGCATCTGAAGCTAGATATAAATAGGCACCTTTGAGCTCATGCGGCAGAGCTTCCCGACCCATTGGGATTTTACCTTTCCAAATATCCTTTGTTTCGTCGGGCACAAATGTCGAAATATCAGTAATAATATACCCAGGCGAGACTGTGTTGGCACGCGCAAATTGAACCCATTCCACCGCAAGTGATTTGCCTGTTAATTATTAGCACGATATGCACGAGCCTCCGTCGAGAGTAATAGCATCAACATACACAAATGGATCACTCCGGCTTTAGCCGCATTATATGCAGCCTGGAGTTGCGGGATGTTGACGATATGGCCGCTCATGGAAGCAGTCGCAACGAAGCTACCATATGTGAAGCTTTCTAGAGGGTTGCCAAAGATGTCTGTACCCTCGGTCTTCTGCCTTCTCCAATGAGCGCCGGCGGCTCTGGCACAATAGAATGTTCCGTCTAGATCTGTTTGCGTCACGTCCCTGTAGTGGTCAAGCGGCGCATCGATCATGGGACCCTGAGTCCACGGAATTCCGGAGTTGGCGATGAAAATGTCTAGACGACCGTTGAGCTCGCGGACACAAGTATTTAATAGCTCTTCGACCTTTTCACTTTCGCGGATGTTTACTTGGTATGCGCGGCCTGGTATATAATCAATTAATGCATCTGGATGAGGCGCACAATTGGAGAATGGAAAGTAATATCCGACATACACTTAACGCCGTACTTGGTCTCGATATTTGCGGCCTCCTCAACGGCTTTGCTATTTCTGTTATACCAAATTGCAACATTGGCGCCTGCCTCCGCGAGTGCATGTGCGACGCTCAAACCGATTCCGGATGCTGCGCCGGTGACGACTGCAGTTTTCCCTTTTAGGGAGAAGAGGGCCATAACACTGTCCTGGACTGGAGGAGTAGTGTTGTTATGGCGGAAAAGGCCATTTACGACTGGACCTTCGGACATTGTGTCTGTTCTCGTGGGTTGAGTATGTGACAAGCTAGTTTGAGAAGACAGGACGAAACACGTACCTCACGTATAGCCCGGGATGCCCGCATTAAATAACCTCCAGATAGACAATGTGCCATCTGTCCTGTGGAGTTCTGTCCCCACTGTAGCTCGAATATTCGTTGATGTTGTCATTGAGAACGCACTATGGCCTTCCGGCGGAAGTACCCCATGGACGGATTGTTCACGGATACCGGGATCATTTACCACAGGGCAGAAGGAATACAACAAAGTTTAAGCGCGTTCCATGGAAAATGGGAGTTCTATCGTCTTCAGGATCTGCCTTATCGCTTACTTGCAAATATAATGGATGCATGGTAGTGCAATATGCTGGCCAAAGGACACGGTGAATGTCCCATATAGTCAATCCCGCAAAAATGCCCGGTTCCGAACACCGTGCATTTCCGGCGGAAGCTAGTCTCTATCAACTAAATCTCGTGGAATCAGTCCTTCATGCGGCATAGTGTTGTGGGTCCCTTCTGTTCTAGTTTAGGCAACGACCCCAGAGTATGTGATCAAGCTGATAACGAAGAAACAACCTGGTCTCCAACTGCAACCGGCTCTACTCCGGAGTATTTCAGGCTACACCGAACTATGTCGTCATCGACGCTTACCAGGGTAAGGCCACCACACTGTACTTTATTGAAGCATGGATATGTTTACATTTCCTTCAGCTGGTGGTGGGCCCGAGACGAGAAACTGGACTGTGGGACGGACCCACAGCACGGCATGTATACACCGACTCTTTGGGATTGACCGGCATATGTTCTCCATCAAAGTACTGTTAAACTGTTGTTTTCTTCAAATCTCCTCTGACGTAGTTTTTTAGTGTAGATCATATAGGTATAGGTGAAGTTCGCACCTGCAGGGTACGTTGCCGAGACCAGGGACGAAGGTCGAAAGAGCACAGTGATATCAGGACTCGATAGCAGTTTTGACCAAATGGAGACCAACCGGAACTAGTTACTAACAGTGGGAAGGATTTTGTATTCTTTCACTTGTATCGCAACCACACATTATATGAGATAGTGCTGTTCTCTGCAATGCCCTCGGCAACCGACCTTCATTTCCAAGGAATATTTCCTCAAACATGTCGAGACCCAGCATTCTGGGGCATATTAGTTTGCCAGGCTACCCATCCTCTCATCCCTGTGCTTCAGAGCCACGCATGATATCGCTCAAACTACTGTACACTTTCCGATGAAGTACCATTCAACTCTGTTTTCGCTATCAGGAAGCATCTGGAAGACATCGGGCTTTATACTTTTTCCACGAATGAGTGCCAATAGAAATTGTTGTGATACTGGAGCTCATATTAGCGACAGACTTCCTCCGGCTAGGCTGGTTATACCTTCGACCCGGGGCGTCAATCACCGCATGTTGCGACTATAACACAGACCTTCTGGGTCACATCCAACTTGAGAACAGGGCAAGTATAGGCAGAAAATGGCGTTGGAAGACGAACCATTCTGCTGCTTGTATCCCTCTCTTGTCGTGTTTTTTCGTCTTTCTTTTCTTTTCCTCTTTTGTTAGTTGCGAAATCTAGTCCGTCATTGGTGTACTTTTCTTTGTAGTGCGCCTTCTGGCTTTTTCTGACTTATTATCTTATATTACTTCCCCGTGGAGACTTTAATAATGAAGCTATCACCACAACCGGCTGGCTATCGAAGCCAGCCGGAATGCCATTTGTCAACCTCTAGCTCCCTTGTTCGGAGTTTTCATGTAGCTGGAGGGGTTGGTCAATAGTTCGTACGCTGATCAGTGTTCGTCCCCGCCCCTTGGGGTGGACTACTCTCTGTGGTGGGACGGTAGCTACCCGCTTTGACTCTGAATCCCATGAATCCCTCGTTTTCTCCACTTACAACGCCATGGCGTCGTAGTTCCACCTCCATCCACACGCTCCTCACAATCGTCGCGGTCAAGCAGTCTATCCAAACCTAGCGATGCATAATATCACCGCGGCCCTTTCCATGCAAGTATTCTTGTGGAAGATAAGATACTCATGGAGAGCAGGTGTTATGCAAACATTAGAGTTCTGGATAGACTAGACGATACTAATAATAATCTACAGTATGTCTGCAAAGCTTCAAAGGAAATCAGAGGGCCTGTTTAGGATTCTGGAAATATTTACGAGAATCTCCATAGACAAAAGCCATACACACAGTATCTAATACGTTAAGACCCACAGGCCTCAAGATTGCGTGCAACCAAGGCAAGCTGCTGTAGACATATTCTGGCATTTGTTCGAGTAATCCGTTGAGTTATCAATTAAAATGGCTTTGTGACCTTCAGTTTAAAGTCCATCCCATCACGCAAAATTCGGATCATCCTTCACTTTGGTGACGCTCTCAACCTTGGGGTCCTCTTCCAGAGACTGCACGTCGTCGTCGAGTACGCGAGCGCTAAAATGGGTCAGCTCTGTATAATAATAGACAAGAACAAGAAGAGAGACATACATGAATGAATATGGAACATTGTTTTCAAATTCATTCTCATTGACAATAATTCCATGAAGGCCTTGCGTTATGCTGTCCTGAAGACTATTAAGGTTCAAATCAGCTCTATATCCCCTATAGGATGTAAGTGTGGATAGGCTAGGATTTACTCTTCAAGGGCCTTTCCCTCGACACCTTCAAACACAGCAATCTATATCTAGTTAGCCGGGATATCCATCAGTGCATGCAAGGGGTACATACACGGTAGTAATGCAAGGACTGGGACATTTTGGTGAGATCGATTTATCAAGAAAATGGGAAGTGGATGAGGGATGGGAGAAAACAGAAGAGGATCTGGTAGGGGAGAAGGAGGGGCATGAATAGTCGACCATTTGAATAGCTGAAGTGGGTTTCAGCTGAGATGCCGATCAACAATCAATTTTCAGCTCTTCGCTCAGCCGGGCCCCTCTTTTCAGCTATCCCACCATCTAGAAATGTCATAATACCCAATCACTGAAGCGGGAGGTGGATATCAAGTCGATCTTCGGCAGACAGAGCAATGCAAGATGATCTTCAATCCTTGGCACCTGTGGTATACAGGATGTATGGAGTAGAACGCGCCCGTTTTTATGTCTATATACTCCGTCGAACTAAATGAAATATCTACTATTTCTTACTAGTATTTGGAGTGTTACCACATACTTTTTAGAAAAGGAATATCACGTCCGTATATAGTGTGACAGACTTTCAATAATGATTATATTGACGTTATCGTATACAGCTATACAGAATTCTAAATGTGAGGGGAAGAAAGAAGGTGTGGTGGGGGCGCGAGGCCCGTGAGCCTCGCGACAAACAAAAACATGCAACCAACAGGAGTATGCCTCAGGCCGTCACATATTGGCACCTTGGCTCAACGCGCATTGGTATGTCTGGTATCTGCTGAATATCCGCCAATATCGAAGTGATATTGAGTAGCATACGATATCCACAAAGTGTGGAGAGGATATGCGGATATCTATAGATATTGAGGATGGTGCCCCAGGCTACTAGGGAATATTCAGCAGAATGCTATATCCATAATTTATAAAAGGATATATCAATATCGATAGATATTAATGCTATTTTCGCAATCTAGGTTTTGTATGTTTACTCGGCCCGAGTACCCTACAGGGCACCGCAGACTTCGGCAGAACTTACTCAAACCCTAGCCCAACCCATCATGGGCTGGGTTTTGGGTCCAACGGTTGAACCCATGATGGAATCTGCCGAAGTCTAGGGCACCGGCATTCCGATAGGCCACCAAACCCCAAATATTCTCCGATGCCAATAGGTTATCAGTCGCAAGTCTGACCCGTCTCAGGGGATATATTTTTAATTTTATATAGCTATCGAATCCTGATGCTTGAATAATAATAGTTAGAATAACACAGCAATAGCCCAAGATCATAAACGTTAATCCATACAATTCTAAGCCTCCGACCAAGAGCATTGACAGGTGTTCGTTTCGGTCGGAACTGGGCTAGGCTGAGCGCCCAGACGTCCGTAGTAAACCTGATTGCGGCCGGTTTACTATTTCATTAGTATATTATATATCAAGGTCACAGGGGAATCCGGATGGTTGGTAAGGAGTGGGAGTGTCATAAAATCCCGTCCGTGCAAATGGAAGGACCGCCCTCGGCCGTTGCGATTTTGATCAGAATGGTTCGGTTTTGATCGCGCCGGTCTTTAATTAAGAAAGCCAGGCACTTTGCTAAGCCCAGGCTTCTGGAACTTTATACGGAGGACATGGCCAAAGCACATCTCGACTAAGGACCCCCTTCCAAGTTGCATTGACATCTCTAGCTAGTACGTTTCTGGGTAGCCTAGCGTGAGAGTTCAGGCGGCGTGAGGTTAGAGGGTGAATGACCCAAGGCTCAGTGCAATTGTGATCCAATGTTGAACGCACGACTACCTTCCATTTTCTCGTGCCCAACCACATAATGAGCCACGAATTTAATATTGCTGATGAAACTTCATGTGGCTGTTAGTTCCAGCGATGATCGGCCAGTCAGAGCCCTGGTTTCACCGGAAGTGCCTGCCAAGACTGTGAACTTTATTAAGGAGAAAAATTTCCACGTCATATAAATGTAGATAAGGATTTTCCTATCTGCGGCGAAGACCAGTAAGAAGCGTTCTGACTGGCGTAATCGTGGGATAACGCGTGGAAGCTCGTATTTATGGATCCTAGGGCATAATCTCGGAGCTTTATAGCTTACCATTGTCTCGGGCTGACCAGGCTCGGTATGAAATGTCTTACCTCACTCAAGCTAACCTTAGTTTGCGATTACAGACGCACTACTTTTAGCCTGGCATGTTCTCCGCGCTGGGGAAATAGCCTCATATGAAGGCCAAGTTCTGGGTCGCCAAATGTTGCCACATACGGTACGAGGAGCGTTATTCTCGGCGCGGGAAGACGGACGCAGGCCGAGGTCCAACCTTGGAGAACTGGCCCCGGGCAAGACTTGCTTTTCGTGCCACTCCATGCTTGGTACATACGTACACACAACCACAGCACCAAGGATAAAGTTGAGTATTATCCACCACGAAATCTTATTTTTGGGCGAGGCAATCCCTGTATCTTCCGAATGTTCTTGTCAATCCTCCAACCCTTGCAAGCTCCACGTGTGCGCCACGGTACTATCCCCATTAAGCTTGGTAGATGGCTGGCCCGTGTCCACAGTGGATCCAGCTCAGTACTTCATAGTTGGTAGCCACACCTTTCAGTCCCAAGGAATGAAATTCCCTTGGGACCCGTAGTTGCCAACGCCTTCTTGTGATTTTCGCCGAGTCAGGTCCCTATGTGTCCATATATGAGCCAGGTCTCTCTCCCGTATTAATCATCACACCGATGGCTACTACGGGAATCGCTATTGTCCCTCTACATCCATCGGGCCGGGATGTCAAATGTCAATAGCTGGGTGTGGTTGGCAGTCGTACTGCTGATCGGTAGGTTATTTTAGTGTTGGGCAAATCTGCGGATCTCTAACGGGCTCACTCTAGCATTACTACGCTATGTCTCCCGTTGGCTTCAACTGGGGACGCCGAAAAATTTCCAAATAGAAGACCTTGTGATGATCGTCAACGTGGTATGCCGGCAATCTGAATGCTTGCTGGAGTTTTTGAACCGACTAACCATGCCAGATTCTCTACATTTTATTGACGGTTTATCTGGTTGAGGTTGATAAGCACGGGACCAACGGGATTCCCTTAGACAAAGTCGACCAGATCGATCCCTCAACGATCCCGGATCGTATCAAGGGCAGTAAGCTGGTCATTGTAGTGGAACAGCTATGGCTAGGAGTCATCTGGGGATGCAAGGCATGCTTGCTCTTGCTATACTCGGCCATGACGTGAGTGAACAGACTCCCCTCAGCGATCGAAATCTAAACAATCGATAGGTTGGGCCTGTCGCAACATCTAATCGTCAAATTAATCGGCGCATTCTGTGTGCTGAGTTTCGTGGTAGTTGAAATCCTCTTTTTCGGAGTATGGTGTCACCCTTTCTCGGCGTACTGGTCGGTCCCACCAAAGAATGTACAGTGTTCCGTCTACCGCAACCACCTCATTCTAGTCCTGGCCCTGAATGTCGCTACGGACCTGATGATCATGTGCATCCCACTACCACTATTGATCAAGGCCAAGCTGAGCCTGTCCAAGAAGCTCACGCTATGCGCCGTTTTCTCGCTGGGGATTTTCGTCATCCTCTGCTCTGTCCTCTCCAAGTACTATTCGATCTGGAATCCCTACGGAGACCGCTGGGTAGACTGGTACGTCCGAGAGGCAGCAACCGCCATCGTTGTGGCGAATATCCCTCAAACATGGACCCTGTTCCGCCGGATGTTCAACTGGAAATCCTTCTTGGCACACTCGTCCTATAACCGCAGCCACAGCCGAAGCAAGTACACCAACCGTCTTGATAGCTCGACTATGCATCTTTCGCGATTCAAGGGCGATAAGTCGCACACGCGCTCCGTCGACATCACGGCATCTGGCGAGCATATTAATTCGGAACAGCCGTTGGAAATCTGGGAGCATCGCCAGTTCCACGTCACGAATGAACCGGGGGAATCGAGTGATGGTGGTAGTCAGAGCAGTATCAGCTTGGAGTATGATACCACTGGGCTGAATCCCCAGGGGAAGGCGACCGTGACGACAACATCGTAATTGAATAACTGCGTGACGCGGTATGGGTGGCTGGGATGAAACAATCACACGCTAGAGTCTGAGTCTTTTGAGCCATTATTGCTTTTAGTGTGTCATTAGAGTCATACGTACATAGATAATTAGAGATGCTTCGATGATAGAGGCCACCCTAAGGGTTCGGAGACCACTCTGCTCATACCGATACCCCGGAACCCACCGGCCAAGCCTCTCCGGCATTAACTGACCAGGGTTCAATCCTTCCGTGCAGGATTCGTCACCCACGTTGCCTGCAGCTAGCCCATGCAGATTCCCAATATCCGTGCCGGCAATAGTGGAGCCAATACCCGAGTACAATACTAGGGATCTGTGGACCATGTCTACGTAGGAAATTCTGCCTAGATAGTAAGCCGTCACAGAACGATAGAGAATGAGCACGAATGTGGTCTTTAGGTAGGTGTTGTTTTAAAGTTGCGTTGAATGCCTTGGATATCTAAGCTCAATCTCCGTGCTTCTGTACAACCAAAAATCAAGACATATCCAGGAAAATATCAGGATCCTGCAGCTCCACATCTGCCTGAAAGCTTATCTAGACGTATACCCTACACCTTCGAAGCGAAGCACTAGCTTCCTTCAGTATCTTTCTGATTTATATCTACTACCTTAATTCTTCCACCTTCTCATACTTCGCTTCGTTCATAATAGTATCCCTTCATAGAGATAGACAGAACGTCACACGATGCCTGACCTGGTATTTAATCGGATCTCTCCGGTAAAGTAATTTTCATCACAGGAGGTAAGCTATCCCACGTCGACCACGTCATATTCCATCTGACAACATAGGAACGGCGGGTGTGGGTGCTCAGTCGGTCACTCAACTTGCCAAGCATTCTCCAGCGCGGATTTATATCAGCGGTCGGAACGCGACAAGCGCAGAGACAATTATCAATGAAATTGCCGAGTCTGGGTCGAATACACCTGTCTCGTTTGTCGAATGCGACCTCGCCTCTCTAGATTTCGTTAAAAAGGCCGCGGAAGACATACTGGCAAAAGAATCACGACTCGATGTGCTCATGTGTAACGCAGGTATCATGGCCCTCCCGCCAGACCTAACAAAAGACGGCTACGAGGTGCAGTTTGGCACCAACCATCTGGGCCACGCACTACTGATCCAAAAGCTGTTACCACTACTGCAACATACCGCCGAAACAGGTGTGGATGTACGTGTCATTATCCTCACATCTATAGGTTATCAGCTGCATCCTTCTGGTGGGATCGTTTTTGATGACTTGAAAACTACGCAGGATTACGGCGTCTTCGGATCCTGGAGACGGTACGGCCAGAGCAAGCTCGCTAATATTCTGTCTGCTCGCAAATTGGCTCGTCGGTATCCGGACATTACCACCGTCTCTGTTCACCCTGGGGTGATCACTACCCGGCTGGTTGAGAACTTGGGATGGGCACATCGCTGGTTTATCTATGCGACTACCTTTAATCAAATGATGACACTGGAGGAGGGTGTGTATAGCCAGTTGTGGGCTGCTATGACGTCCAAAGATCGTTTGGAAACCGGACAGTTTTGTATGCCGGGCATGATGATATATTGGCTAGTCGACTTTGGGAGTGGACGGATGAGGCGTTGAAAGAATACTATAATTAACTTGGAAACTTGTATTTATCTATAGTTTCTTGTCACTTTTATGTTTCTTCCTTCTTTTCTTTTACTTTTGTTCCTGGTTTTATCCATCCTATTGGTGAGTAATGTGTATAATGTCGGGATATATATCTTCACTAGTCCAATAACAGCGTACACATCATTCCATGTTTTAAGCACAAGATCTGTTCGTATCTGCAACGATTATGCTAACATAAGACCGATATCATTATAATTATATAGATTACGATTACCATCATTTCCTTCATGGCTGATCTAAGGGTCGAGACTGGTCAGTGACGATCGACCGAATTGGACTAGACCTATAGTCACGTGCAGCGCTATACCTGAAGTGACGTTAGTGACTCGTCCATTCAACAATCGAGATTCAAGAACGATCGCCGTATGCATTATACTCGCCGCAAAATTCCAGGTGACACTCGTTATAAATTATTTGGCATAGATTCATCATTGTGCTTGCAGCTCTGAAATGCCTGACTTAAATCCTGCTCCGCGAGGTGGCAGGAATAGGAGTGCATGCGATCTATGTCGGCATAGAAAGGTACATTGACTCCCGGCGATATCCCGATAATAAGGCTTGGATTCGCGAATGACCTGTCAACATCTGATCCAGATTCGTTGTGATCGCGCCCAACCTTCTTGTGAGAACTGCTCCTTGGCGCGAGTGTCCTGTACCTTTACTGTGAAGCCAGCCGAGGCGCGTAAAAGCATCAGACAGTAAGACACATCCCGAAGCTCTCCGTTGAGTTCCAGTGGCCTGAGCATATCACATCTAGGCGACTCTCTGAGACTCAGCGCCATGTACAAAATCTTGAAAACTTGATCACCAACAGTAACGCAGGCTCTTGTGGTCCAGCGAAAGCTTCGTCTACTCATAATAAATATTCTACACAATCTCATTTTCATGACACGGCTGGCTTTGATAACGCCCTGTCTACGTTTCAACAGCATCTCGAATACTCCTGGCCCGGAGGCGACCGGTCATCCCACAGGGCCAGCTTCTGCTCCGCAATCTTTCACTACACTGGTTCTCACTTTGATCTTGACGACTTCTTCCATCAAGTCGCGGAATCATACCGATCGCGATATGGCATAGAAGAAAAAAAGCAAGCGATCTCCCAGTGGCCTGACAAGCGTTTGGTCAAGAATTGTATTGAGTATTATGATCGCAAAGGACTTTACTCTGTGTTCCCCATAGTCGATATCCGTGTGATCCGTGAACTCCTGGACGCGGGTGTGCTAGACGACCCATCCAAAGCCAGTCCGGTAGCCAACAAAGCATGCCTAGTGGCATTTACGGCGCTCATCGCTCAGCTACATCGCCATAGCCCAATGTTCGCGCACGCTAAGCCAGATACCTACGTACGCGCGGTATTATCGCTGTTACCGGACTTATTCATGGAGGAGGCAGACGTGAGAACGTTGGAAACGTTCATCATCTTGGTAAGTGGGTAAGTCATGGAATGAAGCCCATATCTCATTTATGCAGACAATATACATCCCGCCGACCGGGCAAAGTTACCCGGCCGAAATGATGCTTGCCGCAGCTGTACGTATCCTGTATAAGCTTGGTGGCCACCGACAACGCGATCCCAACCAGGATGGCGGGAACCACAACCATTACCATATACGCTCTCTGTTCTGGTTGAGTTATTGGATGGACAAAGAAATGTCATTACGCGCGTGCCGTGAACCGATGATAAACGACGCAAGCTGCGACTTGGAACTGCCGTCCACCTATGTATCCCAATCTTCCACATATCAATTCCTACAGGCACCTCTGTCGTCCGACATACTGTTATATCCTTCCGACCTCCGCCTTGCCCTGATTAAGTCGAAAATATATCGTCTGCTTCACTCAGACTCAAGCCGTACACAGCCCGAATCTACTAAAATGCAACGAATCCTTGAATTAGATCAAGAGCTGAGTGCTTTAGAGTCAAGCTTTCCTGCACATTGCCAGCCCCATGTTTTCGCAACCCCAGACTGCCCTTTGTACGCGTTCCATGATCTTAGCATGCGTGGTGTGACCCTGCACTTGGATTACTACTATTGCGTGAAAAGGATCCACGAGGCAAGTGCCGCCTGCAGCACACAGTACTCCTTCTCGTCGGGAATGGAGCTCTCATACCAGACATCTCGATGCATGTTGCTCTACATTAACCAAGTACGCTCTTTTATCACCTGGCATAGTTTCTGGTTCGTACCAACCGCTATCTCCGATCCATTCCTACTGAAAAACTGACAATTGACTGTGGGCTAGGATATATGCTCAATGGTTATTATCGGCTGTAATATCGCTGTTCTATCACTGCATGTCGAATCCCACGTCCCCAACATTCTCGGGAGATCTTGAAATCCTCGAAAATACGAGAGACATTTTCACTTCGCTTATGCGCAATACCGAAGGCGGGAACTGTATTGCGCCGTTCTACATTACCGAGGCTTTTGTTGACACTCTCATCCAATTCGCCAAGCAATCCTACATGAAAGCGACTGCCATATGAGCATTAACGTGTACACTACTTTTTCCGATACCGTACAAAGCTTTTTCACCATAATATGACCCCAATAAGCATCCGATGGATGCAGAATGTGCGCCAGGAATAAAGTTACGATTTCCATGGCTGAACAGTCCGTAGACAGCATTTTTGACACAAGGCAAGAAGGATCAAAAAGGACCTTCCGGCTGCTCTAAGAATGGGTCTAGATGCACTACTCAACCCCACGAGTCACACCTCTGGCTGGGTACGTCACAGACGGAACAAATGCCGTTACTTTAAATTACCTTCGGTATTCATTGGCGGCATTAAGCTGACTGTAGCCTCATGATGTACGTCCTGCGGACCTGGAGGACCTCGAATTCCACCACAGGTGCTCAAACTTGAGCTCTTGGCAAAGGCTCGGGTTGCAATTGACTTTATGAGTGGCCGTAGGATCGTTGATTGGTCTTTAAGGCCATATGCAGAGGTTTGAAGTGCTGAGCGATTGAGGCACGGCTCCACAGTTGAAACGCTTAGTGGCAACAAGGAGAAGCTGGTACATGCGCCAAGAAACACCGGCATCTGTATCTGGACCCGCTTGCACGCTCCGAACCAATAACTGCATTTCTGCTGAATAAGCGGGCCGTTTTTGCGCCGAGACGTGAGGTGCCAAGCCCTGATAACCCAGCGTGCGTCGACGCAGTATAGGAGAGCATTTCGTTCTCATTGCCTATGAGCGGAGGAGAATTACCAACTGACTCGGTATAATCGGGTTCCTACATATCCGAAGAGCTTACCGTGAACATCCTTACCTCTAGAGGTCTTCCAAGGAGCATAAGCCGTGAATAAAATGCTTGAACTGTTCCTTATCAGCTGCATTACTACACTACTACGCATGGGTCTCATGACTCTCATCAAAGGCCAAGTCAATACCCCGAATTGTATCATTACAGCATGTGCCCTGGTCTGAAAATTACTCAAGTCCGAGTTGATACTCAATAGACACTTTAATTTGTTCCCTACTTCCGGAGACGTGGAAACTTGAATTGAAGCGTACCCCAGCGAGTACTTCGGCAGACATAGATGCATAATATCCTGCGCCCCAAAACATAGACAGTTTTGGCTGCAGATCTTCTGGCTCTCCAGATTCAATCCACTGCTCCCGCGGCCCCACTATACGGACCGTGAAGCCCAGTCACATTCGACCCATTCGTCATTCCAGGAGCGACTTACTTTGATAGGTCGCGAAATACTATTGAATAGTGATTGACACACTGCGTTGCCGTTTTAAGGAGGTCGAATTCTTTCTGCCTATATCTCGAACATTCAAGCCGGAGCTTGCTGACGACGATTGTGACGAACCAGGACGGATTCGTCGACCAGAAATAGACCTTGGTAGAAGATGGAATTCCGTCTGCTCATCGCTCCGCAAGTTGGACCATGGTGATTGGGGTATATATTGGGTCATCATTGCCGCTTCCAGCATGATACTCACTCAGATCTTCTTTTCAATAGCTTACCACCAGTGATATCTTCCTGCTCTTCCATCCCTCAATATGCAGATTGTTTCTTTGAGCAAGTTGGCTATGCTAGGCCTAGCCGGCCTGGCAATTGCCCACCCCGGCGTCCACGAGCCCAACTCAATGTCGCATTCTGCGAAGAGAAGCTTCCTCAACAACGCAAAGCGTTCTCTCAGCCAATGCAGCAGCCACCTGGAGCGCCGTGGACTCAACGACCGGATCCAGGCACGCCGTGCGGCCGCGTACGAGATGTACCGCAAGCGCAGCATTGATACTCGCGACTACAACCCCTCCGTGAACACCTCGCACCACTCCTCCCTCGATGTGACCTCCCAAACCACCGAGCAGGAGCTGTTTGCGAAGAACCCCGTGTGCATTCTGTCCCCCGAAGGAGAAATCGGACCCTTCTGGGTGAAGGGCGAGCTGGTGCGGTCTGACGTCAGGGACGGCGAACCCGGTATTCCGATTATCATGGATGGCCAGTTCATCGACATTGAGACCTGCGAGCCCATCAAGGATCTCTACTGGGATGTGTGGAACTGCAACTCCACCGGTGTCTACTCCGGCGTCCAGAGCTCCATGAACGGCAACGGCGACGACGACTCGAACCTCGACAAGACCTTCCTGCGCGGTGTCCAGAAGACCGACGCCGACGGTGTCGCGCAGTTCCAGTCCATGTTCCCCGGCCACTACTCCGGCAGAACTACCCACGTCCACGTCGTTGCCCACGTCGGTGCCACCCAGCTGCAGAACAACACCATCACCGGTGGCCACGTCGCTCACATCGGTCAGCTCTTCTTCGATCAGGACCTCGTTTACAAGGTCGAGGCCACTTACCCTTACAACACGAACAATGTCTCCATCACCACCAACGCCGATGATCACGTCGTCCAGGACGAGACTGAAGATAGCGCTTCTGACCCATTCTTCGAGTATGCTTTCCTCGGAGATGCCCTTGAGGATGGTATCTATGCTTGGATTACCCTGGGCGTCAATGTGTCGGCCAGTTATGACACTAGCTATGCTGCTACCTTGACTGCGTCCGGCGGTGTCTCCAACTCCAACAGCAACCCTGGTGACGCTGTTAACTTCTGATCTTGCATATCAGCGGCTGGAAACGGATTATTGAGATAATCTAGCACATGTCATTGTATTTGTGTCCATTTCACTCACTCGCTCTCTGGATGCACTTGTTGTTAAATAGTCACTTTGCTTTCTTGTATCTAAGCTTACCAATAGTATGTGCAGTCATTTTTCGACCAGTCTTCATTTCAAGATACCTGACACCATGAGTCACGTCATGTGAGTTGCGTGGCTGAAATATGTAAGCTGGGGAGAAGTTAGACCGGACATCCGAGAAGCTTCGTCTTTACTGTGTAGCTAGTAAATAAGTAACATAGTATTCCGAAGATGTAAGACTGTCACAACTGCTCGCAATCACAGGACACTATGCTGGTCGACCAGAAATATCCCTACCATATTTCCACTGATGCGTTCGGTGTATTGCAATCGGCTAGACCTGTGCAGGCCAAGGAAAAGTAATAAAACAGGAGGTATGTTTCGCTCCGTGTGTACTAATTGCTAAAGAGTGACCTATTGATGTAATTAAACTATGAAGGAGGAACATATCGATAGTCAATGGCATAGCTATCGATATTATTAAGAAATTATAAATCCTAGAACATATGGATAAGCTTAAGAACTAGGCAACCTTTAAAAATGGAACTGGAATAGAAACATCCCGTACTAAAAACTTGACCCAGCGATATGGGCCGTGCTTATTGATGTTTCAAGCCCAATTTGGAGGAGTATGAATGGACCTGAAGCAAAAATAGAGGGCGATCGTTGATCCGCTCTCGGGTTCGGGTTCGGGTTCGGATGCGGGACCAGACCCTAAATTGCTGCTTGTTATTCGTTCAGTTCAAATTAGACTTATCATGTTTAAATTTAGGCAGCATCTATATGCTGTATGGAAAATCCTAATCGAGAAGGGTCTAGATTAGACGATAGCGAAGAGGAGAGTATGGTTTCAACTTTGAAAACAGGAAGGAATTGCACATGGGGATTACATTCATACTAGGAGAGTTACATTCTTAAAGTCTCCTGGTATCCTATCTATCCTTGATGAAAATCCCTGATCTAGGAAAGGGTAGTTTCCTCCATTGCTATATCTATAGTAGTACCCTTTCTTGGTGTAAACCTTGTTCGATCGAAAGCTCGCGGGCCAAGCATCCGCAGGATCGACACGCTCTTGGCACCTATGTATCTGCGCTGGCTGAGATCCTACTAGATCTGGCTCTCCGTAACCGTTGAAGCTAGCTCCGTACAGCCTCAGACCTGGCTAGAAACCAAGAAAAGTCTGAGATGAATGTAAATACATCAAATCTGGCTGCCTTGAGCAAAGCGGATACGAAAGCCGACGTCTCCATCACCAGCAACTCCCACCATCTCTTGGCTTCGTTCAGGAAACATGTATATAAGGGCGAGTTGTAGAAAGTAAATATGCATCAGTTTATCCTGCGATCTCAAGACGCAATCAATATCTCAATCCTCACTATCCCGACAGAACACCACAACGCAACAGCCATAACACAATGAACCTGTTCGACACCCGCTGGAAACTCCCCCTCCACTGCTTCCAGATATTCCTAATCGTGATGGTGATCGGGCTTTCAATCCCTCGGCTCTTCATGAAGAACCAGCCCCGTACGCGAGCTAGCACAATAGGTCTCGGAATGGTACGCCTCTATCCTTCCGTCCCCCAAAAAACCCACAACTAACCATAGGAACCAATCCAGGGCGCAAAATCCTTAGTGATCATCCTCTACCAACTGTTAACCGAGCACGTCGCCGCCCTCCGCAAATGGGGAAGTCTGAAAGCATACACGATCCTCAATGCCCTGGAGATCGTCTTCTGGGCCGCAGTCGCGGTCTTGACTATCCAGGCCAATGTGCAGATGTGTGTGGCGCCGGGCTGCATCTTGGGCTGGGGTGTGGCTATCACGGGTATCAATTTGAGGTATAGTAGTTGTGAAGAATGGATGGAGGTATTGTGTGGCTGATGCAGTTTGGGGATAGTGTTTTGGCGATCTATGCGACTGTTTTATGCTATCGCGATTGGAAGCAGTCTAAGGGTTGCGTGAGGTCGGATGGGTATAAGAGGGCCCATGAGTTGAGGAGTAGTAGTCCTGTTCCCAGTGTGTGATTGGGATTTGGTGGCTTGAGGTGTTTATGAGGTTATGTCCGGGTCTGTTGTGTTTCATTCATGCTTGTATTGTTGGTTTCGGGTTTTGGAATAGATATAGTAATTTTATCTGTTCAGAAGTCTATACGGAAGGTAAGTATACACTTATATAGTACATATCATAACTACAAGTCGAGTGATGCGTGTACCCTGTCATTGCTTTCCCGAACTACAAGAATCTCAATGACAACAACCGGTACGAATTATTTTCTGATCAAAGGCTATATTCTCGGAGAGGGCACATGGGAATAAGATGGGAGTTCCAGCTCGAGAATTTCTTAGACAGAAATGAGATCTTCTCCCCGCTGCAAGTAAATCAAGCTCTCTGGCACATCCCTACAGACCAACGCATATATAGTATCCTAGCCACAAAGCATGACAATCAGCCCCTACATGCGGATTCCACTTGCTGAAATCATCGGAACTGATATGAAGGTCGTGCTGGATCTGCTAGCAGCCATTGCCATCCTCTGTAAGGTGCCATTTCTTGCAAGTGTCAATTGTGTCTGGCATTGGCTGAGCGGTCTTCACTTGGATGTGGTGGATGTTGTTGCCGAAGACGGCGCTGCGACGTAGTAGCTCCATCTACGAGTCATGACACATGACAGGAATTTGAATTCTCTCGCAGTCTGAAGGGGAGAACATAAAAAACCCAAAATCGAAATTGTTGCCTCATGATTCCAAAGTAGTCTTCAATGGACACGCAGCTGTCGCTTCATCCAATGTCGTTCACCTAGTACACGCAGTGATCAACAACGTATGAATCAGTCGGTCCGGTCGCACTTTCGCTATTGATCCACGCAATAACTGATTTGCAAAGAAGAACCTGAAGAAGGTTACAAACTGCAAGGATTTTGAAAAGTGTATCATCGACGGTGAAGGTGTTGATATTCAGCACGCTGCCTGGCTTAATGATGTAAAAATAGGGATCATATAGACGTGGATGAGAAGCAGATGTGTAGACAGTACTGGTCAAACCGGTGGCACACCTAGACAGAGTTAGGATCAGGGTTAGCCTGTAGCATAGCTGTATAACCTCTGGTATAAGCTGATCCTGCTAGGTTGACCGCGATTTGGTTAGGACCGACTAGTTGAAAGACCTGGACGGACCTGTGCTATTCAGGGTTCACCTGGTTCGGCATACGCTAGACAGTTGTCGCTTTCTATGCAACTCTCGTACGAGGCCACAAGACTTTCATCTCGTAGGGTATTACCCATTGCGGAAGCTATTTGGCGCTAACTACGGAGTAGTGTATTCCACTAGTAGAACAAGACATGAAAAGGCGCTCTTGGCACGTAAGCTTCATTATAGTGGGGAATAAATTCATAAATCAATACTACATTGTGTCACGCCACCAGAGCATCAGAAATGAAGGCACACATGTGGGCCTTGGTTGTACTGAATTTCATCCAGGACAAGGAGTATTCGAGCTCTACTCCGTAGAGATGAGCGTGATACTAGGGAATAATTGTGTCCTCATACCTGCAGGCAGCAACCGATTCGAGAGCCTAATGGTATCGAGAAGTCGACTTGCATAATCCGGAGATAATACTACCTTCTCTGGCCACGAAGATGCAACTCTTCGACATGGCGCAGTTCGTATTTTGAAGGGTTTAGTAATAACAATAAAAAACAATATCGATTACAAGACGGTTACCTTTTCTCTGAGTAATGAATCGGTAATATATGTGCTATTGGAAATCCATGGCTCTAGGCACCTGGCAGTATAAGAAGTTATGTTTTCATGGGATTACGTGACAGAAGCAGATTCATCTTCACTCTCTTCGGATTCTTCCAAGAAACACCTAACGTATCCCTCAAGGGTAGTGTTCCCATCCATACCATCGCCATCCTCTTGATCCCATTCATCTTCAGATTCTCCAAACCCCTCAAAACGCTTCTCCGTATCCGCGCCTTTCAAACGTAGGAACTCGAGCATCTCTTGATCGTCACTCTGGATGGCCACACGTAACGCCCGGTGTCCATACACTGCGGCCTCTACCCCATTTTCGAATAAAAACTGAAGCATGACTCTGTCTCGGCGCTGTGTTGCTATCCTTAAAACAGCGGCATAAGATAGGGGAGCCCCGTGACGGAGTAGCAATGCGATAATATCATATTGTCTATCATCAACTGCCCGGTACAGCGGGGAGGGGCGATAGCGGTCTGGATCAGCACCTTTCTCCAGCAGGTATTTGACTAGATCCACATTCCCAAACCTGACTGCCAAAAACAGTGGTGGAGGGTCTTTCGTGCGAGGGTCTGGAAGTCGGCACCTCATGGGCTTGTCATCACGTAAGCTCCCACGATAGAAGTTCACCTGAGCACCAAAGTCAAATAGAAGCGTTATGATTTCCTGGTGATTTATTTCAATAGCAGCAAGTAAGGCCTTTTGGATCTGGACAATGTCTGCTGCACTGTATCCAGCAGCCCTCAGTGGATGAGCCGAAATGTCTCGGCTGAATGGATACAAATCTTCGTCTGAGTCCCACTCAGCCTCGTCTTCCCATCGCTCCTCGGGAAGAGCTTCGCCTCTCCAGCCAGGTGCCGGTGGGAATCGAGACTTCTTTCGGGCGGCTCTGAGCCCGATTAAAAGCTTTTCGACACGACCTATGTTTCCCTGCCTGGTGACGAATGCTAGTGCAGACCCGTGGTAGTAGCGACTGTTGTACTTATACAGGTAATCGTATAGCGTGTGAGTGAGATGACGATTTGTCCGTACAAGTGCATAGACATCTTGTTGACACCGCAGATACGATGCGATCAAGAAAAGCGTCTCATTTGGTAGGTCAGTAAGATGCATTGCATTAGAGGGACGCTGTCGGGAAAGGTTTAAGGAGTATGGAACGAAGCCTAAAAGCTCTGCAGTGCAACAGGTGTTCCTTATGTACAGGCAACACGGGGACTTAGCCTCCGTATTAGTGACTTGGAAAAGAAAAGGTAATTCTAGACCCCGATGGACCACTGCTTTGTTCCCCACTTTATACCTAAGCTTGGCGTCCAGGTTTCTTGTCAGACTCCGCTGCTCAACTGACAATCTGTACAGAATCCGAACCAAGCCCTCCACATGTCCTCTAAAAATCCCCCCTTGTCTACATGCCTCTAGTTCCAGTCGATAGTAATACAATTCCTCTCTTTGGTCTTTTCATCCTCCGGGCATATCGTGTCCGGACTATCGTCGAGACATTTTCCCAGCGCATTAGCCCAGTTGCACTTGTCATAATACACGCCTTAAGCTCGTTAGAGGCACTGCTAGTGGCAGGTTCATTTGATACCTGGTCAACTTACCTAGTGCAAACATAGCATAGGTGTCTACAGGGCTGTTAGAACAGAGGACAGAATTGAAACAAAAGACACCTCGTACCTGCATTATGCAGTACCTTATTGGGGTCTTTTCTGGCGAGAGCCTGAACACCCTCTGCTCCATAAGCACCCTGGGTCTTTCCTCCATACTGTACTGATAGGTCCCCTAAATCTTGGTTAATTATGTTCGTTTCCAGCAGAGTATTCCTCGATGTGGCAAGCTGACTTATATCATATTCAACGAGATTAAGCGCGTGGAGGGCCTCGTGCAGCAAGGTGTTTCCAGCAGCACGATATTTTAATCTATCCAGGGTTTCGCCCTTTATCCCTGAGAACGGAGTGCCTGCAAAATCGGATAAATATGGAGGGGCATCACCAAGCCATCTTTTCCACGCAAATGGACAGACGACCAATTCGTCTTGCATTCCTATGTTCTTCGACCACGTACGCGCCCTGCCTTTCGTAACCTCATTGCATGTCAACTTGGCTGTTGGCGTCTGTAAATATACCGACTTCCCTTTATGTTTCTCTCGGGTATCCTTGTACATCCCTAGGATCCACGGATAGCTGTTAGTTCATCTGATGAACCGGGACAACTAGGTAGGCCAATACAACTAGAAATAGTGACTCACTGTACCTAGTTCCATCTTTGGCAATGCGATCCTTCTCATACACAAGCCAATCATCGTCACAATTGACAATGAGATTATAATTCTCCCCGGAGTTTTTTAAGCCATTCTTGATGGTGGCAAACAGAGCTGGCAACTAATTAATAGGAAGACATAAGAGGGTAACCATAGGTATTCTGGCCTACCTCTCACAAAAACCATGTTACTGATCGTTTTCTTGATGGAGAGCTGCCCTTCATTGTTTTTGAGCATTGGAAGCCCAAAGAAGTTCCCCCACAGTTTGCGATTCCGATACAATGTCGTGTATTTGTGCGGACTCCAATCCGCTGGTTGAGTCTTTTCCTTCAAAATCTGTATCAAGTCGTTGAGGGCCATCTCGGCTCTCTCAGCCTCCACGCCCACATATTAGCACAGGTACATGTTTTATGTGAAATACAGACCTGTGTCCGAGTTTCATCAAATGACGATAGCAAGTAGCGCTGCAGAGCTGAGCTGCATGTGCCCTCAAACCGTATTCCTTTCAGTTTATCATCCCTCTTGTGTCGCTGATTAGAAGCATGAGCGCTGAATGTTAGGTTGTGGAGAGAAGGCTCAAGTTCAGTTCGGGTATCTACGGCACCCAATAAACCGAAAGGGGAGGCAATAGTAGGCCGAACAAGTCCAACCAGCAGAAACGTCAGTGATATCAATACCAAACCACCAGGTTGAGCGGAATAACCACGCAGCTTCATGGCGGCGAAATACTCCAGACAAACTGGTAATCATTCAATAGGTGGTATATGCCTTTAGATATATAGGCGGGAGCACGGCGGCTACCATGATCACTCCGGCTTCCACTTGTTCCACCCAGACAGTGAGGACAACCTGTAAGACAATTAGTGCTTGCAGTGCGAAGGGAACCACTGTCACCAAGACAGTAGACGAGGATGGTTTGGTCGAAGCGACTGTGACACATATTGATAACGACGTGCCAACTGATGCTTCAGACGATTCTATTGCCAGTTCTCTTGAAAGCTACTACTCTAGTTATTGGTCCGCTGTGGATGCGACTTCCACCAGCTCCATCACCACCAGCACTTCTACTACTACATCTTCCGCTGGTGGCGGCCAGACCCATGACCCCATCCCCAACTCCCTTCTCATCCTCAAAGAGCATATAGAGGACGACCATTTTGACTCTTCCGTTAGCTACTATTACAAGTGGTACAGTGTTTACTACAGCTACAGGCACCAGGTTACCGAGAAGGATATCTGCGCGTTATCGGGCAGGGTCGATGGACCGGTTCAGAGCGATGAAGGCGAAGAGTATCCAACCTCGCTGGGACCATTCATTTTAGGCCAGTATACTGGCTGTTTATACAGTGGAAGCAAGCACAGGCCTGGGTCTGTGAAGTGTGACAACTCGGAACTCCCTTTCACCTGTCTGGGGTACAAATATAACGCTCATGCAGCGGACTGGAGCTGTGGGAAGACCTACACGAAGGATGGAACAACGCATTACACTTATTACTATAAAGCCCTTGAGTGTCTAATCTTGTGAGGTACGGTAAACTCCAAATGAACGTCTACTTGTGATACTACGGCAACTGAGCTTCCTAATAACTTCACTCAAATACTTTCGCGGTTCCAAGACCATGAACATCTAGCATACGGGCTAGTGATCTCCAACGGAAGAAACAGTAGACCTGAGCCTTGTAAATTGAGCAAAGCCCCATAGGCTGCTATATATGTAATGATGAGGGAGCAAAGTATATCTCTCCAGTAGCCAGGTGCAATTTATTAAACGGGGGACTTAAAATGAAGCTTCAGTCGCGAACAATCTGCTTTCCTCGCTTAATTTACTGATATAGAACGCCCGGCCTACACATCGTCAAGGGCCTTTTCGCTAGAACTAAATTGGTTTCTCCTATGACACAGTGCACATATCTCCCATCTGGAGGGGATACAGCAATCCCCAGCGGCATCGTTGCTGGAAGGTGCATAATATCTTACACTGTTAATAGACCACCATGCTACCAGCCATTGAAGAAGGATGTAATGCTACGGTAAACGTACTGTTCGACAATATCCCGACATTGCAAAGATCTTATATACATTATCCTCTTACCTAGGATGAATAGGAAACAAAACACATCGTTGATACCCACATAATTACGCCTGTTGGAGGGTGTTCTGTTTAGGTCTAGCCCCTGCGCGTCTCTATGTTAGATAGTCACTTAGCTTAGGTGAAACCTGAAGTTGTCATTCCGTACCTCCTATACCATCTCTCACTCTTTCCTCTGTTCTGTTCTGATCTCCACTTCATTTCGGGCGCCGTCGTTGCCAAATTGACTGATCTATACTGTCTCTTCCTATTTCTTACTGAAGCTGCTCACGAACACTACCTCCACCACACCAGCGCTTTGGGTCGTTCGTTCGCCTTGGACCCATCAATGTCTCCGTTGTCTCTCTTGTTTCCATCGTCGCCCTGTATGATTAACGTACTCGATGCCTAAGCCAGCCCTTTACCTGGTGATGGATAATACGGCTCACGGGAAAGTTATTGCTACGATCTTCTCCAGACGGGACAAATTGGTACACGAGGCAATGAAGGATCCCATCGCACAGGTGTACGCCATGATGAATCCCAAGATTTATGTATGATTGGAACGGGCATTATTTGCGGTTGGTATGAGGATCTAACATATATTGTCGATGTGCACTGCGGCAAGCCACTGAGAAATACGGATATTGCTTGTATTAGTTTGGCGGACTCGAAGGTTAGCCCTATACGAAGCGTCTTGAGGTCATCATTCAAAGAAGGGAGAACACGGGGAAACATCAAAAAATATTAACTTTGACTTTTAACATCTCTGAGGAGATTTCACAATTATATATAAAAGGTCACAAGGAAAGATCAGGAGCTCCATGACGAGATTCCTTCAGGAGGACTTTCTCCGAGTGACCTGCTCCTGTCTTTCAGGAACTTTCCAACGTTGAATGCAAGAACGGCATCACGAGACAATGCATAAAACTAGCCCTAAGCCTGCAGACTCAGCAGTCAGTGTCGTCAATCCTGCGGATTGACAAAGATTTTCTTTCCGCTAACTTTCCCGGCCATGAAACTGTCAAGTGCATCCTGTACTGAGTCTAGCCCACCTGGCAATATATACGAAGGGTTTGAAAAGATCCTGCCGCTAGACAAGCCTTTCGGGAGGTACTCTTGAAGATACCACAATCTGGCGTCTTTGTTTTCATCTCTTGACACTAGGACATCCGAGTATCCTGCCCATTCCTTCTTCACATTCTCTGGCAGGCGTGAGTCTGCGGGAGTGGGACTTGTTGACCAAAAAAGGCCACCATTCTCCGCGAGCAAGTTGCCTAGAAGTTCTGTTACTTCTGAAGAACCGATCGCATCAAAAATGCCGTCATACGGCCCATTCGCTTTCAGTACCCACAGAAGCTGCTCTGTCGGCTTAGTATGGTCAATAATGCATGATGGACCACGTCGCTGTACCAGACCCCAGTTGGCAGGTGATGATGTCGTCACCACCTCATACCCAGCATCTGTTGCATATTGAACAGCCAAACCACCAACAGAAGAGGAACCGCCATATATCAAAACTTTCTTGCCGTTTGCGGGAGCCCTTCCATTGATAGGTGGAAAATCAAGTTTCATACACACCGAAAGAGCAGCAATAACAGTCGCTAAGTTGGCCATCACACCAGAGCCTTCCTCCAAGGAAGTCTGACTGTCTAATTTGACCAAGTTCTCCTCCAGCGCAAGGGGGTACTTCTGGAAGGCACCAAACCTGTTATCAACAGCTGCTCGGCCCCAACAAGCGACCGCGACGCGATCGCCAACCTCGACTGAATCAACATCTGGTCCCACCGAGATGACCGTGCCCGCAAACGTGTATCCGAGAATTGCCGGGTATTCAATCTGGAACATTTCCCATCTAGCATTCAAAGATATTAGCCGAGACGTCAGTTGTACGCGCTTGTTCGAGTATCAAAGCCCCCGAAAATAGCACGGAATGCCGCAACCACCCTTTGTCTCACCTCTGGATCTTGGCTTCAATGGGATTGAAAGCAATCGCCTCATTCCGCACTAGCACTTCTCCCGGGCCCGGTACCCAAGTTTCGATCTGTTCAACCTCAACCGAGGCCCGTGGACTCTTCACTATAGCTGCCCTGTTCACTTCCATCTTGCAGTTAATAAGCGAGCTCGAGTTGTATCCTATGAGCACCCAAGCAGTATTTATATCCACTGGCCCCACATGATTGTTTGCATCTTGCGTGTGGGGCTCATCATTATTAATCCATATTGAAGATTATTCAGCCAATTTCGCTTAGAATCGATGTCCCCAACACTACCATGAGTGATCCAAATCAAAATATGATATGGATGGTTAGATGGATGATAAGCGTGCTGTGGGCTGAGTCCTCGAAACTCCAGCAAAGACCTCAGAACAGGTAGACTGAACACCACCTTCCCGCGTCCTAGGGGTGTGCTGTAGTAGTTTTATATATCGTATTGTATTGTCGTTCGATGTCAGCTGAGACGCGCTCTTTCTTTCAATTCCGTGGCTACCTTGGAGTTCTCCCTCGTTTGTCACCCCCAATTAAACCATGAAGGATAGTCTATGCTCCAAATCCCAACATTGTGTTCACATTGTTGTAATTTTGTGTCAGCATGTACCATTGCATACGCCTAGAGAGTAGGACCGATTGCCTGAAAGAGTAGTTACAGTAACATAGCTACTGGTGATGAACACATGATTATTAGGGTCTTTGTATTGCACAAGGCACTTTTAAAGGCTCAGTTCTCCACGGAATAGAGAATTGAATGTGTCGTTGTCTTTATTATTCTAATACATAACTTGGTAATTTAGACCCCACGTCTTCTAGCTATATTCGCAAATGATTATGCAACCAAATACCTACGCGGAGTTCCTAGGGATGCAACCCCGTGGATCTACAGTGTTTTCGCCGTGTTTTAGACATGTCAAATTTTCTTTTCGTGTCTAAAGAATCTACAATGCAGGATGCGTACTTTTAATATTATTGACTAAGTGTCATATTCCCTTTAAAATCTAGTAATATCTCTACCCAGTATATAACTTTCAAAGTAATGGAATAGCATATCAGTGGTAGAACCAGGTAATTTTATCAAAACCAAGCGTGCTGACACCGTGGTTCTATCATCCGGTTTTAGGGTTGCTGTACTTCAACTGTGATCAAGTTAAGTATACCTCCTGCACCGTGTCTCCAACACTAGGACCTCCGCCTAGGTACGAAAGCCTTGCTGAAGCTTCTCCGAAATGGCTATCCACTACCAAGTCACCTCGGAGATATTAACATATCATCCATCTCTGCCGAGTACCAGCCCTCTTCGGAGTGAGAGACACCGAAAGAAAGGAACGAAAATGAGATCACGGCTAGAACTTGTTTCGGGGCGGGTTCGGGTTCAAGATCTAGCACCCGTCCCCGACCCGACGCTGGATAGGGTTTTTAATAGGCTCTGCTGCCCCCGCCCCGAAGACGCGCCAATTTAGGTCTAAAATATCCCCACTACTCGGCCTAGGCCCTAAATAGATACAGGTGCTGCTTACTTGGTAGTTAGTAACTCGGAACCTTATATATATAAGTTTAGACTTGAACTGTAAATTGAAGCTTGTCTTGAATAGCGACTATGTCATCTGTCTAGACCATTTGCCCCAGACCAGGATATTTTTGTAGCCTCGACAATACTCGATCCACGTGTAGCCCCGACCTGGTATGCTCAACAATGGATACGAGTCAGCAAGCCAACCACGGCCAGATAATCTGAAACTGCTTCAATTCGCTCAATAGGAAGAGAGAAGAGATTACGGAGCAAGCCGAAGACCCGCCAACATATATCGATTATTTAAATCTTAACAGAGTGGGGGGTTACAATTAATAATAAGATCGTCGCAGAAGAACACGAAAGAAGACACACGTCCCTTCTGGCAATAACCCTGACAAAGGAAAAGAAAAAAAAAAAAAAAAAAAAAAAAAAAAAAAAAAAAAAAAAAAAAAGAAAAAAAAAAAAAAAAAAAAAAAAAAAAAAAAAAAGAGGAGAATGTCCTCGAATCTCGGCGGACAAAGGGTGAGAGCTGATGAAACTGCACCTATGGTGTCTTCATTGGCTATGGCATATAACTATCCTGACGTTATGATATTATCGAGGACTATATTCGGCGTGATTACTTCTGAGCATTCTGACCGGCAGATTCGTAACTCTGCATCAAGCACCAATATCCAGGAACGTGGTCGCGCCAGATAGCACCAAATCCACTGATATCCCGACGCCAGTCGCGGTGCAACTCCGCAGCGACAGCGGCCCAATTGAGGAGCTGCACACCATGCTGAGCAAGTCGCTTATGGCATGCTTCCCGCGTGTGTTCCGCAAAGGTTCCACTCGCATCGGTCACCAGGAACACATCATATCCCTGTTCGACCAGGCTAAGAGCGGGGAAGGTCGCACAGATTTCGGTTAAAACGCCGCTAAGAACTATGGTTATTCCTGCACAAGTAACCCGTTTCGTGAAGTACTTACCTAATGACAACCTGCTTCTTTCCAGTCGCCTTGATGGCTTGGACAAAATCTTCGTTGTCCATCGCGTTGATTTGTCCAGGGCGCCGAATGAGGGGAGCATTAGGAAGTTCGTCCACGATTTCCTTGGCGATAGGCCCATTGGGTCCCGTCTCAAAGGAGGTGGTCAGAACGGACGGCGCCCCATAGTATTTAGCGACCCTGACAAGAGCTAACACGTTGTTCCGGAACTCGCTCGGTTCGAAATCGTGGACTAACTGAATCAGACCCGACTGGAATGCTCGTCAGTAACTGAACTCCCTTGAGTGATCATGTCGGGCTCGAGGCAGACAATCGATAACGGCAACCGCTTACCTGGTGGTCGATAAACAGAAAGACACAGTTGTCCTTGTCAAGACGGGTATAGGTAGGAGGAGCCATGGTTGATGGTCGCTGGAGATGAACTTGCTTGATTGCTGTTCTTGGTGTAGTATGGGCACGAATGGATTGGAGCAGAGGTCGAGGGGATTTATATGTGCTTTTCTCGCTCTGCTACATTGCGAAATCCTAGCAGAAGGAGCTCCGTTGGCACTGGATTATGAGAAACTTACCAAGCTCAACGTAACTACCCAACTCTACTCCGTATGACAAGTAACCTTCCATCGACCCGTTTGCAGGGACTTGCCCTACGGAGGATTGGCTGTTTTACTCTGTTCGTATGGGGTAAAGTTTAGATGACGTCATTGGTTCCGTCGACGGTTACGGAGGATCATAGCGGCCACTCCGCAACAACACTTCCCCCTACTAAGTCTATTTACCGCTTTCTCAACCGCTTTCTTTATTAGATTACTTTAATCATCTAATTACCTCTTTGATTCTTGTATACAACTATCGTACATAACTATACCTCGTCCAACCATTGATCTTGAGTTATACAAGGCTGAGATTACGACTTTATACCAAAAAAATAAGCCAGTGGCTGCAATTCAAGATTATCTAAAAAAGTCATTCAACCTTTAGCTCAGCAAGCGTACACTTAAATTATATTTTCAAGAATAGGATTTACTATATCAGGATTGTACAGTCAATATCAATATTAATATACAGGTACGAATAAAAGTACTCTTTTTCTAGGTTAGTCTTAAAGATAAAGATATTCTTTATATTTTACATCAGGAAGAAGTAACTCTATCACCTCGTACACTCAAGCGTATACGTAAAAGTCTTGGACTTGTACACCACACTAATTCTCCTTTTAAAAGACAGTGTCAAACTAAAGCTATTCTACAATCTCTTATTAAGGAATCTAAGAAAAATATAATTCAAGGATTTGGTAGAGGATTACTCCACCAATATATACGTACAAAAGGATATATTGTTACTCGATAAAACTTAACTCCTTTCTACTCTTATATATTATACTGATTATATTAAGAGCCCACCTCACGTTGCCGCAGTGGATAAGGTAGACCGGTGTTTACTGAATGTCACCATGTACCAGGTGCATTCGGCGGAGTATACACTAACTGCAAATAGCCTAACAAAGCCAGTCAATACTCCGTACAAGATAAGTTATGGCATAACATCGGTGGTCATAAAAAAACACCCCAAATAAAAGGGGAAGGCCAACGTACAAGGAAACTCGGTTCCTCTCAGGATAATCTAATCAATATAAATACTAAGATCATTAATTTGGACGAGCCAATCAACTTAGATCCTGAAAAAGATAACCACCCTACTAATCCAATCAACTTGGATCCTAAGGATTCTAAAGAATGGCCGGAGATTAAATAGATACATACATATTTTATTAGTTTAGTTTACACAGTTGTATATTATCAATAGCACCAGTACCTGCCCCCCTAGTCGTACAGGGTTTGTGTACAGTACCTGAGCAAGACTTGCACCTCTACGTGGTGCTCAGGACTAGTAGCCAAATTGGTGGTGAAACTAAGCAAATCTATGATTATCCGTTCTGCCGGCAGAAATTGATAGGACCCGTTGTTGCGGAGTGGCCGCTATGATCCTCCGTAGACGGTGATTATTCGAGAATGACAAAGCCAGAAGGACCCTCCAGAACCATGACACTTCCGCGGGTCCTATTGGCTTTTCAATTACACGGTAAAGTTCTCCATGACATCTAGACTCGACTGGAGCAGAACTCGATGGATGTCACCTGTAAGAAAAACCACGATGGAGTTTATCGAATGAAGAGGGAAAATATGATTTGACGGCCCATGATCTTTTGCCGCGGGCTCGAGCTTCCTAGCGCTGCAATATGGTGGCAATAGATCGTCGTCCGCAATTCATCCCACGCTTGCTGTATGGGGAGTTGATTGTCAATGGCCAATCATCACTCCCAGAGATACCTCGTTCCAACCTTGTTCCTGTGAAGATGTGAAAGCTCCGGTTCTAAGCGATTTGCAGGGTATTGTTTCCTATATCTCGATCCTTTCCGTCGCGAATCGACAGCTACAGATATAGTGTCGGCGAGCAAAGCATGGCGCCCCACGCGAATTTCTGGCACAGTGAGCCAGAAACACTACCTACACCCAAGGAACCCCCTCCTTTTGCTGGCCGCATCGGTGCGAACCAACAGTTCTCTCTGGAGAAAAACAACTGTACAGATACGGCGATACTGGAAAAATACCCGGATGCGGCCCCGTGGGTTCCATGGAGAAACTCTTTATCACCAAAACAATTCCTTGAGCTAGGGTTGTGGAAAGCAGCGGCCATTGAAGGCGTAGGTGTGTTACTATCAATAGAGCAATTTTCCACGAAGTGCGGAATTGATTGAGGTGTTCATGATTAGGGACCTGCTTGCTCGTGTATCTAACTATCCTCTTCCCCATGGGGCTGGCGCAAAATATGAAGTGAGCCGTCCGATTTGTTTTGACTTCACACAGAGCGAGTTGAGGTTAACCGAGTAGCAAAATAGTAACCTTGCGACCGGCCCCGTGGTGCCCACCTTAATCGGCAGCCTGGTAGTGATGTTCATGCTCCCTTTATTCATCTATGCTGTCGGTCCGGTTTCTGGAGCTCATCTCAACCCCATGATCAGCCTTGCTGCATTCTTCGGTCGCTTGATGACGTTCCCGAGATGCGTTCTATACGTTGCATTCCAGATATTCGGTGCGGCCATCGCCGGTTGGCTGGTACGAGCGAGCCTTGATACGAGATCTGTATGTCATTCACTGCTGCCCCTTGACATTCAATCATGTACTTTTTGGATATGGTCGTACCTTTCCAATCCATCGTACTACCAACAGGACTTGCTAATACGCATCGACAGTTCATGGTCCCAGGCTGTTATATGGATGTCAACCAGGTCTCAGCCGGTAGCGCGTTCGTGATTGAATTTGTCACGGACGTGGCACTAATCTTCCTCGCATTTGGCATTGGCCTTGATCCGCGGCAGCGTGTAGTATTCGGACCGACATTAGGGCCCATTTTCGTCGGGATTGTGCTAGGAGTGTGTATTTTCTCGACCGGGATCATTCGTCCAGGGTATACCGGGTTCTGTACGTTACTCCTAGTGACTGTGCTGGAAGAAGAGCAATCAGTATGCTAACAAAGGGAAATAGCAGGACATCCTGCCCGATGCTTCGGAGCGATGGTCGGGTCGCATTTTGCGTCCTATCATTGGATACAGTGGATAGCGCCACTGTGCGCGTCTGTCACCCATGGGTTATTGTACTATTTCATACAGCCATATGAGCGGAAATAGGTATGAGCCGTGACCACAGGAAACCCCTTGCTCCCACGACCGCCAAAAACCACTTCGATGATGTGTTTGGTGCCTCAATCCTCTAGTATGGCATGACATTTGAGGAGGGGAGTCTGGGTTCCATACTGTGGGATTCTGTTTGGATTCTCATGAGAGTTGAAGAGATGCGAGAGGCCTGGGACAAAAGATCGACAGATTCGAGCGTCATGGGAATGAGAATCATGTGTTTCCTGTCAAATACATTCGTGTATGTATCGATACCGTCATGTGCTAAAGGGTCCAGCTATCAATTAGAGTTTGATTTTGGGCGGGTTCGGGTTCAAGATCTCGGACCCGCGCCCGACCCGACAAATCTAGACCTAAATAGATAAGACATTATCTATATGGTAATTAGATACCATAACTATATAGTTCCGGGCTAGAATCTTAATTTAATGACAGTCCGCACTTTGTCAGGGATTAGTGCAGCTTGTGGACTCATCTTCACGCAATAGCGAAGAAGGTAGCGATGTTACCTGTTGCATCCAGAGTACCTTCTCTCAGTCCGTCTCAAGGACGAGAATAAAGAGCTATTGATCGAATCCATGTTGAAACAATCCATCAGGCCGTAGATAGGGTTGGATCTCTGTGCGTTATGTTGTCCGAGGCGCTTGCGCAATATGCTGCACAACGAGTGTGAAATGAGATTGAACTTCTAATTGTTGTGAGATTTCTGTGTCCAGTGGCTCGCATGGCTTTTTATTCTTCCACTTCTTCTTTTTTCTCTGAAGCTCGTAGCATATGAGCGAATACACGTAGATTACACCACGAAAGCCTATCCTTTAAAGCTCACACTGAACTATCTTGACTGTAGCCAAGGATCTGCAAGTAATTCTTTCGCAGAAGCCCGATCTTCCGGCTTCCATTGAAGCATCTTCCGCATAAAGCAGAGAAATGATGTTTGTTGTGTATGTCGCAAATTGCCTTCTAATGTCTCCAGGGATATAGAGGGAATTTCAGCGTTACCTTTCCAGTTACCTAATTGCATCCATCAGTCACGCGTAAACAGGGGTAAGCCGAGAAAAATAAAACGTAATCATACCATCGCTATCAAAGAAATCGTTCGCATATTCACTTTTTTGAAGCGTTTCTTTTGGCGGTGCACCCATTACTGCTATCATCCTGGCGAGGTGGTGACTGTCTGAAATGTTCCCGTTTGAATCGCGGGCGTGGAAGAGAGATCTCTTCTCAAAAAGACCCCAGGCCTATACAAATCGTCAACGTTTCGCAGAATGAGACTTGGCATACGAGATATACATACAAGTACCCCTATATTCCAAATATCGATTTTTGAGTCCCACGGCATCCGTAATACAACCTCAGGAGCACGGTAAACCAAAGGTTGCACATCCTCCCATTGCTTCTCTATCCTCGAACTGAAGCAAGCCTCTCCGAAGTCAGCCAGAATGGGACGACCGTGCACTTTCGGAATACCCAAGTCCCGGGATGAATAGATTACCCGATCGCCATCAATTTTACGGGGACTGGGACTAGATTTCTCTGATTCCTCAAAAGCGACAAGAATTGACTCATCTTCCACACTAAGCATGACATTGTTTTCTTGTATATCTGTTATCGGGTCAATGCCAAATTCTAGAAATGTGCACGGTTTCACGAGATTGGGATATTATACCGGTGTGAACAATCTTGGCTTCTGTGTGAAGGAAGTCGAGAGCAAGAAGGATGTGTATTAACGCTGGCTTCAATAAATCTTCTGGAAGCACCTTTTCTATAACACGATTGCGTAGCTCGCATAGACTCATGGCTAAAGGAGGATGCACGAGGCACTGATAGGAGTAGGTATTATCTGCAGAACTGATTTGGAAGTCATCGATTGCCTGTCGGACGAGCAAAGAGCCTGTGTGGCTTGACTTAACATTTCTTAGGTGTTCGTATATTTCTTTTTCTCTTCGTCCATGGCTAGAGCCATGTCCGTACATTTTCAATGTAACATAAGCATGTTGCCTGTTACTTTTCAGTCACAACTCTCACTTACATTGGTATGAGGACTTACTGTAGGTCTCGGCAAAGCCACACTGTAGAATGGCCACCATAGCCAAGTTTCCCAATTACTTGGTACCTCGAGGTAAAAACATCACCGATCTTCACGGGGTAAAACTGATGAGGCCAGTACTCGCGTAGGTTTTCCTCTTCTAGTTTCTGGTTTGGGTCCAGAATAATGCCTGCCTGGGAGAATTTCCGAGATGGAGAAGGTGGACGCCCAAAGATGGCCTGTGCCAGTCGCAGTGGGAGGCTTTGCATCATGTCTTTACAGGACGTTGTTTCTAAACAAAGGGATGATAAGTCTGGCAGAAGGCAATCACGTGGACTCGAACAACATGTGACCTCGAGTCAATATTGTGTCAACCTGAATTCAGGAGATATCGAACCTGCATGTATCCCGTAATTTTTGACACCAATGGGGTGATCTCATCCATTGTAGCAGTCTATTATTGCTCTATCCCTGCAGCGGCAGCTCGTTTCAGTCCAATGGCATTAAGATTGTTGGTAATCTATCAATGCTAAGAATCTCAAGGTCCTGCTAGATCATCTCCTTTGCTTCACGATCCCTGTACACCAAAGGGTGCCACTCACTACCTTCCAGGTGACCCTACTTTTCATAGAATATGCTCTCAACCCCCCACTACACGATCCTCTATCCGCTAATTCTGAGGTACAATTACTTCCTTCCACATGAAAATCCCAAATTCTCCCTCTGACGGGGTACCAACATATAGCGAAACGTCCAATCCAGCCAACCTGAACCCCATACTGAGATAGCTCTGGATAGCGGGATAGTTGACATTCGACACTTCTAGCCACATATGGCGAATTGGCCACCTAGCAGAGCCAAGCCTCTCCGCACAGCGGACGAGATTCCGTCCTATTCCTTGCCGTCGGTACAGCGGATCGATTTCAATATCAGTGATGATCAACCGATTGTTCCAGCTGGAGAGCTTGGCGGATATGAATGCGACAATCTTGTTATGATGGTCGGTGGAATCAGGATCTGGTGTCGGCGCATCCTTTGCAGATAGCGCATTGATATCCTCGACTACCACCGTAAAGCAATCCGGTGACTCATCCTCCGCGTCCGAGTCGCCATCCTCTGGAAAAGATTTGTGCAAGGGACTGTCCAACTGGACCGCCTTTATGTCTAGTCCAAATCCTTCGCCCCTGGAGCCAAAGTTGGATGTTTTGGATTCAATTTCAAAAACTCGATTTGTCTCGAAGGAACTATCTATCGTCCGCATGGGCGCTTGGTCATCGGAGGTTGCGAGGCGGTACTTGAGACCCCTTGCAGCGTCTGTGAATGGTAGGTCATGGATATCTGGCACAGTAGTTTCCATAATAAAGGGTGTTATAAATGGGATGGAAATCTTTGGGGGCAGGGAAGGGTTTAATAAGCGTGTTGCGAGCTTGGTAGGTGACTAGGCCGATAAAGCCTAGTGGGGCGTATTTATCTTGTTACCTTGGTGGTGGAGTTGAATACGAGGTGAATCACATCACTAGCCAACTGCTGGACCAGCATGCGAGTAGCGTACTAGCTGTCAGAAACATAGATATATAAAAAAGATAGAAGGTCAAGCAAGAAGAAAAGCATTTAAGTCAGTTACTTACAAGTATGGAACAGAATTCTTCAAGATAATTGACCAGTGGAAAGTGATATCCACACTCTAAAGCGAGATTGAAGATCTCGAAAATTTCAACCTAGAGAAAGTTTCAAAACTAGCATCTGTGAAGTCCAAGAGCCCAAAGAGCTCATGGCTGAAAGCCTGAGCAAATATAAGGCATGCAAACCTCATTATTTGGCAGACGATCGCTCGGGAACAAAATATTGCACGGTACACAATCTGGTATCATCAATATTTAGGCAAGGCACAAGTTGCCGTACAAGTTGGCGCCAAATGATATTAGCGAGGTATAGTATATAGAAATGCAAAAGGAATCTGATGGCTTGATTAAGTCGACCAGGCCACGTTACTGAATAAATCTTTATGACAGCTGTTGATAAAAGTGTCTCTATATCGGTTAAGAGGAGACGTATTCGTTCAGTAACCCTGGGACTGTTCAGCTACACAAAAAACAATCCAAGACAAAGGTTTGCATGCCGCCAACAAAGCCAGATGTATTAAATATAGGTGTTTATCTACTTCGTCTGCGAACTCCGCTTTAATTCAGGCAATGCCCATTTAACCATCCACTCCGACTGTAGGATGTCCTCAACTGTTGGTCGTTCTTCAGGCCGGAATACCAACATTCGACGCATCAAATCAATAATGGCAGTTGCTTCCTCCCTGCCAAACTCACAGCCAATTTTTCGTCGATACTTCTGCACAGAATCCTCAAATGCTAATTCAATTCCAGGCCACACGTGACGGTCTTCTTTTGGGAGCCCGTTATTGTCAAAAAATTGGCTTCGTTCCGGCCAGTGCATCCACCAACTTGAGGGTAAAATACCGAGCGCATCGACTTGTTGTGATACTAGTTCATCTGCAGAGGCAAAGTCAGTGCTGAAAATCGGCTGCATGCCAAGTATCTCCCAGATTGTTGTGGCCAAGCTCCAGATATCTGCTGAATATGAGATAGGCGCCTCTGGTTCAAATCGGGCTTCTGGAGGTCGCATTGCTAATGGTGTATGGCAATCTTTACAGTGGCGAATTTCCAGGTCTGGGGCAAATGCCTCACCAAAGTCACTGAGAAGTATGCGTGTGTCTGATACTAAGAAGTCTTCGGCATTTTTGCCAAGATAAAGGGGTACGACTGCCTTCGATGGGACATTTGGTGGAAGCGGCTTCCCATCACGTTTTGTAATGGAGACTGTCTCAGGCTCACCATACTTTTCATATAGCTGCTCAACAGACAGGTGATCAACATCTGAAGATAGTTTAACTAGAATATTGCGGAGATGGATGTCTGATTATACAGAACTCATGAAGATTAGTCGTGTAGAACAACGCAGGTCAGCGATGGACTCAATCATCATCATCGCTCACCTCCATGAACGTAGCCCCGTGAATGAATGTAAGCAATAGCCAATGTGAGGCCACCTGATAGCGCCCGCGTAACTTCGAGAGGGAAAAGACGACTAAAAGACGCTTCTCGAAGATCGCACCCCGCGGGTATCATGGTATAGCATAGATGTGTTCCATTGGGTCCACTGAGCTCGAATTCATCTAATGGTGTGGGAATAGAGTCATGCCCTGGGCTTGCGAGAGCTCGGAGAATTTTGGTTTCACGCAAAGGCGCCTCCGCTGTACCGACTTTAAGAGCAACATAGCGGTGTAGACAAGTATCCAGGGCTAGCCAAACAGTTGAATACCCTCCAAAACCCAGCTTGTCAACAATGCGGTATCTCCCGTGAAGCACATCTCCTATCATAATAGGGTGGTAACCCCCTGGACCATACTTTTCAAGTGATTCCGCGCCGTCAACCCAGTTGTATTCAAAATGGCAGCCTTGCGTATGTTCTTCATCGTGCGAAATTCTTGTTGAATAAACGGCGGCACTCGGTCGCGGAATACAAACCTCAGACTTCCAAGGACGAAAAACGGGCAGTGGACGTGATAACACAGCAGAAAACTGGGATAAGCCAAGAATATTTCGAAGGGCTGTCTTGCTGCAGCGCGTCATGATAGGCAGAGTGGTTAATATCAAGGGAGAAACTTAAGCGTGGAAAAGGTCAGTGGAGTTCGGGAAGTGCCGCAGCGCGAACCACCTGCATACACTATGGAGTGCAAGGTCTGGCTAGGACGTTGAGTCTTATCTTGAGACACGCCAACAAGTACTATCTGGACATATTACGTTAGATGTAAAAAAACCCTTGGTTTGCCCTAGAACGCTCAATGGTATTTAATACGATATTTTTTGTTTTAATAACCTATATGCATCTGTATGTCTCACAGTAGCAGAAGTACACTGATCTCAAGTTCGTACTGGGAATCCAGAATTAGAATATGCGCGATAGAATCGAAACAGCGGGTTCAGTAAGTCTGGCATCCTGGACTCCCGTTGCTAAGCTAGAAGACCTAAGTTATTGTTGTTGCTCCGAGCGTCGCGTAAGGGCAATGAACCTTAGACGATCAGGTGAACAGGGTGCACCACACGCCCAAGCCAGGCTTCAAAGCCTCCAAAGCCAGTATTACAAGTGCAAAGTACCGGAGGGTATACTACCCGGCAGAATCTAACCGCAAAAAGCAAAACACGAAGACAATCGACTGGATTCCAGCTTTGGATTATTCAAGCGTTCTTAAGGTAATTATGCGTGATGTCGGTCGCCCGGAGCAGAGAAAATGGTTCTTGAACCCAAATGCGTTCGAGCAATGGTAGGAAAATGAATCTTCCAGGCTGTGGTATCTCGAAAGCGTGAAGGTGGTTTTATTCAGATCATCATGTATATCCTACTAACTATTCAAGGGAGGAACTGGAAAAGGAGTCTTATCTTACGTCTCCCTCCACAGCTTATACGACCTGTTCGCTGATATAATAGATAGATCCATCATCATCGGACATTTGGGATAACGCCTCAGCTTCCATGACAATCATTTTGCTTTGGGATATCACACCTCTCCCAGAAAGATAGTTCAATGATGTCCAAGCTGCTGAGAAGCATAGTAAGGCAAGTGATATCATTCTGGGAAATTTTATTGGAAAAGCTCCAAAGAATTACAAAGGATATCTGCCTGTTGGTGACTTACAGGATAGATGGAAGAGCGAGGGCCTCATGCGAGGCTAAGTCGAAGACATCACTCATTACATCGCTAACATTATGGGTGAAGATCTAGTTATCGGGAAAGACCAAAGAGACTGTGGAACGGAAGTGTTGCGAAATGTAAGAGGGCTTTGCATATCTTATCAAGCCTTTCTTGGAATCCCCGGTTGAATGTGCCAATTTTGGCATCACATATGCACGTACAAGTATAACTATGCATGAAGCTCGCAAGTCGGCGTTATCAGCCAAAGGTTGGAAATGCAGCAATACCGACATATCTTAACCAGATAGGGATGCAAAATTCATTTAGATGTCAGAGCTGTCAGGCCGCACAGAAAACACAAGGTCATCTACTAGTTGAATGCAGAAAACGGGGCCACCAAAGACAAGAAGATTTACTTCGAGCTATACAGTCTACACTGATGTGTCGAGATGCTTATGAAGTATATGACTGCGTAGATCCAGCTTTCAAAATATTTATGGATCAAATAATAATTGAAGCATGCCAAATGGTACTAGTCATTTAGTTCCAAATACTATGATCTGTGAGCGGATGAGGCATCTATCCCGACCTCTCCCTTGCGTCTCCCTTGCGTCTCCCTTGCCTCTGCTCTCGTCCCGCACCGGCCACACTAAAATGTTGGAGAATAACCACCATATCCAATGAGCTATTCAAGGAATGCCCACAAATACTCCAAGCGCATCGCTATTATACAGCAAAACGCCAATGTGGAGAATTAGACAGATTTATAAAATTTCCCTATATTGGGGTTTTCGGGAATTTTATATGGTAATGTATTTCGGACACCGAATTAGATCGCTTATAATGAGTAAATTCCCTATAACAGGGTTGCTTATACATTCAATAAGAACGCCCTGACTTTCGTTCATCTCCGCTATACCCGCGGCATACCAGAGCGTGTTCCACTTGTTGCATTCCACGACAGTTTGATAGATAACGGCAAGCTAGCCTAGCAGTTTGATGGGACACATATAAATTCACCATGACGCACTAGGTGTTTTACCCAGCTCACATACACATTTAACCTTTCACGAAATAGATTATCTGGAATGAGTAATAATTGTTTGCCTGGATTATGACATCTCGCAAGTCAGGCGCTGGGGCAGACCAGCGCACACAAACATTCCGCATCAACTTCAAAAGGACCCTCGCCACCTATCTCCCAGCGAGAATGTACCTGCGATACAGAGAGTTTGACTGGGTTACTATCATAGTCCTGACTGGAATGCACCTTGCTGTGTGCGTGGGTGCTTTCCGGACCCCTTTCCAACTTAAAACTGCGATTTGGATGTGCTTATATGATTATCTCATCGCCCTTTCTCTGACTGCTGGTATGTACATCTAGCTATATTTCAATAATTCTGGAGATCCAGAGGATGACCTTTGTCCCCCAATGTAGGCTATCATCGCCTGTGGTCTCACAGGTCGTACCATGCTTGTCTACCGCTCAGGATATGTCTGGCTACATTAGGAGCTGGCTCGCTCCAATGGTCCATTAAATGGTGGTCATCTAAGCATCGTGCCCACCACCGTTATATCGATACCGATTTGGATCCATATAATGCTCGCAAGGGTCTATTATATTCTCATATTGGATGGCTGTTGCTCAAGGATGAGTGTAAACCGGCTGGGAAAATAGATGCCGCTGACCTGAATGAGGATCCTGTTGTTATCTGGCAGCAACGCAATTATGTTCCTCTGTCCTTCTTGGCTGGCATTGTGTTTCCAAGTCTGGTAGCCAGCTTATGGAATGACTTGCTGGGAGGCATTGTTTATGCGTCCTGCCTCAGGGTTGTTTTCCGCTGGCACATGACGTTTTGTACCAATTCGCTGGCACATTATATGGGAGAGCAACCTTTCGATGATCGTCATTCTCCGCGCAATCACCTTTTCACTGCTCTCCTGACGTTAGGGGAGGGATACCATAATTTCCATCACGAATTTCCCAACGACTACCGAAATGGAATTGAGTGGTATGACTATGACCCCACGAAGTGGAGTATATGGATATGGAAGCAATTGGATTGGGCATCCCAGCTTAACCAAATCCAAGTCAATGAGACTGAGAAATCACGTCTACAGCAACTCCAGAAGCATCTTGACAACAAGCGTGCGACTCTTATTTGGGGTCCCAAACTAGACGAACTCCCCTCAATTGAGTGGGATACATATGTCGAAGAAGTCAAGAATGGTGCTCGGCTTCTGGTTATAGATGGTATCGTGCATGATGTTACGGAGTTTATGGCGGTCCACCCTGGCGGAAGGGCGATGATAGCCGCCAACATTGGAAAGGACGCAACTGCTATGTTCCGCGGTGAAGTATACAACCATTCCAATGCGGCGAATAATCTACTATCCACCATGAGAGTGGGTGTCATCGCTCGTAATGATGGTGATAACGGGGATAGCCACACCTCGGTAGTATCAACAGGTCTATCCGGTTGGTCAGGCAGACCCCATAGGCTGCTCGTGGTGAAACAAGCGTAGCTCAAACAAGTTGCCTCCCAGTGAGTCGAAGAGAGGCTAGGTGAACGCCAAAACAGCGGGGTGGAGTTGTTACTCGAACCACATGCAAGGGCCAATGCGCTAGCAATGTACAGTATAACAGTGTTCCACCGAGCTCCTACCATTTTTTTGTCATAGATCCCGCCTCCTTACTGAGGAATCATGTCTCTATGGAAATGTTTCTCTAACGTTCGGCCTGTGGTGCTGCAGCGCACCGTATAATTACAGTTTTGTAAAGAGTCCGCGATGGCATCCGTAACATGACTGAATAGTACTACGACTCTACAAAATGAGAAATTTGCATTGGGGGATACCTCAGCGTCGCCTACGTGGTCAAGCAATTCCATCCCTATGAGGTGCTCAAGCGGCTTATCCAACAAGTGCATGCTCGGGAAGGAAGCGGTCGAGGTCGAATTGGCGAAGAAAAAGCCGCCAGGAAACTAAATAGCAATATGAAAGACAACAGAGATATATACAACAGCATCAGTATGATTGTGCTCACCCAAGTGCGGTTGGTTTGAATATTTTTTAGCCGAACGACCAGAACGCGCATTTTCGTTGCTGTACTATGAAAGGCTGCTATAGTAATGAATAGCGATAGATCCATTGCATTTTCCATTTCAAGAATTGTGTATCTCACCATCCGGATGCATCTGGATCGGATGCAAAAATAGATACCATTAATGTCATGAGACAGCCGTTAGTGTAGATCTAAATTCTTGGCCACAGAGCTCTAGACGAGGCTCCACTCACAGTCAATAAAGCAGGATCAAGAGAAGTCAAGTTGGGGTTGGAGGAGAGGTTAGATTGACAATAGAATGTAAGTTTCAACAAATAGGCTTAGCGGGTACTACTTGTCATCAAAAGACCAGACCGTTTAGCCCATGGTACGGACTCCTGAGGATTGAACCTTCCCCGGAAATAGCAAGCCGTTCCAGGGTCAGTCGCAGCGAAGACGATAAACATCTCGTTAACGAAATAATCATGACCAGAGAGTACCAATGAATTTGTTCCTTGTCGCACCTCACGGAGTCAGTTAGTTAACGCCTTCTTCTGTGTACAATGATGTCTCTCATCTTCTCCCAGGCTTATGGGGAGTCATGCGTAGATCATCGCTCATCCATGGTAGGCCTATATAGACAACCAAACTCAGAAACATTTCCTTCGGAGTTGTTTAAATATCACACGACATAATCTCTTTCATCTACGACATAAGTAGTGTGCATGACGCCGTTCCTGCACATTCCTGATCCCGAACCACATTCTACTTCACTCCATCATTTCGCTACTTTTCAAGTATCGGTAATTCCTTTCTCAGTCACCCGAAGCCATGGTGTTGCATGATACTCAATGGGCCGACAATTACGAGCTATTCCTTGAGGACGCATCGACAAT